AACAAAAGAGGGAGAAGAGGAAGAAATATAAGTTTTAAATGTACACGTATAATCTGTTACAAAAAGGTTAAAGTCTAGAGGATTCACTTCATTGCTCCGCGTTTAATCCCATATGGTTCGGTCTCTCTCCACATAGTACCACACAAAGCACGTATTCCGTAGCTCCGGCGACAACTCCCAAGGATTTCCGTAAAAAACTGCACTCGTGAACTGAACAGCGCCGCCGTGAAAGGAACCCACGTCCTTCAGAACGCCAGGCAAACGGCTTGACCACTTCGCCACGGAACTGACGTGGTTTGAACACACAGCGTTCTGATCTGGAGTCACAGAGCCGCCTAAAATCTGTTATACTTACAATCTATCACCTGATAATTTTCTATAATCAATACCTATGATCTATTCAGCATTAAATAACCAAAATGATTAAATAAAATATACAGCTAGCATCTAAAAATACAAACTTTTTACATCCCATTTATAGCCCAAAAGGAAGCACAATATAAATCACTGAAGTCTGCTAATTTGTCCTTATTAAGTAATAAACAAAGTAAACAAATTCACCTCGCCGGAAAACAATGTATAATACTCAAACAAACTGAAAGCTACAAAGGCAGAAAAACATGCAGTGCGATTTACTAAATTGTTACTCAAACTCGTGTCAGTGACCTGTCACTTATATATTTAATCCCGTCCGCTGTTTAAGGTCAAAGCGTGTGAGATCCTGTATGTCAACGGGCCGTCGATTCTCCGAGCATTGGGCTGGCTGGCTGGCTGGTTTAGTAGCTCAGTGTTGCCCTAACTACTGTGTAATTGAGACCTACTTTTCGTTTGGTTTGGATTTGTATGTATCGATTAGAGAGTTATGCGGGGCGATTCCAGTAAATGTCGCTAGAGGTCCGTCAGAGATAGTGACGGAGCTAAGATAATGTCATGTAACATAGAAAGAGAGAGAGAGAGAGAGAGAGAGAGAGAGAGAGAGAGAGAGATGAAAGAGAGAACATGAGAGAGATAGAGAGAGATGTGTGAAAAAGAATGTGTTATGAGAAAGACAGAGAGAGAGTGTGTGTGCGTGTGTGTGACAGAGAGTATGTGTGAGAGAGGTGTTAGAAATAAAGTGTGTTTTTGAGAAAGAGAGTGTGTATGTGTGTAAGAGAGAGTCTGTTAGTGAAACAGCGTGAGAGAGAGAGAGAGAGAGAGAGAGTGAGAGAGATAGAGAGAGAGAATAAAGATCGAGGAACTGGATCACATAAGATCAAAATCAGTGTTGGTTCTTCTAGCAATTCTTCGTTCTGATGTGAACATTAAACCAAGATATTTAAATTCACTGTTTTGTATTGTCTCTGTGTTTTTATTTCTGACGGAGCCAGACTTTTTTTTTTTAAATGACTGACTCCCAGGTCGACCCAGCCTTGAGTGGATACCAGGTGCAGTCCTGTGAAGTAAAGGCGGCCGGCGTGATGCTGCCCACATCACCCACCAAGTGTCATACGCATTGAAACCTGCTGTTGGAGATTAAAAGATGGCGAGAAGCGTTCTCATCCTCGTCAGTCGGTAAGGTTGATGATAATGATGATGATAGTGGTATTGATGATGAGTAGTATCCCATTCTATTTAATGTTAACGACGGAAATTGGAGTTGGGAGGGGGGGGGCGACGAATTAGCCAAGCCGTTTGCCTCGGTTCTGCAGGTTCGTTTCACGGAGACGTCTTTGTCCGTGAGTACAAAGTTTACGGAAATCACTGGATTTGTTGCTGGAACTACACAGTTCATACTTTGTGTGACGCTATTGGCATGCGGCTTCGGCTCTGTGGAGAAAACCCGATTCATAGAGGATAGAAAAATTAAACATTGTTAGAAAAGATCTACGAATAATAAAGAAAATGTATTGGCAGCAAACAGCAGCTATAAGAATTAACAACTGTTTATGTACATTTCAAAGCATAAAGAGGGGCGTACGACAAGGATGTGTACTTTTACCTGATTTGTTTTCACTATACAGTGAATATAAAATATCTTTAATTGACATGCCCGGAATTTTGCTTGGTGGGCGCAATATAAACAGTTTACGTTATGCTTATGACACAGTCTTGATAGCAACAAGTCAGAAAAAACTACAGGAAATTATAGACATTGTAGTGTAAGAAAGTGGAAGAACGGGCCTAAGTTTAAATAATGGGAAGACAGAAGTAATGGTGGTATCAAAGAAACGAATTATTCATAAATGTGTAATAAAAGTCGAAGGTGTTATTTTGGGACAAGTACAGACATTTAAGTATCTGGGCACATGGATAATATCAGGTGTAAGATGCATAACTGAGATAAGAAACAGAATAGGACTGGCAAAAACTGCATTTTATAAAATGAAGAGCATCTTATGCAATATATCTTTGTAATTGAGAATTAGAAAAAGAACTCTTGCTTGCTACATACATCATACGGCTGTGAATCCTAGACAATCGGTAGGCAGGCCAAACAATTTCTTGAGGCCCCAGAGATGTGGTTTTACTGAAGAATGCTTAGCATACCTTGGACAGCCAAAAAAGAGCAACCAAGAGGTTGTGAAAGAGGCGGGAGCCCGAAGACAACTTATCACAGACATAAGAAGGAGACAGTCATCATTTTAAGGAGGGATAGAGGAAGACAACGAGAGAAGATTCTTGACAGTCTTGTTGCATGGCATGGAGGTGTGTCGGCACACAAACTGATACATGCTGCAGGAGATAGCAGATTGTGGAGAGGCATGATCGCCCTCGTCAGTCGGCAAGGCACCTTATGATGATGATGATGATGATGAGAGGATAACAACATCTGGTACAAGGAAGTGCTATCGTAAACTATATTTTCGAAATATGGTAATGCTGAAAATACTGGCTATATGGAAATTTCAATGGAAAGACAGATCAGTGAAGACAACTAAAAACGATTTTTACGGCCTTTTATCAAAGTACGGAAAGGCGCCGGCACACTCACTGATTCTCAATGCTCTCAAGGAGGCGGGGCGAGAAGATGAATCAGGAGACGACGCTGAATCGGCAACACTTTAAAGACGACAAGAACTGCAGGTCGAAACAGGTGCAGCCAAACATGAACACTACACAGGTAGCCAAAGAAGAATAGTAAAACAACGAAGAACTGGTGTTCTCAATCGCCACATGCTGAGGGATATAATGAAGATGGGATCTGAGGGCTGATGGACGTGCAGTGAGGATAATATGTCGATTAGAGAACTAACTAGCTAACACTCACTGAAGCGCGCAGTTGGAGATCGTAGGTTGTGGAGAAGAGTAACACTGCACGCTTGTCGGCAAGTCACAGTGATGGTGATGATGATGATGAGAGGTGTCTGATTTGATTTTACCACAGCTGCAGAAAATTCCTCTGTTTTTACTGCGCCTATTGGCGTCTGCCAAAGTTACAAAATGGCGTCTAAGGGCAGGATTTATATTTTTCCAGGCTCCTTTCTTTAACACTTTCACGTTCTTGATCACGTTTCCACACAAAACGGTAACTTATAAAATAAACTCTCTGACTGGTTAAGTTTAACTTGACAATGCTTCTTAGTTATCTAATCAGTTCAAGTGCAATTTTGTGTTCATTGTTTCATTCATTTGTCTGTGTGTTTAGTGTTTGAAACGGTGAAAAAATTTTACTGTTTCAGTTTTTCTTCCACTGCAGCTGCACTCAGTACTCAAGTACTGAGTACTGCCGGTTTAGTTAGTATGACTGCTAGTACTTACACTAGCTGTCAGTAGTGACACAGGATTCGCTGATTAGGATTATATTTTTGTCACAGCTTTTATTTAACCATACATGCAGTAATTGACCTAAAATTAAATCAATGGACAGAAAATTGAGCAAGTTGAATAGTTACAATAAACAATAATATTGAAACATTCCTGAAACTTGAAGTATATAATAATATAATATTAGGCTATTATCCTCTGAATAATGGTCCCAAATTATCTATCAAGGCTAAGAAAATACATACCCAAACAGGGCCTCGATGCTTATGACTGTGCAGCTAGGAAACTGCGCAAAATATTCAGTAAACAACGCGTGACTAGTGCCACCATGGTAACATTAGTCGCGTCCAAGTAAGTTCTATCCATAACCCTTCAATCGATAGTGTTGCAGTTCCACTGTTGTGACAGATTCTGGAGACAGTGTTGTATTTGCAATATTCCTTGCCCGAACTCTAATCCTAACCCTAAACACAGCACAGTGAAGAAAAGACACTGGTGTTGGAGAGGACAGTCATTGAGAAAAACCTGAGAACAATATAACTAGAATGACTTTGCACTGGAAACCACAGGGGCATAGAAAAAAAGGAAGACCCAAAAAATAAATGAAGAAGGGAACTAGAGTGTGAAGTTAAAAATATTGGGAGGACATGGAGAGTGCTGCATGGGATAGCGAAGAATAGAATGACTTGGCGTGAGTTGGTTGAGGGCTGATGCTCCATTGGGGGCTAGAAAGGGAGAAGAAGACAAAGACTATATGCCCAGTATACCTAATGATGTGGAAAAGGGTCCTTTTGTCCTGTCGACTTCCCAGAACATGTCCTGGTAGTCATTTGACTCTGGGTCTCCTTGTGAGCTTAAGGTCTGTTCTAAAAACCCTCCTTGATGTGGAAAAGGGTCCTTTTGTCCTGTCGACTTCCCAGAACATGTCCTGGTAGTCATCTGACTCTGGGTCTTCTTGTGAGCTTAAGGTCTGTTCTAAAAACCCTCCTTGATGTGAAATCAAACCCACAATAGCCATTTTCTGGCAGGCCAGCATTTATTCGCTCCACCGCCTCAACATTCACTAGCACATTTATAAGACTGCTTTGATGAAAATAATTTATTAATTTTCTTGCTTTTAAAATAATTTTACAAAATGTTATTTTTTTTTTTTTGTAAACTGGTTTTTGAGCAATTCTTTTTTTTTTTTTTTTAAATAGAGATTAAACAACGAGACAAAACAACGAAGAGAGAAAAGGGGAGAGTACTCTCATACCATGGAGTACACTGCTGAAAATGTTGAACAGGTAAGAAGAAAAATAACTCCAGCTGGATTATGAAGTTGACTCTTTATTCAGTATTTTTGGGTTCCAGGGCCACGTTTTAAGAGACACACCCAGTTATGATGCTCATATTGTGTTCCCAGCATTCTTCACAATGTGAACATACTACAGTTATCTGAAATATGTGATCATCATCAGGTAGCATGACCTGTGTGAATTGTCGCTCCCATCACAGCCTGCCTGAAGTAAACTCGGTCCCTTGCCAGCTTTCATTCCTCATACACTTTCTTTTCCACAGTGTCTGTTATGTGCTGTGTGAATTGTCGCTCCCATCACAGCCTGCCTGTAGGAAACTCGGTCCCTTGCCAGCTCTCATTCCTCATACACTTTCTTTTCCACAGTGTCTGTTATGTGCTGTGACCATCAGTGGTCAGCCCCTGTCCCTCTTACCCGCTACCATGCCCTCCACTATCATTTTCGCCAGTCCACCATGACGGTTACTTTATTTCAGTTTCTGAGACAAAATGCTTTTTATAAAATAATAATAAGATTTAGAGGGGGGAAAACCACAAGTGTGAGAAAATATGAATTCACCTATTTTAAGAAAACTAAACAATAGTCTCTGAATATCCCAGTTTTAACTTCCCCTCACCCAAAATAAAAATAAAACAGTCATTTGTTTTTAAATAATCCCAGTCATAAGGAAAAGATGTTGATATAAATATTATTACTTAAGAGTTAGCCATAAAAATGTATACACAGTAAGCACCCAGCAGTGAAATGCATGAACATTATCATAGATGCTGCATGTTTAAAAACATCATCATAACATGATATTTCCATCATATTTCGATCAAATTACGGTAGCTGTGTGTTGAATTCTGGTTATGAAAGGTGTCTGGTGGTTAATGGGAATCACTTTGAGCACATGTAGTAACTTCATACATCACACATAACTTGTGCATCTCTTCATATCTGAATAAATTTAGTATCAAAACAGGCTGTTAGTTTAAAACTCAATGCAGCACATTGCTACCAAAATGTATTTATAGACCACAAATATACATGTAGATTCAAGGGGAAGTCAATAAGTAAGTCACATATGGTTATGGGATTGCAGGAAAATATTGGTGGTTTCTGAAGGTGTCATTAGGTGACAGCAACATCAAACTTTATGTTTCCATTCATTAGGTGGTGCTAGGTGTTGCATTTGCATTCGCAACACAGAAACAAAATGGCGACTTCTTACGGAGTGTATCCTCATAGAACAACATGTGATAGTGCGTTCTTTTGGGGCACAAAATGGCTGCATGCAAAATACATTCGTAAGAAAATGCTTCGTTTATGCTGACAAATGTTTATCTCGTAAAGCAGTAGTACATAGCTGGGTAAAAAAAAAAATTCATTAGTTTCATGACTGCCAGCCCAAAAAGCATGCCTCAGTGCAGCGGAAACATTCTTTTTTTGCCTTGTGTTACAAAATTCAAGGTTCGACCATCAGCAGGGAAGGTTATGCTGAAAGTGTTCTGAGATTGTCAAGGAGTGCTTCTAACCAATTTTTAAAAAAAAGAGATGACAGTGGGAATGCTTTATTCTATTGATGCTTTATGATGCAATTTGAACCCCCCGTGTTGGTTCCGGGGAACCATTGTGGGAAAAACAAGAATAGACCCACTGCCTCCCCAAAAGCATGTCGTAAGAGTCGACTAATTGAGGAGCTTCCTTTGAAGTCGGAGTGCATCTGCCGGAGAGGCGAGGAACCAACAGTCTGTATTCAAGAGAATGAGATCTGTAAAACTGATGCACACGCAACACTCAGGTTCTGGAACAGGACTGCAGTTCAGTAGTGGACGAGCAACCAGAACTTTCCGCCAGAGTGTACAGCTGGTGAACGCGAAGAAGAAGAAGAAGAAGAAGATGCAATTTGAAGAAAACCTGCTGATTAGAGGAGTGCTGGTCCTTCTTGACAATGCCAGACCACATACGGCTCTGTTAACCCAGGATAAAATTAACCATTCAGGATGGGAACTTCTGGAACATTCACCATACTGCCCCAACTTAGCATCTAGCGATTTCCACCTTTTTGGTCCACTGAAAAGCCACCTTGGCGGGAGACATTTCGTGGTTTAGAAAACAGAGCACGCACTTCTATGCAGCAGGTTTGGGAGGACTGGTAAAACAAAGGGACATATGCATCATTATTGGTGGAAACTATATTGAAAAATAAAGGAACAGTATGTGTAAAAATAAACAGTTTTCAAGTTGCCTTCTTCTTTATAATTTTTTTTTAAACAACCATGTGACTTTGTGACTTACTTATTGACTTCCCTTCATACATGTTACTGATGGGCAATTACTGTGTATACATTTTTTGGGGCTAAGTGCATTATTGATTAAAATATTGTTGCCTAACACTACATAGTCAGAGCTGGGAGAGCACCATCACCCAAACCAGCTACCAAGGGGCTTGTATAAGAACATTGTTGCCCCTAACTGTTATCTGCTTGTCCTTGTGTTCTGACAGGCAGTCAAGCAGTTCTACCTCAACCCTAGTCTCCAGAGTGAGGTCCACTTCTGGCTGACCGGAGCACAAATCTCACCTGCAGCATGGTCATTCTGTTGGAGTTTGATGGCTCCAAATAAGGTAGGGAGATCAGCAGTGATTTTATTCAGTTCTCTCTCCCGTCTCTCGCACCCTATCTCTTCCCCACTGTCTTGTATTCCTGTTTCTCTTTAATTCCCTTCCTCTCTTTTATTGCCTTTCTTTCTTCCTCCTCTCAATCTTTCTCTCTATTTCCTCTCCCCCTCTGCTGCCTGTTTAAGAGACATATTCACTGACTCATAAATCTGTTTCTTCCATCTCATATGCCCTGTCTTTGTTTACTGCTTCAGCAAAAAAAGAACCATCTTTGCAATTGATTTAAATTCCAAAAGCAAATACCAACCATCTTTAGTACTCGTTCTAAACCTCGTTCTTCTTCTTCTCCATGTTCAGCGGCTGTAAACTCTAGCATAACATTCTTGTTTTTTAACCACTCCTAGACTCAAGTCCTTTTCCCGAACTTGAATTTTGCCGGCACATCCATTTTTCAGACCTGGCTTATATGTTTGCAGACTGTTGGTTCCTCACCTATTGGGCATATGCAACCGTGACTTAAAAGAAAATTAAGTGATTAGTTGACTTGTACAGCGTGCTTGCTGGAAGGGGGGCGTGGTCTATTCTTTTATTATCCTAAAATAGGTGTCATGGAACCCTCATCAGGAAAGCCAAACTAATTCCCTGAGGGTTTCAGAGCACCTTTTTTTAGGCTGGATTTACCTCGGAACTCAAGTCGTCAGTTGTGTTGTTTAACCCTGGCAACCCAAGAATCCGAAACAATATTTGGGTTGTAGCTGGTTCCTCCCCCACCCCCACCCCCCACCCCCTTTTTTTTCCTCACATTGTTCAACCCTTTCATCTGTAGTGGCGGGATGCTGATGACATCACCCATCTTGTGCCATTGGTCTATAAAATTTAGGTCTAGCCCTATATACCCAATTCGCCTGAAAGACGTAGAAAAAGGTCCTTTACTTGTCATCTGTAGTATCCCTACAGTGCCAGCATAGCACTAACAGTGCATCCACAGTACCCATTTAGTGCTCAGTGTTCTCCTGTGATTCTCAAATACCACTCTCACACTGCACCTGAGGAGCGGCTGGCCGAACGGTTAAAATGCTGGACTCTGAAGCAGGAGACTCAGGTTCAAATCCTCAGTACGACAGGGGATTTGTTTCTTTCGGCGGGCAAAATAAAATTCTCACCTGCACAGCCGTGGCAAGGCACTAGCCATGCGGCCGTAAATCCTCAGGCTGAAAGAACCGCAGAGGTGGTAAAATAAAGGCAGTCATTGGCATGTTTTTTTTTTACACTGCTACTATGTATTTGTTGTATGTTGTTCTTGGTGTGTTTATTTGTTTGTTATTATTGAGTCGGATACTTTACCACAGGGTCTGGAAGTCCAGTACTACGGAGCAAGCTGTCTGCATGTCAAGATTGTCAGATTCTGGTAAGATTTATCTCTCTTCTGTTGTATGTGAGTGACTGCAAAGTAAAGGCAGCCAACTATGATGTTGACCACACAGTGGGGGGGGGGGGGGGGGGGGGGGGGTGTGTGTGTGTGAAAGGGTTGGTAAAAAAAAAAAAATGACAAAAATGTGTTTCTTTGATTGATATATATATATATATGGGGGGGGGGGGGGGGGGGGGCGCAGGAAATGTTCTGCACGGGTTAACACCAGGCCATGCTGGGTTAATGGCCACACCAAACATTGCATGATGATTGGTCTATAGCAGTGTTCTTCAAACCGTGTACATCAGAATTTTCTCATTTAATTGTTAAAGACTGGTTTTACATATTTGTATATTATTTTATTTCACTGAAGTCATGTTACTGTCTTGTCTCCTATATTGATAATGTTCTGTGAAGTAATAAGTTTGCTGATGCATCTGATATGAAGTTTCATCTATTATTATTGTTATCATATATTCAGGCATGAAATTCCTCGTGAAGAATATGAATCGTTGAAATCCAAACTTCTCGAATCCATAGTACAGTTTTCCTCCGGACCCAGGGTGATTTTGACGAGGTTATGTGTTGGAGTGAGTATTATTGGTTGAATGTTTAAGTTATTATTCATTAATGTTTTTTTTTGTTTTTGACATGCATTACTTTTGCAACAGTTATCAGCAGAAATCTCTCTGTTGCTGTTTTGAGTAAATACAGTAAAATTAACGCCAGGGAAATGAGATGCCCAAGGAGAGCCGCCAACTTAACCTCGGAGAAATGGTTTTACAGAAGAATCCTTAGAATTCCTTGAACAGCTAAGAAGAGCAACTCAGATGTTTTGAAAGAGGTGAATGCTTGGAGAAAACTTAACACAACCATCATATTAAGACAGTCGTCATTTTTTGGTCATGTTATGAGAAAAGGGAACATGTAACCACTGGAAAGATTTATGGAAAGAGAGACAGAGGAAGACAGCACAAGAAGATTCTTGACGGCCTTTTAACACACCAACTGATACACGCAGCTGCAAATCGCACATTGTGGAGAGGCATGATTGCCCACGCCAGTCGGCAAGCCACTTGATGATGCTGATCAACTAAGTCTTCACTTTTCAAGTCCCAAGTCATTGCCACAAAGTCTCAAGTCAAGTCTTTTGTCACCAAGAAAGCTTCCAAGTCGAGTCGTGAGTCAAGTCACTTCATGTATAAAGTCATTTACATCATGCAGATTTATTTAAATTTACTTGTATAAAGATAAAGATCAATAAAAAATGGTGAACATTAAAAACTGGAAATGGCAGTGGGGAAAAAACTCTGATCTGTACATAAAAGCAGAAGTCGAATCTAAAAGCTTAATAAATCACAGCCCAAGTTGAGCCACTAGAAGAAAACCCAAGTCGAGTCACTGGAAGAAACCCAAGTTGAGTCACTAGAAGAAACCCAAGTCACTGGAAGAAACCCAATTTGAGTCACTGAAAGAAACCCAAGTCAAGTCACTGGAAAAAACCCAAGTCGAGTCACTGGAAAAAAACTCAAGTCGAGTCACTGGAAAAAAACTTAAGTCGAGTCACTAGAAGAAAAAGTTGAGTCACTGGAAGAAAACCCAAGTCAAGTCACTGGAAGAAAACCCAAGTCGAGTCACTAGAAAAAACCCAAGTCGAGTCACTGGAAGAAAACTCAAGTCGAGTCACTGGAAAAAACTTAAGTCGAGTCACTGGAAGAAAAAGTTGAGTCACTGGAAGAAAACTCAAGTCGAGTCACAAATCACATGACTTGAGTCCCAACCTCTGACGATTTGAAATTGAGTACAGAAGCCATTGTTTCAAATTCTTGGATTGATAGGATTCAGCAAAAATGTTGTGGGCTCCCAGTTCAGTCCAATCTTAAATAGGTGCTATGAAACGCTGTAGGAATTACTGCTTGGCTGGCCTGATGATGTCTGTACCACTCAGAGAGTGCCAATAGGGCAGTAAAAATATATTCCATATACCCAGTTTGCCTCAAGATGTCTAACAAAGTCCATTACAGACTTGACTGTACTGATCAGATACGCTGAACTGTTTCATTCTACTACCAGTTCTAGATTGGGGATATGCACAGGTGCTGTGCCACACATGCTGGTGCACAAGGACCACTCATGTCAGTGCACAAGGACCACTCATGTCAGTGCACAAGGACCACTCATGTCAGTGCACAAGGACCACTCATGTCAGTGCACAAGGACCACACATGCCGGTGCACAAGGACCACTCATGCTGGTGCACAAGGACCACTCATGTCAGTGCACAAGGACCACACATGCTGGTGCACAAGGACCACTCATGTCAGTGCACAAGGACCACTCATGTCAGTGCACAAGGACCACTCATGTCAGTGCACAAGGACCACTCATGTCAGTGCACAAGGACCACTCATGCTGGTGCACAAGGACCACTCATGTCAGTGCACAAGGACCACACATGCTGGTGCACAAGGACCACTCATGTCAGTGCACAAGGACCACTCATGTCAGTGCACAAGGACCACTCATGTCAGTGCACAAGGACCACTCATGTCAGTGCACAAGGACCACTCATGTCAGTGCACAAGGACCACACATGCCGGTGCACAAGGACCAAGCCTGAGACTGGTCAAGATCTGCTTACGCCTCTCTGTGGTCATTGTTAGAAACAGGTTCCCAAAATGGTGGCCTTAGAAACATGCAATCTGCCTAAAAGGTGAAGAACTAACAGTCTACACATAAATAAGCTAGATCTGTAAAATGGATGTGCATGCAACATTTAAGACCTGGAACAAGGCCAAAGTCTATGACTGAACAAACAGCCAGGACTTTCTGCCAGTTGGTGACCACGAACAAGAAGACGAAGGTCTATAAAGATGTAGAGCCAGCAGTGTCGACTCAGTGTGCGTCAAGATGTAGAAAAGCATACATTACCGACAAGACGATAGTTATCATTAAAGCTCAGCTGTTCTATTGCGCAAGCAGTTTTAGACTATATATTTTTTTGTAGTGTGAAAATTGTATCAGTAGAAATTGAAAATCTTGTAGTTATTATAGGATTAAATGTGTCATATTTGTGCCCTACAGCTGTCTGCATTGGTGCTTCAGCTTCTCCCAGACAACTGGCCAGGTGCTATAGAAAATCTCATTGCCACATTCCAGCAGGAAGGATTTGCCTCATTACCTGTGAGAATTTAGAAAATACTTTATCAGAAAATGTTATTGTCTGGTAGATTTATGATGAAGTTTTTTTTACAGTTAGTTGTGTTATTGTCTGGTAGATTTATGATGAAGTGTTATTTACAGTTAGTTAGTAACGAGTATTCTCTGTGGCTTACTGATTAGACTACCAGCCTTTCGAACATGTTAGCACTGAACTCTGATCCCTACTTTGGTTGTAGTCCCTACTTGGGCTGTAGTCCCTACTTGGGCTGTAGTCTCTACTTGGGCTGTAGTCTCTTCTTGGGCTGTAGTCTCTTCTTGGACTGTAGTCCCTTTTTGGGCTGTAGTCTCTACTTGGGCTGTAGTCCCTACTTGGGCTGTAGTCTCTACTTAGGCTGTAGTCCCTTCTTGGGCTGTAGTCCCTTCTTGGGCTGTAGTCCCTTCTTGGGCTGTAGTCCCTTCTTGGGCTGTAGTCTCTACTTGGGCTGTAGTCCCTTCTTGGGCTGTAGTCTCTACTTGGGCTGTAGTCCCTACTTGGGCTGTAGTCTCTACTTGGGCTGTAGTCCCTTCTTGGGCTGTAGTCCCTTCTTGGGCTGTAGTCCCTTCTTGGACTGTAGTCCCTACTTGGACTGTAGTCCCTTCTTGGGCTGTAGTCCCTACTTGGGCTGTAGTCCCTACTTGGGCTGTAGTCCCTTCTTGGACTGTAGTCCCTACTTGGGCTGTAGTCCCTTCTTGGGCTGTAGTCCCTTCTTGGGCTGTAGTCCCTTCTTGGACTGTAGTCCCTACTTGGGCTGTAGTCCCTTCTTGGACTGTAGTCCCTTCTTGGGCTGTAGTCCCTACTTGGACTGTAGTCCCTACTTGGACTGTAGTCACTTCTTGGGCTGTAGTCCCTACTTGGGCTGTAGTCCCTACTTGGACTGTAGTCCCTACTTGGGCTGTAGTCCCTACTTGGACTGTAGTCCCTTCTTGGACTGTAGTCCCTTCTTGGGCTGTAGTCCCTACTTGGACTGTAGTCCCTTCTTGGGCTGTAGTCCCTTCTTGGACTGTAGTCCCTTCTTGGACTGTAGTCCCTACTTGGGCTGTAGTCCCTACTTGGACTGTAGTCCCTTCTTGGGCTGTAGTCCCTACTTGGGCTGTAGTCCCTTCTTGGACTGTAGTCCCTACTTGGGCTGTAGTCCCTTCTTGGGCTGTAGTCCCTTCTTGGACTGTAGTCCCTACTTGGGCTGTAGTCCCTTCTTGGACTGTAGTCCCTACTTGGGCTGTAGTCCCTTCTTGGACTGTAGTCCCTTCTTGGGCTGTAGTCCCTACTTGGGCTGTAGTCCCTTCTTGGACTGTAGTCCCTACTTGGGCTGTAGTCCCTTCTTGGACTGTAGTCCCTACTTGGGCTGTAGTCCCTTCTTGGACTGTAGTCCCTACTTGGGCTGTAGTCCCTTCTTGGACTGTAGTCCCTACTTGGGCTGTAGTCCCTTCTTGGGCTGTAGTCCCTTCTTGGGCTGTAGTCCCTACTTGGGCTGTAGTCCCTTCTTGGACTGTAGTCCCTACTTGGGCTGTAGTCCCTTCTTGGACTGTAGTCCCTTCTTGGGCTGTAGTCCCTACTTGGGCTGTAGTCCCTTTTTGGGCTGTAGTCCCTTCTTGGGCTGTAGTCCCTACTTGGGCTGTAGTCCCTACTTGGGCTGTAGTCCCTACTTGGACTGTAGTCCCTTCTTGGACTGTAGTCCCTTCTTGGGCTGTAGTCCCTTCTTGGGCTGTAGTCCCTTTTTGGGCTGTAGTCCCTTCTTGGGCTGTAGTCCCTTCTTGGGCTGTAGTCCCTTCTTGGGCTGTAGTCCCTTCTTGGGCTGTAGTCCCTTTTTGGGCTGTAGTCCCTTCTTGGACTGTAGTCCCTTTTTGGGCTGTAGTCCCTTCTTGGACTGTAGTCCCTTCTTGGGCTGTAGTCCCTTCTTGGACTGTAGTCTCTTCTTGGACTGTAGTCCCTTCTTGGGCTGTAGTCCCTACTTGGGCTGTAGTCCCTTCTTGGGCTGTAGTCCCTACTTGGGCTGTAGTCTCTACTTGGGCTGTAGTCCCTTCTTGGGCTGTAGTCCCTTCTTGGGCTGTAGTCCCTTCTTGGGCTGTAGTCCCTACTTGGGCTGTAGTCCCTACTTGGGCTGTAGTCCCTTCTTGGGCTGTAGTCCCTTCTTGGACTGTAGTCCCTTCTTGGACTGTAGTCCCTACTTGGACTGTAGTCCCTACTTGGGCTGTAGTCCCTTCTTGGACTGTAGTCCCTTCTTGGGCTGTAGTCCCTACTTGGACTGTAGTCCCTACTTGGACTGTAGTCCCTTCTTGGGCTGTAGTCCCTACTTGGGCTGTAGTCCCTACTTGGGCTGTAGTCCCTACTTGGACTGTAGTCCCTTCTTGGACTGTAGTCCCTTCTTGGGCTGTAGTCCCTACTTGGACTGTAGTCCCTACTTGGGCTGTAGTCCCTACTTGGGCTGTAGTCCCTTCTTGGACTGTAGTCCCTACTTGGGCTGTAGTCCCTTCTTGGGCTGTAGTCCCTTCTTGGACTGTAGTCCCTACTTGGGCTGTAGTCCCTTCTTGGACTGTAGTCCCTTCTTGGGCTGTAGTCCCTACTTGGGCTGTAGTCCCTTCTTGGACTGTAGTCCCTACTTGGGCTGTAGTCCCTTCTTGGACTGTAGTCCCTACTTGGGCTGTAGTCCCTTCTTGGACTGTAGTCCCTTCTTGGACTGTAGTCCCTACTTGGGCTGTAGTCCCTTCTTGGGCTGTAGTCCCTTCTTGGGCTGTAGTCCCTACTTGGGCTGTAGTCCCTACTTGGGCTGTAGTCCCTTCTTGGACTGTAGTCCCTTCTTGGGCTGTAGTCCCTACTTGGGCTGTAGTCCCTTCTTGGGCTGTAGTCCCTTCTTGGATTGTAGTCCCTTCTTGGGCTGTAGTCCCTTCTTGGGCTGAAGTTTTCATTTAAGCATGGTTGATTGTTCACTCAATGGGTGGAGCGGCTGTTAGGTACCAGGCCCTTCTCTGATTCTAGGAGACCTGGTACCGTTCTCAGCTTGGACTATATGCAGTTTTACAAAACAAAATGAAAAATAAGGAAATAATTAATGCTGGATGTGACTTCTTTGAGAGACTGTTCACGATCTGGTCAGGCACACCGAGTAGTGACCCCAGATTGCAGCCGTTTTGAAACTTCCCACTCCACTCATACTCCAGGCATGCATCACCTTACTGAACCTTCATTCGCCAATGACTTTCTGTAGGTTTTACCTTCACTATCTAGAAATGGATAACAGAATGCTGCTTCTCTTTGGTGCATGTCAAAAGTGGGAAAAAATTGCACTTGTAAACAGAACAGTGCGGACCAGAAACAAACCTATGGACCTTCAGCATACAAGATATATGACTTGACCACTTCGCTGTAGAGACCTTTTTCTTAAATAATTATGATCACCATGATCATGTACAACAGGGCTATTCAGCTGATGGCCCGCAGACCTCCTGCCAGTTGTACTGTTTTAATGATCTTTCACTGGGAAGGTCAGAGTAGTTAGCATACTTTGGATCTTTTTTTCCAGGCTATGCCGGCATGGTGGGGAATAAACAGGCAGACAGACTGGCTGAATCTGCACCACTGGGTGATGAATTGATTCATGACAAGGCAGATGTGGTCAAGGCCCTTTGGGAACATATAACAAGTCAGAAGAGAAACAAGATTATTGTGGTTTGGAGCGAATGATGCACATGGGTGTAACTAAATAGTGGCCGGCTCACTACACTCAGAGGAAGGGCAAAACGGACATATAACCAGATTACAACGGGTACCATTAGTATTGGAACTCGGTGCTGGCTGCTGAAAATGAGGACAGAACGCACATGAGAATGCCCCGAGTGCTGCGATGTCAATTTTTGACTCAACTCAGTAATCTTTCTTTGCTAGGGGTGCAGTGTCTGGCCCGCTGCGATCACCATTTTTGATATTTTGGCCCCTAAATAATCTTAGTTGAAAGGCCCTGGTGGACAAGAATGTCAGCATGATTTTTTCTTCATCCCTCAGACAGTGACACGATGCCAGATACTTCTAGAGGTTCTTACTGTGCTTCCAGAAGAGGTGAGTGCTCTGGGAATGGGTCTTCTCTGCTGGCCTTCTGTACAGTATCCCAAAAGTTTCCATACATAAGAAGAATACACATATCACCAACCCCAATGCAAGCATAACTCCAGAGTGCTTATACGTGTTCAGCAGTAGCGGAGGACATGCATCAGAAAGTGTTTACTGAAGGGGGTGGTCATGTAAAGCATTTTATATAAATAAAATACACAAATAAGGCTGCGTCTTGTCCCTCAAAACTATCTGGGAAGCTAACCCGATCGACAAATGCTCAATAACATCTGATACGTCAGCTGAAAAGCGCAAATATCACAGATTTGCTGTAACCAGGCAAAACGCAATTGCATCACTCGGACAAACGAAAAAATAAGAAGATATAAATAAATATGGTTTTCATAAATAAAGGTTTATTTTTCCTATGTATGGAAGATTATGGGATACCTTGTAGATCTATTCTGTGAGAGATATCAGTGGTTAATCTCATATGTAACATATATTTCCCTGTGTTTGCTCTCATTCCTTTTCTGTTAATTAGCTGTTGTGTATTTATTCTAGTACAACAAGAACATCATTGCTTATTTGTTTTTGTTTTTGGAGAGATCTCAACTAACAAAGAAGGTTAACAATTTTTCGTTGTGTCGTGTATATTGTCTTTCTTGTGTGGGCTAGGTGAATGTGTATATTAACGTGGAAGTGTATAGGAACATATTTTACAATTTGCTTAATTAAATTATTTTTTTTTTTTTTCAAGTATTCAGAAAAATATAATTGTTTGTTAGGTTATTAGACAATACCAATTAAGTGGTGAGGGAAAGATGCTGGTGTTGGATAGGGCAAACATTGAGAAAACTGAAATGGTGTCAGTGGAGTGTTCTAAAACTGGTGTCTACTAGACAGCAGATGTAGAAGAAACACGTGAAGTAGAAAATCAGAGCTAGAGTGGGTTGGTGTGAGTTAGCTGGATAAAGAACAAAAGAATACGATGCCTTTGTTGTGGTGACTGCTGGAATACAGATTTCCTTCCTGACCTGGGATTAAACTGTCATATTCAGAGTGGACTGTATTGCAGAGCTCTCTTTTCCTTTCCCTCTTCAGTGTGGAAATCAGCTGTATTATACAATACCCCATACTTGAGCGGCATGTCAGTCCGCACGCTCCAGCTTACGCTTGGAGAAACACCCCTCACAGGCTTGTTCTCAAGTACAGTGACATCAGTTCTTCATCATATCTCAAATATTTTTTCACTGAGCAACATAAGAATTATTAGCTTTTTTTTCAAAAATGACATTGGCTCCCAGATCTACCCAGCCTAAAATGGGTACCGGATACAGACCTGGGAAGTAAAAGTGACAGGTGTGATATTGACCAGATTACCCGTGAATGTCGATTGGTCTGTAAAAAAAAGTCTAGCCCTATATGCCCAATATATTTGAAGGCATTGAAGATGGTCTTTTTTTACTTTTATTATTACAATTCTCCTTCTAGTTGTGAAGGTGCCAATCATGGGAGTGCTGTGTTGAGACCAGGTCTAGACAGTGTAGTGGTAGAGCTTCCAGCTAGTGTTAGTGCTTCCTCTGCATGTTTATCATTCATTTTGTACTTGCCTCATCTCTTATAGTCACAGAGGTAGAATCCCTGTGTTTTGTTCTGTAGCTGCTTTTTCTTTCGGCAGAAATAAATTGTCAGGTAGCAGGTCATTCGAAGAACAGCCTCAATGAAAGAAGCTCAGTCTCTGATCAGATCTCCTGCCTCGTGCACCCTTCTACCCAAGATGTCACTTATATCATATACCCCTCTTTGTGCTGGTTGGCCCCTGCCTCTATTTCCTGTCACTAAGCCTTCTGCTGCTGTTCTTTCAAATCTGCCGTGATGCTTGATATCGCCAGATTATTTCAGTTTTCAAGTCAAGACAAACGAACCAACACCCAGCATGAACACATCCACTCACTCACACACACATACATACACACCAACATACATTATATATATATATATATATATATATATATATATATATATATATATATACAAACATAATACATACACATATGCCACACACATGCCACACACATACATGCATACATGTGTACATACAGACATACTAACACAGGCAGATACACATGCATACTCACACACAGACACACGCATGCTCAGACGCAGACACACACACACAGATACACATACAGACACGTACACACACATGCAGAAAGAAACACCCAGACACACACACACCAAGACACACACACACACACACACAGATACATATGCTGTTTACTAGCTAGTCTCCCTTGATGCTCAGATCTGTTAGTTAGGTCAGTGTTTCTCAGCCTGTGGTATTCTGGGAATGTTTCTATAGCATTTCAGCTATTTTCTTCCTTGATAACTGAGATAAATCTAGATTAGAATCACACACACACAAATTTAAAAAAAAAAAATTTTAATTTAAAAAAAAAATGAACACATGGATTCCTTAAAATTGTGGGATCTGCAGACCTCCAGTTGGAAAACCACTCATTTAGGCCATTTTACAGTATGATAAAGGGTAGCTGCAGAAGAAAGAAGTAGTGTCAGGAGAACACACTAGGCAACATAAACATTGCAAGCTTCTCTTTCTTTGGCATCTGAGAGTATGTATAGCATTCAGTTTTTATGTTGGCTGAGAGTTTTCTGCAGAGATTTCTATGTCAGGGTCTCCCATAAGTTTCCATCCTAGGAAAAATAAACATATTACCAGCACCATTACACTCAGCTTATATGTGTTTTTCAGCGGTGGATGACATGTGCGGAAATGTGTTTTCAAAACAATGGTAGTCACGTACAGCATATTATATAAATAAAAATTGTTTCTGTTAAAAAAAAGTTTTTTTTTTTTCTAAAAACGAAAACTTTTGGGACACCTTGTATACAGTATAAGCTGCAATGGTTTATGTACCTGCTTCCAAAAGTGGTCCGAGTTCAATCCCCGGCAGTGACTGCATTTTTTCTCACCAGTAAGGTTCTGGGGGGGGGGGGGGGCAGCCTAGCCTCGTAACATGAGAACCAAAGGTTTCAGAATTTCTCAGTAATTATCTGGGCAAAACTGATACCTAGGAATGGGACTGACCACCTCATCTCTGGCACTTCACGTCCCAGTGGCAGTATGTATTGTGAGAAGACTATTACCTGTCTAGTGGAGGATCAGATGGCTGAGACATATGTTCAGATATTAGAGGATCAAATGGTTCGGACATGTGTCATGCTGTTGGATGATCAATTGATTTTGGACATTTCTACACATATTTGATGATCAGATGGTTCGGGCATGTGTCAAGCTATTGAAGGATGAAATTATTTTTTGGACATTTATCAAGATATTGTAGGATGAAATGGTTCAGACATGAGTCAAGACATTTGCAAGATAATGCACCAGAGAGAGTCCTTTCACTTAGATTTAATCAGAACGGGCTAGAGGTCACCCATGCAAGCGATGGATAGATGGTGTATCTGACTGAGGCTGGCACTAGATGCTTCTTCAAAACCTGACGCTGAAAGTCAGAACAGGGTCTGGAGAAAAGAAGAAGAGGAAGAAAGGGCATCTTGAGTTAGTTGTTCCTTGTGTTCTGCCTGTCTTTGTATCATAGAGCTTCTCTTGTATCTTTTTTTATTGCTTCTTCCATTCCCCCTTCCCACATTTTGTCTCCCCTAGTTTTTCAGCACAAATCTGTCCCAACAACGGAGGATAGTTTTACGGCAAGAACTAACCAAAGGAATGGATCATGGTAATTTATTATCATGTGACTGCTTGCTTGTATGCCTAACTGATGGCGATGTGAGATAGCCCAGTTGACAGGAAATGACTGAGATGTAAGATATCACAGTTGACAGGAAATGACTGAGATGTAAGATATCACAGTTGACAGGAAATGACTGAGATGTAAGATAGCACAGTTGACAGTAAATGACTGAAATGTAAGATATCACAGTTGACAGGAAATGACTGAGATGTAAGATATCACAGTTAACAGGAAATGACTGAGATGTAAGATAGCACAGTTGACAGGAAATGACTGAGATGTAAGATAGCACAGTTGACAGGAAATGACTGAGATAAGTTTCACGCCTGGACAGGAAAAGACAGAGAATGCTACACAAACTCCTCCCAGTTAATGACGTAACAATCTTTGGCAAAGCATAGCCCAGAAGACAGATTCCTCATATATCATTTTCCCACATGACACCACACACACACAAAAAGATTTTCACATGACACTCATAAAACAGTTGCCCAAATGACAAATTGTGCCACATAAATGATTATCAAATGACATTCAAAACACTGGTCCAAGTGACAAATTCCCCCACCTGCACATACAAGATTCTCACTTGACACTTTCTTACAAATGACAAAGCCCCCATCACAAGTTTCTCACTTGACATTATTTACAAAATGGTATCTCCGTGACAGTTTCCTCACAAAAGGAGCTTGGCAAACACATTTTGTGTGTGAATAGTTGCAACAAGGCGGTTCTTTGTGAATTGTTCATGACATTGCTTCACAGATTCCCCCACACACAATAGTTTTGCCTATGAAATATGAATAAATGCTCTCATGTTCTGCTTTCTGCTGGTGCATTTATCTAAACCCCGTTAGTTGTATGAACCTAGCTTATTTAATCGTAGTTTTTTTTAAACTTGCTTTTGTTGTTATTATTATTATTAGCACATTGAACATTCTGCATAACTGCAATGATGCAGTTTTATGAATTGCTGCTAGATGTCAGAGTAAACATTAGTTTACAAAAATAGTAAACTCCCAACAGAATGTAGGTCATGACAGCATGAAGACTAAGTCCTCTAAACTTGTTTCCTATCTGTAAGGTTCTGATTATAAAAAAATTATCATTTCCTTGTATATTTATCTTCATTTTAATGCCTTCTTCTGTTTTTGCTTGTAAATAATTAGCGCTGTAATTTCAACAAAAATAGTTTTTTTTTTTTTAAACACTGCAGCCTGCATGCCGAGATATTTATTTATTCAGACTGCGTGCAGATTTAGCAATATACAAAAATGAATGTAGCACCACATATATGTGGTTTGAAAAGACCATTACATACATATCCGTGTGTGGTTTGTTTCTGAAAGTACATAATATAGACATGGTGCTCCCTTTGTGGGTTCCGAGGCCCCATTTTTCGGGACAAGAATAATAGACCCACTGCACCCCTAAAAAGTATGTCCACTGCCGGTGTTCGAAACCGGGCGGTTCCCGGGCTAGACCCAGTCTCTAGGAAATGGGTACCAGAGTTAACAATCTGGGGTAAATGGAGGAACCTTGCTGCAGTTGCGGACGGCCACACAGGCAGACAGTTTCTTATTTAGCTGTCTGTACTGGTGGCAGAGCACTGATGGTTTATAACCATGTGCAGTGACGCCGGTTCACATCTCCCGACTTAAGCTTTTTTACCTTTATGTCAAAAAAGGCGACTAATTAGGGGTGTGTCCTTCAAAGTGGAAATGCATCTGTCTGAGAGGCCAGGAACCAACAATCTGCATACAGATAAGATCTGTAAAATGGTTGTAAATGCAGAACTCAAGTTCTAGAACAAGGTGTGGACAAACAAGCCGATTTTTCCATCGGAGTTTACAGCCAGTGAATGCAAAGAAGAAGAAATATTCATTTATTCAGAGCTGTCTGCTGGTTGATCTGTACAAATATGGATCTGGCACCAGATGCATGAAGGACCAGTGAGTGTGAAAATGGTCTTTACCCACAGAGCTATGTGTGTTTTATTTATATGTGTACATTATATAGAGTAGCGGTTCTCAACTTGTGGGTCGCAACCTTTCAAGGGGTCAAATACCCTTTCAAGGGATCGCCTAAGACCATAGGAAAATACATAGTCATTAAAGTTATGAAGTAGCAATGAAAATAATTGTATGGTTAGGGGTAGCCACTACATGAGGAACTATTAAAGGCTTGCAGCATTAGGAAGAGCCATGGATATTGAGGGAATTACTGTATTGGGTTCAAGTCCTGTTGGGGCTGCACTTTAAACAAAAGAATAACTTTGTCTCCCAGGTCGATCCAACCTTAAATAGGTACTAGGGACAGTCCTGGAAAGTAAAGGTGGCTGGCGTAAAGATGACCCACAGCGTGCCAGAGTATTGTAGTTTCCCAGACATGATCCATAGCTTAGGGGTTGCGAATGAGGCTTGTAATTCCAAAGTATTGGGTTTGATTCCAGCTGTGGGCGATTTGGCAACAGATCGATTTGCATTGATGTGGATAATCATAAGCAGCACTGGCATTCAGAAGGCACTGTTCTACCAAGCATTTTCACAGATTTTTATGCAAACAAAGTATTGTTTCCGTCCCTTAAGTTTTTATAAAAAAAATCATTCTTGTTTTCATTAAAAATTGCCGCAAAAAACTCTAACCAATTGCTGTGTTGTAGGATTGAAAAATAAAACCCAGTTACCATTGTAGTTGCCAGATTGATTCAGTATACTGCGACCACATTTTAAATTTAAGAAGATGTGTGGGAGAATAGTCAGTAACAAATCATGCATTATTGGGGCCTGAAAGACTAAACTCATGACACAGTATTGATATTTGCTTCTCCTGTGATTAACTTATGACACAGTATTTATTTTTTGCTTCTCCTGTGACTAACTCATGACACAGTATTGATATTTGCTTCTCCTGTGACTAACTTATGACACGGTATTGATATTTGCTTCTCCTGTGACTCTCTGATGCATCTTCCTTTCCCCGGACAGTGATCCCACTGCTGCAGTCACTGCTGACAGATGAGAGCCCCCTGGAGGTGTACCAGAGTTCCTTGAAGGCTTTCTCTCGCTGGGTCGACTTTGGCCTGGCCATTGATAGATCTGAACCGATTATACAACAGGTAGGTAGAGGTGATTGATGATTTCTTCTTAGAACCGATTATACAGCAGGTAGATAGAGGTGACTGATGATGTCTTCTTTTTCAGTTTGTTCAGTGATGTTTGTTTTGTATTCTTTGTGTGTATGTATGTGTGTACTGTTTATTTGTTTCTGTGGTTTCTTTCAGGAGGCATCAATGTCCAGCATACCTTCATCTAAACAGTTTCACTTCTTCTTCTTCTTCTTTTTCTTCTTCACGTCCTCTTTTACCACTTCGGGTGTCGAGGGAGATATAAGATCCTGCTTCGTGCTCTTCTGGCTACTTAGACCATAGACACTTTGTTGTGGTGTAGAGTTTCTCTGATGTTATCTTCCCATCTTGTTCTTGGTCTGCATATAGTATTCAGAATAGCTGGTATAGCATCAGAAGGCATTCTCTTCAAGTAAGCAAACCATTTGATTTGTTGTCTTTCTATGTAATTTAGAATTGGTTCTGTGCGACTTGATCTTGTACGACCTCATTTCTGATTTGATCTCTTCTGGTCACTCCTACAGTCTTTCTCAGACACCTCATTTCCATGGTTACTAATTTTTGCTTATGTTTTGTTGTGAGTGACCACGTCCGGTACTGATAGCATAGGGTGGGAATGAATATGCTTTGTTTGAGATGTTTCTTTGTGCTGATTGGGAGAACCTTATGCTATGGGGTGGGGGTAGCTGTCCCAATACAGTTTTACTATTGTCACATAATTTTTAGTTTTATTGTATTATTTTTATGCTTTTTATTTTATTACATGTTATTATTATTTCATTCTGTCTCTTATCAGTACCAGTTATAGATCATTAACATTTGTATTTCTATTACTCTTTTATCCCTACTGTTATTATATGTTATCAATATTACTTTTATGACTATTTTTCGAGCCTTTATTTTGTTTATTCCACCTTTTTACAGTTTCTCACGTTAGCCCCGGTGGTCGCTGGTGGTTGGAGAACTCTCCCTTTGTTATTGTTGTGTAGTTTAGTTCCTGTCAAAAAAAGGCCTCAGTCGAAACCTCAATTTGTGTTGTTTTGTGCACATTTTTTTTCTGCTTCCCCTTTCGTGAAGCTTTTTTTAGTCACAGTATGCTGGATTAATTTCTTGTTTCTGTGGTGGTTGTTGCCAGCTGTATGTTCTCTGGCTTTGATTTATACTGTTTGTTGTGTACTGGGTTGAGTTGGGACAAGAATGGACATCACAGAACTGAATATTCCCTCATGTACTGCATCCTAATTTTCAGCAGCTGGCAAAGAGTTTCAGTTTTGATGGTACCAATTCTGTACTGTGTTTATGCTGTAATGTGTTTCTTCTTTATTATTTGTGTTTTATGTATTGCATTGGTTAATTTCATATGGCATATGGATACCTGAAATTGTATCACATAGCAGTTTTAAAACCGAACACTTGACATGGCAGAAAACATGATGAAATGTGATACTTTTAGATGGATTTCTGGACATCACACACAACATGATGTAAAACTTTCAGCCAGATGTCTTGACGTAATACTCAACATGACACAACACGTTCAGCTGGATATCTGACACGACACATGACATGACACTTTCACCCGGCTATCTGAAATAACACACATTATGATATGACATTTGCAGCTAGATACAGAGAAGGGGGAGATTTAAGGAAAACTAATAAGTAATGGTAGTCATCAAAGCATTTCACTTGTGTGTGTGTGTGTGAATGTGTTAGCCTGCCATTGGGTCTCTAGATATACATATATCTCCATGATGAACTAGTCTGAGTGGTGATCTAAAACTGGGGTTCCGTGATGAACTCTGTCGGTTTTTTGTGTGTGGTTTTTTTGGTGGGTGCACATGTTTTGGAGACCCTGGAGATCATTGCTGGAGCTGTGGAGTGTGTTCTTTGTGCAGTGATCCTGCAGAAAATCACCACTCTGCAAATAAAGGCTTAGTCATATGGAATTCCTCCCCCCCCCCCCCCCCCCCAATACAGCTTTAGTTGTTCATCCACTTCTGGATTTTGGTCTTGCACTAGAACTTTAGTTTTATGTGCACATCCGTTTTACAGATCTACCTTTTTTGTAAGCAGGCAGTTGGTTCCTTGCCTCTCAGGCAGGTGCTTTCCAATTTTGAAGAAAATACCTTTAATTAGTCTCCTTTTATGGCATGCTTGTTTGTTTGGTGTGATGGGGGGGGGGGGGGGGGGGGGGGAGAAAGGCAGAGGTTTTGTTCTCTTTCCCTCAGCTTGGGTCCCAGAATACACATGGGAAAGCCATATAAGATTTTTGTTTTTATTATTGCATTTACTGGCTCTAAACTCCGTTGGAAAGTTCTTCTGGTTGTTCATCCACTTCTGGACCTTTGGTCTTGTTCTAGAACTTGAGTTTTGTATGCACATCTGTTTTACAGATCTGCCTTTTTTGTGTGCAGATTGACTGTTGGTTTCTTGCTCTCCAGTGTGAAGAAAACACCAGTAATTAGTCTCTTTTTAGGACTTGCTGGTTGGAGTTGGCGGGAAGGGGGGGGGGGATCCATGTTTTCCCTCATCTTGGGATCCTGGAACCCACATGAGGAAAATATATGGGATCAAAGCAGCCACGGTTTAAAGGTCTCAATGTTTGTCCGTGTGTCTGCCTGGACAGTTTGTGGATGAAGTGTCACTGCAAGGTCACTTGTTCTATCCCACAGGTGTTCTCCTCGTTACACAACCCACATTTATTTGACATCGCCTGTGATACACTGGTGACTGTGTTTGCACATCCTGAGTCGTACAGGTGAGTGACTTGGCTTTCATGAACAACCCACATTTATTTGATATCGCCTGTGATACACTGGTGACTGTGTTTGCACATCCTGAGTCGTACAGGTGAGTGACTTATCTTTCAGTCTCATGAATGATTCATCTCATCTCAGGATCAGGATATATTCAGTACTGCTGTACTGGGGGAAGCATTTTAGAAAAAATCTGACAGATAAGAGACAATGATGTTTCTTCTTCTTTGCGTTTACCATCTGCAGACTCCGGCCGAAAGTTCTGATTGTTTTTCTACTTCTGGACTTTTGTCTTCATTCAGAACTTGAATTTTGCATGCACATCTGTTTTACAGATCTGGCTTATTTCTGTGCAGATAGTTGGTTTCTCACCTATCAGGCAGATGCACTCCATCTTTGAAGGAAAGGCCCCCAATTAATTAGTTGCCCTTTATAACAAGCAACATGCTTACACCACAAACTGGTGCCCCAGAACCTACACAAGGAGGACAGTGAATCGGTGCTAGTTTAAAGTGTTCACACACAGTGGGGATTTATTGTGCTGCAGCGATAGAGAATATGATGGGTGTAAATCCTTGGTTCAGTGTGTATAATATTGCGCGGTGTTGGCAACAAAAAGATCAGGGTATGAATTTTAAAAACTCAATAAGCTAAAGGTCACACAAATAAGCACGTCCAAAGAACAGCAGAAATTGGGTAAAGCTTAGACGTCACAAACAAAACCACACAAGAGGTTTACACATAGCACAGATTCCATAGCTCGGCTGATGACCCCCCGGGATCTGAGTGAAAATTGCGCTCGTGAGTTCAACACAGCATCTGTGAAATGAACCTACAACTTTCAAAGAAGGAGACCGGCATCTTGACCACTTCGCCAGTGAGACTAATTGGTTTTGTTGATTAAATCATGGTTTGTTTTGTATTTATTGTCTTCTTGCCATACCTCATTTACATTCAGTACTGTATTCTTCTTCTTCTTCTTCTACTCCTGTTCTGCCTTTTGGCTTCAGGTTTTGACCAGGCATCGAATGAGAGTCTTAGTATGTGCTATGTAGTTGCTCGTATTTATGGCCTCGGCTATTCCATTCATCCATTGCTTGTGTGGTCGACCTGTGGCTCTGCTTCCATTATGTCCAAGTCTCTGTGGTATACACCTGTATATGACTTATAAATTGATTGTTTGTGGCCAGATATCCTGTGACGGTTCAGAGGCTGCTATCACAAGTTGTGGCTCTACAAGGCTTGTTTTCCCAGGCTGTGCTTGACGAAGATAAGGTATGGTTCATGGATTTGTCTCTTGTGATTGCCTTCACTGTACATCGTTGTGGGGTTCTGTTTTTTGTCAAAGTTCATTTAGATGAACTTTGAATTTGTACCTTTTAATGTCATTATGTGGCACTGCTGATTTTTACTTGTAATTATTGTGTTTGTACCTTTTACTGTCACTGTGTTATGCTGCCATATTTTAGTTACACTATCATTTTCTTCTTGTACCTTATACTGTTACTTTGTTGCACTGTCATATTTTAGCTATGCTATCATTTTCTTCTTGTACCTTATACTGTTACTTTGTTGCACTGCCATATTTTAGCTATGCTATCATTTTCTTCTTGTACCTTATACTGTTACTTTGTTGCACTGCCATATTTTAGCTATGCTATCATTTTCTTCTTGTACCTTATACTGTTACTTTGTTGCACTGCCATATTTTAGCTGTGCTATCTTTTCTTCTTGTACCTTATACTGTTACTTTGTTGCACTGCCATATTTTAGCTGTGCTATCATTTTCTTCTTGTACCTTATACTGTTACTTTGTTGCACTGCCATATTTTAGCTGTGCTATCATTTTCTTCTTTTACCTTATACTGTTACATTGTTGCACTGCCATATTTTAGCTATGCTATCGTTTTCTTCTTGTACCTTATACTGTTACTTTGTTGCACTGCCATATTTTAGCTGTGCTATCTTTTCTTCTTGTACCTTATACTGTTACTTTGTTGCACTGCCATATTTTAGCTGTGCTATCATTTTCTTCTTGTACCTTATACTGTTACTTTGTTGCACTGCCATATTTTAGCTGTGCTATCATTTTCTTCTTTTACCTTATACTGTTACATTGTTGCACTGCCATATTTTAGCTATGCTATCGTTTATGTTGTTCTCGCCAGGAAACTTGTGAAAGGATCTGTCGTGTGGTGGTTTCATTGGCAGAAAACCACACCAAGTTGATAGTTGACTCTGTGCTGGGTCCTGAAGAGGTCAAACAGAACACCATGTCTCTGCTGCAGATGATTCTGGTGAGGCTTCTTCATCAGCATCAGAAACAGCCGAGATCATCATCATCATGACTTTTTATTTTATCATCACTTTCAATTTTTTTCTTCTAAATTTGTTAAAATGTTGTCATCATTATTGTTACCACCATCATCACTGTTTTACTATTATCATCATTTGTTATCATCATGTTCACTTTTCACCATTATATTCACTATTTTTACCATCACAGTATTACAATCATCACTATTATTAACATTTCTGTTTTATTTTCAGCATCACCGATTTGTTATCAAATTTTTTAATTATTATTATCAACTGCCGTTTTTTTTACTGTTAGCATCACTGTATTACTATCGACATGACGGTATTACTGTCAGCATCACTGTATTACTATCAACATGACGGTATTACTGTCATCATCACTGTATTACTATCAACATGACGGTATTACTGTCAGCATCACTGTATTACTATCAACATGACGGTATGACTGTCAACATCACTGTATTACTATCAGCATGACGGTATTACTGTCAGCATCACTGTATTACTATCAGCATGACGGTATTACTGTCATCATCACTGTATTACTATCAACATGACGGTATTACTGTCAGCATCACTGTATTACTATCAACATGACGGTATTACTGTCAGCATCACCGTATTACTATCAACATGACGGTATTACTGTCAGCATCACTGTATTACTATCAACATGACGGTATTACTGTCAGCATCACCGTATTACTATCAACATGACGGTATTACTGTCAGCATCACTGTATTACTATCAACATGACGGTATTACTGTCAGCATCACCGTATTACTATCAACATGACGGTATTACTGTCAGCATCACTGTATTACTATCAACATGACGGTATTACTGTCAGCATCACTGTATTACTATCAACATGATGGTATTACTGTCAGCATCATTGTATTACTATCGACATGACGGTATTACTGTCAGCATCATTGTATTACTATCAACATGACGGTATTACTGTCAGCATCACTGTATTACTATCAGCATGATGGTATTACTGTCATCATCACTGTATTACTATCAGCATGACGGTATTACTGTCAGCATCACTGTATTACTATCAACATGATGGTATTACTGTCAGCATCACCATATTACTATCAGCATGATGGTATTACTGTAAACATCACTGTATTACTATCAACATGACGGTATGACTGTCAACATCACTGTATTACTATCAACATGACGGTATGACTGTCAGCATCACTGTATTACTATCAGCATCTGTGTTTTACTGTCAACATCACTGAATTACTATCGACATGACGGTATTACTGTCAGTATCCTTGTTTTACCGCCCCCTTCGTCATCACAGTAGATGTACAAAAAGGGAAATAACTACTATAGAAAAAACAAAACAAATTTGTCGCTTCCAAAGGGACTAAAATACAATCGTTGTGGCCAGATTTCTACAGTTTATTCTAACTAAATGTGATGAAAAGGGGGGGGGGGGGGAGTGATGGATACACATGGTGGGATGGTTAAGATTTAGAAAGGAGAGCCAATCACACGTCACCATTTTTTTGGGACAGACAGGCAGTTATAAGTTAATGGTATCAGATATCGGCACCATAGAGGTAATATGCATTTATGGGTATTTATTGTAACAGGTGAGCTTGGATTTATTCAGTGGGATTTTTTCTTTTCTTTCTGTTGTAGGCTTGTACAGGACTGCCAGGCTACTTCCCCATTGATGAAAGCTGTAGCGACCAGACATTCACATTTTGGTACTTACTGCAGGTGAGGGCACTATTGGTTGTGCTGTCCTGTTTTGTTAGCTTTACAGCTTGTCTTGTTCATACTGTCATGTTTTGTTAGCTTTACAGCTTGTCTTGTTCATTGTTTATACTGCCATGTTTTGTTCGGGCTATAGTTCATGTTGTTCAGACCATTGCGATTTGGTTGTTTTACAGTCTTGAATGTTCAGGCCATTATGTTTTGTTAGCTTCACATTTATTGTTGTTCATACTGTTTTGATGTGATAGCTTTACTATTTAAGTTGTTTCTACTGTTTATATTTTGTTAGTTTTAACGTTTAAATTGTTAATTCTGCCATTTTTATCAGCTTTACACTTTGTGCTGTTCTTGTCATAATTGGTTAGCTTTACCTCTGATGTTATTCATACTCTCAAGTTTTAGTATTAGGTTAATATTTATGTTAATTAATAAACATGTCAGACAATTTTCCTAGGCCTCGGAGACATAGTTTTACAGAAGAATTCTTAAAACTCCTAGGGCGGCCACAAAGAGCAGCCCAAATATTTTAAAGGAAGCAAAAGCTCGAAGAAAACTTATCACACAAATGAGAAAGTAAGAAAGGGACAGTAATCATTTTTTGGTCATGACTTGAGAAGAAAGTAACTGGGACATGTTGTGACCACTGGAAAGATCTGTGGAAAAAGAGACAGAGGAAGACAATGAGAAGATTCTTGACAGCTTTTTTTCAAGGTTGTAACGACACGAATCGATGCATTCTGGTTTAAAGATTGCAGATTATGGAGAGGCTTGATCGCCCATGTCAGTCAGCAAGAAAGTTTATAGAGAGGCTTGATCACCCATGCCAGTCAGCAAGGCATTTGATGATGATAATACTTACGTTGTTCCTTCTCTGTTTTGTGTGTGTATGTGCATGTTCTATCGTGTCATGTGAGTGTGTGTGTGTGTGTATATGCATGTTCTATCGTGTCATGTGAGTGTGTGTGTGTATGTGCATGTTCTATCGTGTCATGTGAGTGTGTGTGTGTGTGTATATATAAATTCATTCAAATTGTCAAGTGGTGCTAGGTGTTTTCTAGTGTACATTGATGCTAAAGGATTAGCGACGTCTTTTATGTCCCCCAGGATGAGTTAACCAATGTCTCAGAAGAAGACCTCACACCACTGATGGAGGTGTTCAAGCCCATCTACTTCATGTTGATTGAGGTGCTACTGGTCAAAGCCAGGCATCCGTCTGAAGCTGAGTATGCCACCTGGTCACTGGGTGAGTGCCTCATAAATGGGATCTGGTTGTCATGACACTTACCCCTGTTGCCGGAGAAGGCTAAATATAGTCACTTCCTGTTGTTACACAACCCCATAAAGGCTGATAAATCACTATTTCTGCAGTAACCTGTTCTGTAAAAGCATAAGATACCATTGGCTCTTATTTACTTGTATCGTGATAAGCCTCACTAATAGAGGTCACGGGGTCACTGCATGCATTACCTGATACAAATGTTTTAGACCCTAGCGAGTATTCTACGTTCACTTTTACATTCAGCAGTTTGCTTTTGTTTCCTAAATGGTCAGCTCTCAAAACTCCTGTCGAAATCCCGTCGAAAACAAGAATAGACCCACTGCCTCCCCAAAAGCATGTCGTAAGAGTCGACTAATTGGGGAGCTTCCTTTGAAGTCGGAGTGCATCTGCCGGAGAGGCAAGGAACCAACAGTCTGTATTCAAGAAAATGAGAAATGTAAAAGTGATGCACATGCAACACTCAGGTTCTGGAGCAGGACTGCAGTTCAGTAGTGGACGAGCAACCATAACTTTCCGCCAGAGTGTACAGCTGGTGAACGCGAAGAAGAAGAAACCGGGTACCTCAGGATTATGCAACACAATTGCAGCGCCTAAGCCCCAGATGCCAACTTTAAGAAAAGAAGTCAGAGATAAGATAAACATCTGGACAACCACTAGTATCAAGAGTTATAAGAAAAGAAGATGGGGATATAATGGGGGGGGGGGGGAATCCTGAGGAGAGGTTAACAGAGAATCACCAAACAGGTACTGAAATAGGAAACAAAGAATTGAGGTAGTGGCCGTGAAGTAGAAACCCTAGAGTAAACTTTGATGAGAAAGACCAGAGGTGTCGGACTGGATTCTGTCCACAGTATTGAAAACTGAACGAGGGAGTTGACTGTCAGTCTGTTTGACATATAAACAGCCCAGCTGTTGAATCTGCACTTGACAGATGACGTGGACAGCATATTGCAAGCCACCTTTACTTCCCACCACATTTTCTAGTACCCTTTTTTAAGGCTGAGTTGACCCAACAGCCTGAACTGGATTTTGTCCACAATATCGAACAGATTGCACAAGACAGAACAGAATGGAGGATTCAGCTATGAGGTTGAATTGATGTATAAACAGCAAATCTGGATGATGATGATGAATCTGTACTTAAAGATGATGTAGTCAGCATTTTCTGGTTCCTTTGCTTTAGGTGTTATCAACCGCCTAACAAAAGATGGTTGTCTCCGAGGTCAGCTATAAAAATGCCACCTCTGTATGGGTTCATACTAAGACCTTTAAGCAGACAGGAAGACATCTACCCACTGCACTACTGCCTTCCCTCCGAGTTTTTATTTGTTTAGACAAATGGAGCAAATATCATGGCAAGACAAAATGGCAAGACAAAATGGCAACAAGAACAGTCTGGAGCGAATTTAATAAATGAGAATATCGAAGAATGGAGAGTGAACCCGCGTGGGTTCTGGGGCCCCATTTTGGGGTTAAAAGAGTGGATCCGCAGTTCCCAGCTGTTTACTTCGAAGTCAGAGTGCATTTCCTCGACAGTCTGCATACAAATAAGCCAGATCTGTAAAATGGATATACACGCAAAACTCTTCTGGAACAAGACCAAGGTTCAGCAGTGGATGAAAAAGCAGAACACTACACCAGAGGGCAGTGAACATGGAAAAGAAGCAACAGTGAAATATTTTTTTTCGTTTAAATCACCACCAATTACCAGTGTTATGAGCATTGATAGAGTGCAATGATTGGGGCATTTAGAGATAACAGAGATGAAACCTGTTTGCAAAAAAGAATTTGAATGGGAGTTGACCAAGAGAACAGTGGAGAGATAAATGTTCAGGCAGACCTGCAGACACTTGAGTCACCTGCTGGAAAGGGAAGGCTAATCCTTCTCAGGATCAGCGATGATGGGTGGTATTTGCAGCTGTTAACCATGCTGAAGAAGAAGATCACATTGTTTAAATAATTGTGAAAGGCATGTTGAATTTTTTTATTTATTTGGGACTTTGATTTACAGAGGAAAAAGAGCAGTTTAGATGTTACAGGCAAGACATTGGTGATACAATGGTGAGTTTGTTGTTGTTGTCCTGTGTAGTCTTATCTAGTTTTGCTTATCCTGATCTTGTGTCTTCCTGTGTACAAAAAAAAAAAGGTAAAGACGGGAGATGTGAACCAGCGTCATTGCACACGTTTATAAACCATAAATGCTCTGCTACCAGTACGGACAGCTGATAAGAATTGTCCTCCTGTGTTGCCGTCCGCACGTAGCTCTGTAGCTACAGCGACGTTCCTCCATTTACCGCAGAGTGTCAACTCTGGTACCCCCATTACCTAGAGGTTGGGTGAACCCCGGGAACTGCCCAGTTTCGAACACCGATCGTGGCTGGAGCGAGTCGCAGATGGGTTTGAAAGCTAGCCTCTTTTCGACTGTGCTATTGCAGCCCCAGAGGAAGAGCCAGGTCTTTTCCTGTATAGTCTTTTCTAGTTTTGACTATCCTTATCTATACCTTAGCTGTTTGTAACCCTTTGAAAATAAAGTTTGTTTGTTCATTCTTCTTTGTAGTTTTATCTAGTTTTGCTCATCTTGGTCTGGTGTCTTTCTTGTAGTCTTAACTAGTTCTGCTTGTCTTATGTCTTCCCTCTAGTCTTATCTAGTTTTGCTTGTCTTGGTCTGGTGTCTTCCTGTGTTGTCTTATCTAGTTTTGCTTGCCTTGGTCTGGTGTCTTGATTTGTAGCCTTATCAAGTTTTGATCACTTTGATCTGGTGTCTTCCTCTGTTGTCTTATCTAGTTTTGCTTGTTTTAGATGAATGCATGAGTGATTGAATCAAGAATTGACAAAATGCACTTGTGACATTCCCACGTGTGCTCCGTCTCCTTCCTCAACAAAACCTTTGAAGCTGCTCCCACTCAAATTGATAGCAACATCCCCTCCCCTCCTCCCCCCCCCCCCCCTTTTAAGTGGAACCTAATTTTTAAAATGGATATTTAATTTGATAAATCTTTTTTTTAAAGAGGTGAAGCACCTAGAAACATGTTCTGAGTGCCAAAAAAAATTTATTTAATGATTGTGAAATAAATTCTTATTTATAGTTTTTGAATATTTATATTCAAGGCTTTTATATTCTTCAAATACATTTCAGTTTGAGAATTTAGAAATGTCTGGGCAGCCACTGGTAACATATGTTCTAAGGCCAAGCAGATTGTGTTATATTGGAAACAGTAGTCCTGAAATCCCATGCTATCATTGTGGAAGACTTTTCTTGACACAGGCGGGTCTTGCTAGTCACACTCGCCATCGCCATGGGCTATGAATCCCATGCCTCCTCATAGCGCAATGTAACACTATCGTCTGGAAAGACGGAAAGGTGCCAGTCAATCCTGAGAAGAAATTAGTAGTCAAAAGACAGACACTTAAGTGAGAAATAAAGGGCTTGAGCAAGTGAGGACAGCGAAAGGAAAACCCTAAGATAAACATTGATGAGAGTCCAGAGCTGCTGGGCTGGATTCTGTCCATGATATCCAAGCGGTTGCACAGGATAGGATAGAATTGACCTATAAACTGCAAGTCTTGGATGATGCGTTTGGAGTTTGAACCATGGACCAACATCATGGTACACGAGTAGTAACCCATAAGTGCCCCGTTCTTCTTCCAACTTAAGTCTGAGTCCGAAGAAGCTCCGAACAGTGCACAGGCTCTGTAGCACCAGCGAGGATCCTGAAATACTTTTTAGATAGATTTTAAACTCCAAATTTGGCCCGGGCAGCGCTATTAGGCTACTCTTTTCGATTTCCAACTGCCAAGCGGTTTTTATGTGCGCAACAATGCATACGGGTGTCCGATCTCACTACCAAGAGACCAAGGGGAAATTACTAGAAGTCCAGGTCCACGTGAAACAAATCCCAGCCCTTACCAGGGATCAAACCCGGAACCTCCAACACTCGAGGCAGTCACCTCGAGACATGTAAAATCCAACCAACATGAATAAGTCTAGAGAAGACTTGTATTTGCTTTAGGATTTGTGGTCTGTTGAACGATAATAGACAGCAGCAGAAGTTTGTCTTAAATTAAAGGTTTTACACTCCAACTTTGCAAAATCAAGAATATTTTGTGCATTCTTCTCTTTTTTTTTTTCAATTGAGACAAGAAAAAGAATTCTCAAGCACTACATAATTCTGTTTTTATGTACGGAATGGAATCATTAACATTTGGAGAATTAGTCAATTTTTATAAATAAATGATGAGAATACCCTGAACAAGGATAATGAAAATGTCTTGAGTCCGAAGAAACATTCACAAAGAGAACTGATTGCTCACATCAGAAGGAAACAACCTACATTCTTGAGAAGGACAATCTACATTCTTTGCTCATGTCACAAGAAGGAGAAAAGTGGAGTACATCACGATGTTTGAAAGTTGGAGGGGGAAAAGAGACAGAGGGAGACCCAGAGAGAAGGTTTTGGACAGTTTGACATAATTTCATGGAAGATCATTTGTGTCAGAATTAATTGAAAGCACACAAGACACAAAAGTTATTAATAGATATGACTACCAATGCCACATGACATGGACTGTACAAAGAAGACACTCTGCAAGAAGACCCATATGGAATGTTGTACAAAGAAGACACTTTGCAAGTAGACCCATGTGGAATGTTGTACAAAGAAGACACTGCAAGTAGACCCATATGGAATGTTGTACAAAGAAGACACTGTGCAAGTAGACCCATGTGGAATGTTGTACAATCCCCAGATGTACTCCTACAGTATTCTAGGGGATGAGCTGCTGGCACAACTGGTCAACTGCCTGGTGACCCTAGTGGAGCAGTACAAACATGGCAGCCAGGAGTGGCAGGTGGGTGGATCCTTAGTTCACTTTGACTAGTGGTTGTGTGTATAGGGAGTAGGGAGATGTAGATAAAGTGTGTGTGTGTGAGAGAGAGAGAGAAAGAGAGTATAGGGAGTAGGGAGATGTAGATACATCAAAAATGTCGTCTAGGAGCCACCTTGGCGTAGCGGCTAGACACGTGCCTGCAGATCTGAAGGTCGTGAGTTCAGGTCCTGACGGAGCCAGATTTTATTTTTGCCCCAGAAATGATCATGGCTCCAGACTTAAACAGGTTCCACGTAAAATCTTAGGCAGCCAGTGTGATGTTGACCCATCCAGCACCAATTGGTGTTTAAACAAAAACAGATAGGTCTAGCCGTCTGTGCCCAGTACGCCTGAAGGCAGGGAAACAGGTCCTTTTATGCCAGTAAGTGTAGGCGGTCACAGTTCACCATCTCATGTGATCACCAGGATTGGGGAACAGGTCTGTGTTCTCTGAAGAATGCGCTTGACTGTGCTGGTTGGTGTCTAGCCAGTGTCACTACAGTGTGGGATCCCTTGCCGACAGTCATTGAATAGGATGGTGTTGGAGAGGCAAGTGAAGAAAACTATAGGCTATGGCTAAAGGGAAAGAGTGAAGGGATGTTTCCTTCACAGTCGCAGTGCATTTACCCAAAAGACAAGGAACCGGCGGTCTGCATACAAATAAGCCAGATCTGTATAAAAGAACCTGTATTGGTTTTGGGGCCTCATTTTGGAGATAAAAGAATTGACCTGCTGCTTCCAGAATAGACCCACTGTCTTTCCAAAAGCATGAAGAGTTGACTAGCTAGGGGCTTCCTTCAGAGTCAGAGTGCCTCTGCCTGAGAGGCAAGGAACCAACAATCTTCATACAAATAAGTCAGATCTGTTAAATGAATGTGCACGCTACACTCAGTTTCTGGAACAAAACTAAAGTCTGGAGTTGAACGTAGGACCAGAATATAGCCAGTAATTGCGATGAAGCACTAGGAATCTCACATATCAACTGTTTCACTCATCTCATACATTTATTGTTTGATTCACTTATTTCACATATTAAGTTGCTTCAGCCATCTCTCACAGAAACATTTGTATTTCCCATTCTCGTATTCTAGAGTGTGGAGGCCATTCTGTTTGTGTTCTCTTCCGTCTCGGAAAATGTTTCGTCCGAAGAGCACGTCCAGATACCAAAACTGTTCTCTCAGATCCGAGAAATCCCATTCGCCAACTCACAGCAGATATCAACAGCTCTGCACATGATTGGTCAGAATTTATATTCAATCTATGCGCCTTCATTTTGTTGCTTTTATATACTATTTGTATATTTCTGGTAGTAAATTCCATTGGTATAGCTCTCATTCTGCATTTTATTTGTATGATTTGCATTTGTAAATTACATTGTAAATGTGTAATATATTCCTATATTTCTTATCCTGTATTTTATTTGTATTCTTCTCATTACATCTTACATTTCTGTACTTCTTATTCTGTATTTGTGTACTTGTGAGTCTGGATTATATTTGTATATTTCTGATTCTCTATTGCATATACTAATTTACAGTAAATTTTTATACTTCTTTAGCTGTATTGTGTTTCTGTACTTTTCATTGTGTATTATAATTGTTTACTTCTGATTATGTCTTATATTTCTATATGTTTATGAGATCAGGATATGAATATATTAGCTAAAAATAACATTTGGGAAAATGAAAGGGAAAAAAGGGGAAAGGGGGGGGGGGGGTGTCATTTAAATCAAATGTGTGGGGGTTTTTTAAAGCCAATTTGACATCACATTTTCCTAAAACCTCAGTGATAGAGGTTTTTAGGTCACAGCATGTCACCTAATACATAGATTGTTTAGGCCTGGTGAATGTATTCCAGTTAATGTGTCACTCTCTTCGTGTTTGTTGATTACTCCCTTTATTTCTTCTTTACATTCAGGACCTGTAAACTCCAGGGGAAAAGTTCTGGTTGTTTTTTCACTTCTGGACATGAGTCTAGTTGTAAAACTTGAATTTCGCTTGCACGTCTGTTCTTCAGATCTGGCTTTTGTGTGTGCAGACTGTTGGTTCCTTGCCTCCCCAACACATACACACTGACTTCAAGGGAAACATTTCTGATTAAACTCTTATGACATGCTTGTTAGAGGGCAGTGAGTCTGTTGTATCCCCCCCCCCCCCCCCATACACACACGCACACACACAGTTAGGCCCTGGAACTCACATGGGAAATGTGTTAATGTGTCACCCTGGGAGTCAAGAGATATTTTTATAATCACTTTTATGGGGATGACTAATGGGGATTTGAACTGATGACTAATGGGGATTTGAACTGATGGCTGCCTGGCAGGCATGTTGGCAGAAATACTAGCCACTGGACCACTATAGCTTCCATTGTAGTCTGCACACACACACACACACACACACACACACACACACACACACACACACACACACCCAAACCTGCCAATTACTGTCTGTACTTACCACTTTTCTGGGGTAGGCAAGCAGGTCTTTGAATGTAAGGATTAATGTCCGCATGGCTAAAGCTGCCTCCACGGACTGCAGGTTGGGATTATATTTCCCTCATTGCAGCCTGTGACACAGATTGACTTATTTGATGTCTTGGTGTCTCATACTTTTTCTAATTTCTCCACAGGCTCATTTGCCGAGTGGATGCAGTGGCACCCAGAGACACTGAGCTATGTGCTGCCCCTGGTCCTGGAGGGTATTAGTAACCCAGAGGTGGGCACGGCCGCCACCATCGCTCTCAAGGACATTACCCGAGAGAACCTGTCCAACATACAAGTGTATGCACACCAGATACTGACAGCCTGTCAGGTTGTATGTTTGTGACAGCTTGTATGGTTTTGTTGTATGTTTGTGACAGCTCATGTGGTTATGTTGAATGTTTGTAGCTGCTGATGTGGTTAGCGTTCTTTTACATGTGTACTTTCCTCTTTCATTTCTCTGTGCCTATATAGTTTGACCCTTCGCCTTTACCTGCCTTACTGGATCACTTCCTGTCCGCTGGTCTGTATCTCATGGCAGTCAGTTTTGGCTGAAGTTATCTTCCTGTACCCTTGGATAACTGGAGCTGAGGTCACATAGCGGCTCGATGCAGACCCGAAACTCTTGCTTTTGAATCCTCATTGGGGCAGATTTGTTATAATTTACCTGAGCATCCAGGCCAACCCAGCCTAAAATGGAGACAAGGAAATGTCCTGCAAGGTAAATTCGGCCTGACTGATGTGGATCACACCACACATCATGTGCTGATTGGTCTGTAAAGCACATAGGGCTAACTAACATCATATGCCGTTTGAGCCAATGACATAAAAAGGGGTCTATTAATTGTTACTTTAATGTCGTTCCGTAGAAGCAACAGCAAAATTCATAGTCTGTTTATATTACCACTAATTACTGGTCAAGGAGACAATCAACATTCTTTGGTCTTGTGATAAGAAGGAGAAAACTAGAGAACATTGTGACAGTAGGAAAGTTGGAGGGGAGAAGAAGCAGAGGGAGACCGAGAGATAAGATGCTGGACACTTTGACATCATAGCATGGAGGATCATCTGTATCAGAGTTGATTGAAAGTACACGAGACAGAAGGTTGTGAATAAACATGACTACCAATGCCACACAGCATGGACTTTAAAAAGAAGAATTACTGGCATCATGAACTGCAATGGTTGGAACCTATATAAGAGAATCTCATATAACTTATAACTGGTTGCTTGTTACCATGCCCACATACCAGAGCAGCGCTGTTTAACAGGCGGCAGGATCAGGATTATGTTACCCACACCGTATAAAATGGTTAGAGTATTACTCCACACATCCATGTGTAGCTAAAGTATAACATTTATTATTCCCTTTATATTTACATGGCACATCCCTGTTTAGCTAAAGTATTACATTCATTATTCTCTGGGAAGTAACTATTTTTTTTTTTTTTTTTTGTTTAAACAGAGCACACTGGAGGCAAATGTTTTAAAGGTGAGTCATATGGTCATCGTTTGTGTTTGTAAAGCTTGCTGTTTCTTCTTCTTTTTCTTCTTCTTCTTCTTCTTCTTCGTCTTCTTCTTCTTTGCCTTCACTGGCTGTAAACTCTGGTGGAGAGTTCTGGGTGTTTGTCCACCTCCAGACTTTAGTCTTGTTCCAGAACCTGAGTGTTGCATGGGTATCTGTTTCACAGATCTATCCTATTTGTATGCAGATTCTTGGTTCCTTGCCTCTGAGATGCAGATAATTTCGCTTTCAAAAGAATGCTCCCAGTAAGTCAACTCCTTTGACATGCTTGTTGGGCAGGCACTCTCTTCTTGCTTTCCCCTACAATGGAGCCCCGTGACCCACACAGGGAAATCATATTGTTTTGATGATGTAACAGAGATACACTAAAAATTGAGCAAGAGGCTATTCTCCCTCCCCCCCCCCCCCCCCCCCCCCCTTTTCCTCCCAAGGATGAATTCAAGAGACTGTGAATACCAACATGTATGAAGCAGAGCTTTCACTATGTATCTTCTCAAACTGATACTAACAGTAAAAACATAAGGGAGACTATAGGTCTTGAGAATGTCCCTGAATAAAGTTGTTGCCCTTGCTGATGAAGTTATTCAGAAAACTTTGGTCGCATCTGAAGCTAAATGTGAAGGGGCTGGGACATCCTGCACTAGCCGTATATCCGTCTGTCTGACCAAAGAACATAACATTTTTACTGACTTGTTGTAGATTCATGTTGTCTTGTCTTGTGTCTGTCTGCAGCATCATGTCACAGTGTGTGTCTGTAACCGCATGTTGTGATGTCTCTGTGTAATATCTATAGCAACATGTCACAGTGTCTGTCTGTAACCGCATGTTGTGATGTCTCTGTGTAATATCTATAGCATCATGTCATAAAATGTGTGTGTCTGTCTCTTTGCGGCTTTGTTTTGTAATTTCTTCCTGTAGTCCACCATCTAATGTCTGTTGCCCCATTATGTGATTTCTCATGGCCTTGTGTCAGCATGTTTGTCTATCTATCCCTGTGTCACATTGTCAGTATCTTCGTTTTACAATTCCTGCCTGTAGTCCTGTGTTACAGTGCCTGCCTCTAGCCCTGTGCTACAGTGCCTGCCTGTAGCCCTGTGTTACAGTGCATGCCTGTAGCCCTGTGTTACAGTGTATGCCTGTAGCCCTGTGTTACAGTGCCTGCCTCTAGCCCTGTGTTACAGTGCCTGCCTCTATCCCTGTGTCACATTGTCTGTAGCCCTGTGTTACAGTGCCTGCCTCTAGCCCTGTGTTACAGTGTCTACCTCTATCCCTGTGTCACATTGTCTGTATCTTCGTTTTACAATTCCTGCCTGTAGCCCTGTGTTACAGTGCCTGCCTGTAGCCCTGTGTTACAGTGCCTGCCTCTATCCCTGTGTTACAGTGCCTGCCTGTAGCCCTGTGTTACAGTGCCTGCCTCTATCCCTGTGTCACATTGTCTGTAGCCCTGTGTTACAGTGCCTGCCTCTAGCCCTGTGTTACAGTGCCTGCCTGTAGCCCTGTGTTACAGTGCCTGCCTCTATCCCTGTGTTACAGTGCCTGCCTGTAGCCCTGTGTTACAGTGCCTGCCTGTAGCCCTGTGTTACAGTGCCTGCCTGTAGCCCTGTGTTACAGTGCCTGCCTCTAGCCCTGTGTTACAGTGCCTGCCTCTAGCCCTGTGTTACAGTGCCTGCCTGTAGCCCTGTGTTACAGTGCCTGCCTCTAGCCCTGTGTTACAGTGTCCATGTTTGATCCATAGTCCCGAGATCTCCTACGCCTGATGTCCAGCATCGGCCATGTCCTGTCTGTGATGCCATCCAACGAAATTATGCAGTACCTGGACACTATGATTGTCCCACACATCCAACACCTGGAGGCTTTAGCGTCCATGCAGGTGAGTTCTCACAATATCAGCATAACAACCTATTATATCATGTCAGCTGCCCCTATAGCATGGAGCTGTGGAAGGTTCTCTAATTCTACATTTACATCATCATTTCATATGCTACTGATCTAAAGCCATGTGCATGTGGAAAGCAACTGGAAACTACCACATTACTATCCCAAGAAACTCATCATGCAAGCCAGAAATGATCAAAATCTTTTCTTGAATTTAAAGAAAACGAAAAAAATGTCCACAGATAAAACTGGCTGTCACCCAAAAAATAACAATAAATGATGAAGAAATTGAAAATGTCACAAACTTTGAATATCTAGGGTCTATAATAAACAGCAATGGAGACTGTTCGACAGAAATTAAAAGGAGGATAGCCATAGCAATGCAAAGATTTAACAGTCTGAAATGTCAATGGTTAAGCACCAGCAAGGAGATCAAAATTAGAATTTTGAGAGCATGCATCTTCCCTGTGGCTACATACGGATGTGAGTCGTGGACTATCTCTCAGTCCTTAAGAAAGAGAATAGGGGCTTTTGAGCTGAAATGATATAGAAAGATTCTCAGAATATCTTGGACAAAGAAGAGGAGAAATATTGACATCTTAAAAGATCTGAACATCAAGAAAGATTGGCTAATAAACAGCATCCTTTCTCGAAAGCTGAAATATTTTGGTCATATCAAGCGCCACGACGGATTGGAAAAAATTATAGCAGATGGCATGGTACCAGGAAGGAGGGGCAGGGGCCGACCAACATAAAGATGGGCACAGGATATAAGTGACTCATTGAGCGTGAAAGTTCATGAGGCGGGAGAACTGGCAAGAGACCGAGTTTCTTACAGGCAGACTGTGATGAGAGCGACGTTCTGCAAAGGACCTGCTACATGATGATGTCTGATCTCTTTAGTGGTGAGTAAGAGATGCTGGGTGAAGCACACACACTGAGAAAACATGATAGATGTAGAACTAGAATGTTGTTACACCTGAATGCACATTGTAAAAGAAATGCAAGGAAAGAGAATTACAGAGGGGTGTAAGAAGGATAAAGGAAAGATGTGTCATGTTTTGCATACAGACTGTTGGCTCCTTACCTCTCAAGCAGAAGTGCTTTGACTTCTAAGGACATGTTGATCTTGCCTATGTTGGTAGGCCCCTGGGAGGGGACCTGTTTCTAAGATGACTGTGAATAGTCGTAAATAGGGCTTTCGTCTGGGTACCGGCACCTTTCTTAAGGTGTCATTTTTATGTGTAATCGCTACTTTAACTCTTTGAGTCCCAAGGAATGCATCATAGGTTCCTACCTAGAAGCCCAATGAACGCATGATGCACATTTTTTTTGTCTTTCTTTACTACCCCTTTAGCCTGTGATGCTAAACCCTCTGGTTCTCAAAGAGTTGATAGACATTTTTTTACTGAGTACCGGCACCTTTCAGACATTTTGTCATGAGTAAAAAGCAAAGAGCCCTTTTTGTGTGCCTCCAGGTGTATTGGGCATATATTGGTTCATCTCTGCACCCCATAATGTTGACATTTGATGTACCTTCACAGGCTGGTGGTAGTTCTGTGTTTGTTATGTCCTGCATCTTCTGGTCCTAAGGCGGCGTCCGTGGCGTAGGCGCTGTGAGCCCAACTTGTATTTCCAACGTATCCCGATCGAAACCCCTTGCTGGCTGTGTGGATGGCAGGTCGACCCAGCCTAAAATGGGTACCAGGATGGATGTTCTGGGGAAGTAAAGATGGCCGGCACAATGCTGACCACATACCTACCTAGTGCCAGTTGGTCTGTGAAAATATGGGCTGCTCTTTCCATATGCCTGATACACCCAAGGCATAAAAAAAGGACCTTTTTTTTTAAACTGGTTGCAAAAATACTTTCCTTTGACGGTCTATAGCCGGTAACAGATTTAAACATATGATCTGCTTCTTGTTCAGCCATGCCCCTCAAACCGTGCCGATGTTCATACAACAATCAACATCTTTGCCTGGCTGTTTGGGTCCCTGGACACAGAGATGGAAGGAGGAGAACAAGAACAGCAAAGCCAGCATCAGGTCAAGAAACAGACGCAGCAGAACACAACAGAACCAAAACCTGTAAGTTCTTTTATCTACTCTCTTTTCATTCTCTTTCTCCAGAACCTCTGGTTGTTGTTGTTGTTGTTTTTTTCAGTTTCTTTTAATTGCTCATTCATTGTTTTCACAAGTCAGAGAAATTGTAAGACTGCATATGAGACTTTTTACAGTAGAACATCTGGAAGGAAGGTGAGAGGAAGACCAAGAAAGATATAGATAAATGGTGTAGCCGAAACCTGCAAACAGTTAAACAAATCCATCACCTGAGAAGTGCAAGACATATACAGAAAACCACGTTACTGGGCTGCAACCTGGTATCAGTAAGACGACAAAAGAAGAAAGACATTGTACATTTTTTTGCTTTGTCTTTAATGATTTTACAGTGTATTTATTGATTTTGGGAGTTGGCGTGGCGCAGCGGCTAGGTGCTCGCCACAGATTGGAAGGTCGTGGGTTTCCTCCCTGGCGAAGCCGGACTTTTGTTCATAAATGACCTTGGCTCCCAGGTGGATCCAGCTTTGAGTGGGTACCAGGTGCACTCCTGTGGAAAAGGGTCCTTTACTTTTTTATTGATCCTAATTTGTCCCTAATGATTGTGCTCTGTCTTTAGTGATTGCAGTATCTTTTTTGATTGTACTTTTTTTTTTTTTATGATTGTACTTTGTCTTTATTGATTCTGCAGTGTCTTTAATGGCTGTATTTTGTCTTCAGTGATTGCACAGTGTCTTTTATGGCTGTATTTTGTCTGCAGTGATTGCACAGTGTCTTTAATGGCTGTATTTTGTCTTCAGTGATTGCACAGTGTCTTTTATGGCTGTATTTTGTCTTCATTAATTGCAGTGTCTTTAATAGCTGTATTTTGTCTTCAGTGATTGCACAGTGTCTTTTATGGCTGTATTTTGTCTGCAGTGATTGCACAGTGTCTTTAATGGCTGTATTTTGTCTTCATTAATTTCAATGTCTTTAATGGCTGTATTTTGTCTTCATAAATTGCAGTGTCTTTAATGGCTGTATTTTGTCTTCATTAATTGCAGTGTCTTTAATGGCTGTATTTTGTCTTCATTAATTGCAGTGTCTTAAATAACTATTTTGTCTTCAGTGATTGCACAGTGTCTTTAATGGCTGTATTTTGTCTTCAGTGATTGCAGTGTCTTCAATGGCTGTATTTTGTCTTCATTAATTGCAGTGTCTTAAATAACTATTTTGTCTTCAGTGATTGCACAGTGTCTTTAATGGCTGTATTTTGTCTTCAGTGATTGCAGTGTCTTTAATGGCTGTATTTTGTCTTCATTAATTGCAGTGTCTTTAATAACTATTTTGTCTTCAGAGATTGCACAGGGTCTTTAATGGCTGTATTTTGTCTTCAGTAATTGCACAGCGTCTTTAAAGGATGTATTTTTTCTTCAGTGATTGCAGTGTCTTTAATGGCTGTATTTTGTCTTTAATGATTGTACTTTGTCTGTAATGATTGCACAGCGTTTTTAATGATTGTACAGTATCTTTAATGACTGCAATGTCTTAATGACTACTATACTTTGTCTTTAATGACTGTACTGAGTCTATGTTAATTTTACTCTACCCTTGCTCCTAGATTTTTGTGATACTCCAAAAGATCTATCCCTCGGTACAGAAGCTGGCCTACTTGTGGATATTTGACATGGCTATTATTGAGGTAAGTGTCAAGTTTACTGTCTCCTGTGTGTACAATAATCAACTGATGATTGTGTCCTTTGTCATCGAGGTTGCAGATTCATTCCAGTAGTATTTGCTGGCCGGTTGAGAATCCTCCGGAAGTCCTCGTGTCTTGCTCCATTCCAAACCTTCCAATCATTTATCTTTGTCTTTCCTTTGCTCTGTTCTCATCAGTCTTTCCGATCATTGCCATGTTCTTTGGTCTCTTCTTCCCACCCGCAACTAAAAACACACACACACACAAAACACTGTCTTCATCTTTTTTCTCTAAACTGTTTAGTTTTCACCTGTCTGTTGGACGACTGTCCGGTTTACTTTTCCATCACTCCATATTCTGTGTTCTATTTATCTACATGGCCACATTTCACAACCCTTCGTTCCAGCAGTAGTTGCTGGCTGCTTCAGGATCTTCCAGAAGTTCATCACTGATGTTCAGCTTGTCTGAGGTATAAAAAAAATGGGTTACATCTGTGGAAATGAGGTGGATGTAGAAAATACCTTTTTTGAACCCCTGCTTCTTTTCCCTTAGAATGACACTTACTCGTTTTCTGGTTTACAGCTAGGCTGCGATATCTTTGCCTTTCAGCCCAATGTTTACAGTTTCAGTAAACCCTTAATTAATCACCTTTTACAGCATGCTTGTCAGGGAGCAGTGGGTATATTCTCTCCCCCACCCCACCCACAAGGGGGCCCTGGAACCCACACAGAGAGATCCAGTACCAACATTTTCTTCTTGGGCGGCTGAGAAATTGGTGGTGCTTATAAGACTAGTACAGGCATGGGTCTATAGCTCATGGTGGCCTCTGAGCTCATTCTCATTATAGCTGTAAGAAAACTACAAAGCACAGGCTTCCGGTGATAGCCTCTTGCTGTTAGTGGGTAGTTTTTCATATTATTTATTCACGTTCACTGGCTGTAAACTCTAGCAGAAAGTTCTGGTTGTTCAAGTTCTGGCCTTTAGTCTTATTCTTGTTGTGTGTACACGCTGTTTGTGACCTGTGTCATGTAATCATTTTACTGTTCTATTCAGGCTGTTTGGGACCTTTGTCATGTTATCATTTTACTGTTCCGTTCCATTCAGGCTGTTTGTGACCTGTGTCATGTAATCATTTTACTGTTCTATTCAGGCTGTTTGGGACCTTTGTCATGTTATCATTTTACTGTTCCGTTCCATTCAGGCTGTTTGTGACCTGTGTCATGTAATCATTTACTGTTCCATTTAGGCTGTTTGTGACCTGTGTCATGTAATCATTTTACTGTTCCATTCAGGCTGTTTGTGACCTGTGTCATGTAATCATTTTACTGTTCCATTCAGGCTGTTTGTGACCTGTTCAAAAAGGCTCTGCAGAAACTGGACGACTTTGCTCCATTGTCAGGGGATTTAACCCAGCTAGTCATTAACTTATACCAGAGGGCTCCGTGTACGCCAGTGATTGATCTTGGCAAGCAGGTGGGTGGGCGTTATTTTTGTTTATCATCTTCTTTATCATCATCATTAACATTATCATCTTCATCATCATCTTCTTTACCATCATCATTATCTAGTACTATGGTTTTTAATGGGGGTGGGGGTGGCAAGGGAGTTTCAAGGGGGCATCATGCAGTGTTATACAGATACAGCGGTAACAGAGCTAGAGGTTGACCACGCAGAAGATGGACCACAGAAACATCAGAGAGACTGAAAGTACCTAATATGAAGCGAAGGGCCCATTCCAGAGATCTCTTATTGCCCTGACGCCACAAGGCATTGTAGGAGTTGAGAAAAGAAAAAGAAGGAAATCAAGCAGTTTTGTAAACGATTGCATTTGTACTTATAATAATCTGTTATAACATGTTTGAATTTTAATTATAAATCAAATATTTATTAAAAGCTTGAGTGGAGAGTGATCTTGTGCAACATCAGACCAGAAATAACAGGTGTCATCAAGACAACACAGTGTCAGCCATCACATTGATGTTGGTGTTTTCTCTTTTATAGTGTTTTTTTAAAATGTTGTATAACACTTTGATTTATGGGAATGTTCTTGATGATAGGGTTGTGGTTTTTCTTATTGTCCCCCACTCTTATTGTTGTTTTCTAGCGCATTGCTCTGATCTTGCCACATCCAAATGGCCGGGGATGATCTGATGTATTCTTGAGTTTGATGTATTCTTGAGTTTGTCTGATGTATTCTCGAGTTTGTGTGATGTATTCTAGAGTTTGTCTGATGTATTTTCGAGTTTGTCTGATGTATTCTCGAGTTTGTCTGATGTATTCTCGAGTTTGTCTGATGTATTCTCGAGTTTGTCTGATGTATTCTCGAGTTTGTCTGATGTATTCTCGAGTTTGTTTTTGCCTTGCTTATAGTTCCTTTTCTCCCTTTCAGTTGCTGATCATCTTTGGCCTACAAGAAAACTTTGTTCCCTTATCAAAAGTCATCGTGGAAAGTGTCTGCTCCAGGTCTCTGGACATGTTTAATGTGGGTAAGTGGTTGCTCCCACCAGAGATGTGTTATTGCAGATGTTTGTAACCTCGTCACTTTATTTATGTTTTTAAAAAATTATTTCTGGATATTTATTCTAGAGCTGCGAGTGTCTTTTTTAAAATTTGTTCTGTCTTGGTACATTTATGCCTGTGTACGTTGAGAAGATTTATGTCTGTGTACGTTGAGAAGATTTATGTCTGTGTACATTGAGAAGATTTATGTCTTTGTATGTTGAGAAGATGGCGCTACATTGGATACATCCTGAGAAGAAACCAATAGAGAATCATCTTCTTCTTCTTCTTCTTCACTTCCTCTTTTACCTCTTTGGGTGTGGAGGGAGATATAAGGTTCTGTTTCTAGCTCTTCTGGCCGCCTCGACCATAGGCACATCGTGCTGTTGTAGAGTTTCTCTGATGTTATCCTTCCATCTTGTTCTTGGTCTACCTTGTGCTCTACGTCCTTCTTCTCTTTCCATGTATGCTTTGTATGGTATGGTGTCACAAGGCATTCTCTCTAAGTGGGCCAACCATTTCACTTGCTGTCTTTGTATGTAATCCAGAATTGGTTCAGTGCCGAGAATCATCAAACGCATTAAAATGGGAAATAAAGGGATGAAGGAACCGAGGGTGCCCAAAAGAAACCCTACAACGAATGTCGGGGAGAGAGGCCAAAGTTGCTGGGCTGGATTCCATCCATGATATTGAAGTGATAGTATAGAACAGAATAGAGGAATAGACTGCGAACCCTATGTGACATAATGGAACAACAGGATAATGAATGAATGTTGAGTGTTTAAGTAAGTATCGACATCACAGCACTCAGGACATTCGTGTAAGTGCTCCATCTCCAACTTTAGCAGCAGGTGCAGAGTTCTGAATCTTATGGTACCAGCAACAGTCTGATTGTCCTCTTCTTCTTCTATTTGTTCACCGGCTGTAAGCTCCAGTGGAAAGTTCTGGGCGCTCGTCTACTTCCGAACTTTAGTCTTCTTCAAGAACCTGAGTGTTGCGTGCACATCCGTGTCGCAAATCTGGCTTATTTATGTGCAGACTCTTGGTTCCTTGCCTCTCAGGCAGATGTACAGGAGGCCTCCCGTTAGTCTACTCCTACGACGTGCTTGTTGGGGCGGCAGTAGGTCTATTCTTGTTTTCCCCACACAGAACCCACATGGAGAGTCTTGACTGTTTATCCGCCTCACATAGAGAGTATTGACTGTTTATCCGCCTCACATGGAGAGTCTTGACTGTTTATCCGCCTCACATGGAGAGTCTTGACTGTTTATCCGCCTCATCTTTCCCTTGAGTGTTGAGCATTGGCCAGATTCTTGGCCACTCCTCGCAGAACCGTTCTCCTGGACTTTGTCTATGTGTGCTTGCAAGCAATTTATTATAGGATGTTTCAGAATATTTGCAATTTCTTTATTCTTAATTCAAACCCTAGTATATAAAGAATAATGAAATGTGTTCAATAACCTTTACCCACAACAAAAGATAACACTAGGCCTAGTGTGCTGTTGTGAAACTGCCTTAAAGTTGTGTAGAATAAAAGTAAAGGACCCTTTTCCCATGCCTTCAGGCATATGGGCTAGACCTGTTTTATAGACCAGTAGGTACTCGGGAGAGGGGTGAGGTGATTAACATCATGCCGGTCGCCATCACTTCACGGGACTTTATCTGGTACCCATTTATGGCTGGGTTGACCTGGGAGCCAAGTTTATTGTTAAACAAACTTCCAGCTCCATTTGGATTTGAACCCATGACCTTCAGACCTGCAGGCAAGAGTCTAGCAGCTGCTACATCTGTTTGTTCTTAGGCTTGAGCTAAAATATGAATCTGTTCTTGTTTCCTGACAGGCATGAGAAACTACACTGATGTCATTGAGGGGTTCATGTGTTTTCTGACCCAGGTATGTGTTGTTTTTCAATTATCTATGTTTCTGATTGATCTTTGTGTTTCTCTTTTATCTTTATGTTTCCCTTTTTCTTTATGTTTCTCTTTTATCTTTGTGTTTCTCTTTTATCTTTGTGTTTCTCATTTATCTTTGTGTTTCTCTTTTATCTTTATGTTTCTCTTTTTTCTTTATGTTTCTCATTATCCTTATGTTTTTCATGTGTCCTTATGTTTCTTATTATCTTTATGTTTCTCGTTTATGTTTCTATTTTTCTTTTTAATACTTCTCATTTATCTTAATGTTATGGCTGCATTATCTGTAGAATGAGTCATAGGTTTACTTTCTAGGGTTTTTAACTGTTAATTGTTCCAGAAGGAATTGAATACAAACAAGTACCTTAGGGAGGGGGGCGGGGGTACATTCCATGGTAATAGAGAGGAATGACTAAACAATGTGGTCATGTACTCTGTTCGTCTAGATATAAGAGGAAAGATGAAACAGAGCACGGTACTCCATATTTCAGCATAGAGAATAGAGACAGCACAAGGCAGGGTTTTTTACACTGCACAGCTGGAGAGGAAAGGTGAAACAAAATGTAATACTCTGTACTTCAGCATAGAAGAGTAAAGATGAAACAAAATGTGATACTCTGTACTTTAGCATAGAAGAGTAAAGATAAAACAAAATGTGATACTCTGTACTTCAGCATAGAAGAGTAAAGATAAAACAAAATGTGATACTCTGTACTTCAGCATAGAAGAGTAAAGATAAAACAAAATGTGATACTCTGTACTTCAGCATAGAAGAGTAAAGATGAAACAAAATGTGATACTCTGTACTTCAGCATAGAAGAGTAAAGATGAAACAAAATGTGATACTCTGTACTTTAGCATAGAAGAGTAAAGATGAAACAAAATGTGATACTCTGTACTTCAGCATAGAAGAGTAAAGATGAAACAAAATGTGATACTCTGTACTTCAGCATAGAAGAGTAAAGATGAAACAAAATGTGATACTCTGTACTTCAGCATAGAAGAGTAAAGATAAAACAAAATGTGATACTCTGTACTTCAGCATAGAAGAGTAAAGATGAAACAAAATGTGATACTCTGTACTTTAGCATAGAAGAGTAAAGATGAAACAAAATGTGATACTCTGCACTTTAGCATAGAAGAGTAAAGATGAAACAAAATGTGATACTCTGCACTTTAGCATAGAAGAGTAAAGATGAAACAAAATGTGATACTCTGCACTTTAGCATAGAAGAGTAAAGATGAAACAAAATGTGATACTCTGTACTTCAGCATAGAAGAGTAAAGATGAAACAAAATGTGATACTCTGCACTTTAGCATAGAAGAGTAAAGATGAAACAAAATGTAATACTCTGTACTTCAGCATAGAAGAGTAAAGATGAAACAAAATGTAATACTCTGTACTTCAGCATAGAAGAGTAAAGATAAAACAAAATGTGATACTCTGTACTTCAGCATAGAAGAGTAAAGATAAAACAAAATGTGATACTCTGTACTTCAGCATAGAAGAGTAAAGATGAAACAAAATGTGATACTCTGTACTTTAGCATAGAAGAGTAAAGATAAAACAAAATGTGATACTCTGTACTTTAGCATAGAAGAGTAAAGATGAAACAAAATGTGATACTCTGTACTTTAGCATAGAAGAGTAAAGATGAAACAAAATGTGATACTCTGTACTTCAGCATAGAAGAGTAAAGATGAAACAAAATGTAATACTCTGTACTTCAGCATAGAAGAGTAAAGATGAAACAAAATGTGATACTCTGTACTTCAGCATAGAAGAGTAAAGATGAAACAAAATGTGATACTCTGTACTTCAGCATAGAAGAGTAAAGATGAAACAAAATGTAATACTCTGTACTTCAGCATAGAAGAGTAAAGATGAAACAAAATGTAATACTCTGTACTTCAGCATAGAAGAGTAAAGATAAAACAAAATGTGATACTCTGTACTTCAGCATAGAAGAGTAAAGATAAAACAAAATGTGATACTCTGTACTTCAGCATAGAAGAGTAAAGATGAAACAAAATGTGATACTCTGTACTTTAGCATAGAAGAGTAAAGATAAAACAAAATGTGATACTCTGTACTTTAGCATAGAAGAGTAAAGATGAAACAAAATGTGATACTCTGTACTTTAGCATAGAAGAGTAAAGATGAAACAAAATGTGATACTCTGTACTTCAGCATAGAAGAGTAAAGATGAAACAAAATGTAATACTCTGTACTTCAGCATAGAAGAGTAAAGATGAAACAAAATGTGATACTCTGTACTTCAGCATAGAAGAGTAAAGATGAAACAAAATGTGATACTCTGTACTTCAGCATAGAAGAGTAAAGATGAAACAAAATGTGATACTCTGTACTTTAGCATAGAAGAGTAAAGATGAAACAAAATGTGATACTCTGAACTTCAGCATAGAAGAGTAAAGATGAAACAAAATGTAATACTCTGTACTTCAGCATAGAAGAGTAAAGATGAAACAAAATGTAATACTCTGTACTTCAGCATAGAAGAGTAAAGATGAAACAAAATGTGATACTCTGTACTTCAGCATAGAAGAGTAAAGATGAAACAAAATGTGATACTCTGTACTTCAGCATAGAAGAGTAAAGATGAAACAAAATGTGATACTCTGTATTTCAGCATAGAAGAGTAAAGATAAAACAAAATGTGATACTCTGTACTTCAGCATAGAAGAGTAAAGATAAAACAAAATGTGATACTCTGTACTTCAGCAAAGAAGAGTAAAGATAAAACAAAATGTGATACTCTGTACTTCAGCATAGAAGAGTAAAGATAAAACAAAATGTGATACTCTGTACTTCAGCAAAGAAGAGTAAAGATGAAACAAAATGTAATTCTCTGCACTCCAGTATATAAGAGAAAGATTAAACAAAATGGATACACTCCAGTATAAAATAATTTGTGTTTTAATTATTCAGTCTGTTAGTCGGAAAATGTTGCTTTGAAGTTTTGATGTTGATGCTCCTTTCTAGTTCGGTGTCTAAATAAAACTACAAGAATTCTAGTTATGTCATAGTAAAAAAAAAGCAAATTAACAAGACAAAAAGTAAAGGACCGTTTTCCACGCATTCAGGTATATTAGACCGTATAGGTCAAGGCCTATGTTTTATAGATCATTCGGTACTTGGTGGATTATGTGCCCAGCTTCCTGTTGGGATGTCATTTTCATGAAATCATTTAAAAACAAAAAATGTAAGTAAAAATCTTTTTTTTTTTTTTAAATTGACCACCCAAAAAAAAAAAGAATGCCATTCTGTAGCAGGTTTTTATCTAAACCTACCAGCTGGAATTAAACTGGTGTCTTGGAATTACAAACCAAGTTTGTAATGCCTAAGCCCCATACGGCAGCACAATTTCTATGTGCAGAAAATAGGGGCGTTAAAGTGGAGCTGATGTCAAGAAATAACTGACAACTCAAACTATAACTAGAAAGAAAGCTAACTTTTGTACCAAACCCCCCAAAAAAAAACATTCGTCAAAATGTTTGACTGTATTTGTGTGTAGCTTTCTGTTCCTCTGCCAAGCTTTCTAGTGACAGTTTGTATGTAAGTTACTTCTATAGATACAGAGGCGACTGCAGGATTAGGATGAGGTTTAGACAGGGCTGTGATAGTTTCGTTTTAGAGAAACGTGACAATATGATTGGGTAGCGCTGTATCAGGTTTAAATAGCTTCTGAAAATTTCAAAAGATGTCAGACAGTATGCTGGTAGGTTTTTTGGTAGAAGACCGCTTTGCATCGATTTCAATAATGGTACCGAGAACCGACCATTTAGATAGCAGGGGCAATGGACCGTAAAATTGTGTAGTAAAATCACAAGCCATAAACTGCTGGTGTTGGTTCTGTAAAGTCCTTTAAAGGGTAAACAGCTAATCTTATAGAAACTGTTTGTGTGTGAGAAGCCGCCAGTTTGAATGTTGTATCCTCACTTTCAGCTGATGAAAAAGTTGAAAAAATTTATTCTCCGATGCAACTGTGATCTTGCTGCGATATTTCAAGCAGGTGAGTTTTGTGTGTGTGTGGACAAATGTTCCTTGTACATGTGTCTTTAGGTTCATCACTTGTACATGTGTCTTTAGGTTTATCACTTGTACATGTGTCTTTAGGTTTATCACTTGTACAGCTGTCTCATTGGGTTCATCACTTGGACAGCTGTCTCATTGGATCATCACTTGGACAGCTGTCTCATTGGGTTCATCACTTGTACAGCTGTCTCACTTATTTCATCACTTGTACATCTATCTCATTTATGATCATTACTTGAACAGCTGTCTCATTGGGTTTATCACTTGCACAGCTGTCTCATTGGGTTTATCACTTGCACAGCTGTCTCATTGGGTTTATCACTTGCAAAGCTGTCTCACTGGGATCATCACTTGTACATCTGTCTTTGGGTATCCTCACCTGTACAGCCGTCTCACTTGTACATATGTATCGCCACTATATACCAAGTAATGCCCATGAATCTTTTCAATACATCTCTTGACTCTGTGTTCCTGGAATTTCTGAAACTCTGGACCACACTTACGATGTATGTCCCTACCATGTCTCCATCTCCCTGCCACATATCTGTATTCTGGTAGTAGTATTCTGGTAGTCTTAGTTTCAGCTTCATAGCAAACGGGTTGCCCCATCTTTGCTCCGCTCCTGTGCCAGCGAAAAACACTCAGAATGTCTATCACAGTCCCTTGTGGAAAGATTGACAGACTGCTGTCTCAGCATATCTAGCATACACTCGCATTAAAGCATATGGTAGCCATCCGAAGTGCTAACACAAACAGTCCAACATTAGAAATGCAGTTCATCATTGATGATAGCAGAACGTGTCGTCAACAGATCAGCAGTTGTCCGCGTGATCAATTTTAATACGGGTCCCGCAAGCATTGAACGACAGGCATCGCGCCATTTTCTGAATCTACAATTCACACCACCACGTTGGTCACAGTCGAAAAAAAAAAAAAACATTCCAAATGCAATCCGCAGCTCACAGGGTCACGCCATGCATTCAACTCAGAAGCTGGGCGACGAAACTATATCCAGTCTACAAATGGAGCAAAAATGCATCGGCCACCGTCCGGTAGAAGCAAAAAATTTGCCTCTGTTCCGAACGGCGCCGCTGTCTAGCGTCCATTTTAATTGGGGGGAAAAAAAAATATACATATCTGTGTCCCTACAATGTCTCAGACTCCCTGCCACATATCTGTGTCCCTACAATGTCTCCGTCTCCCTGCCACATATCTGTGTCCCTACAATGTCTCAGACTCCCTGCCACATATCTGTGTCCCTACAATGTCTCAGACTCCCTGCCACATATCTGTGTCCCTACAATGTCTCAGTCTCCCTGCTACATATCTGTGTCCCTACAATGTCTCAGTCTCCCTGCTACATATCTGTGTCCCTACAATGTCTCAGTCTCCCTGCTACATATCTGTGTCCCTACAATGTCTCAGTCTCCCTGCTACATATCTGTGTCCCTACAATGTCTCAGTCTCCCTGCTACATATCTGTGTCCCTACAATGTCTCAGTCTCCCTGCTACATATCTGTGTCCCTACAATGTCTCAGTCTCCCTGCCACATGTCTGTGTCCCTACAATGTCTCAGTCTCCCTGCCACATGTCTGTGTCCTTACAATGTCTCCATCTCCCTGCCACATATCTGTGTCCCTACAATGTCTCAGTCTCCCTGCCACATGTCTGTGTCCTTACAATGTCTCCATCTCCCTGCCACATATCTGTGTCCCTACCATGTTTCAGTCTCCCTGCCACATATCTGTGTCCCTGGAATGTTTGTGAATCTCCCTACAACCTATATCTCTCCATCCCTCTAATCCCTCCATCTCCCTACAACCTATATCTCTCCATCCCTCTAATCCCTCAATCTCCCTACCATAGCAGATGCCTTTAAGTGAACCCTAAATAGAAAATACTGTCAGCTATTTAGTTATTCTTAGCAATTTCTGGGAACACAGAAACATTATGGTTTTACCATGGAAACATTTATACATGACATACCATAGTGCCAGATGTGATCGTCTCTTCCCCCCCCCCCCCCCCCCCCCCCATACACAAGGCTTTTTTCTCAGAGATAAAAAGGGTACAGTGCTCAGCACACAGTATCAATTAGTTGCACTAAAAAAAATGATACCTCAAAGAAAGGTGCCAGTACTGTGTACTGCCAGAAAGAAGAAACAGCCCGGTGCATATACGTTAGTATCCAATTTTGAGGGCGGTGAAGTAGAAGCCCAGTTAATGTGAACATGAATCAAATGTGTGCCATGTTTTCTCTCACCACTTGTGGTCTTATTCCCTCAGCTGTGTTAAGTATGGCCCTACCAAAACATGAATGAAATGTGTGCCATGTTTTCTCTCACCACTTGTGTGGTCTTATTCCCTCAGCTGTGTTAAGTATGGCCCTACCAGAACATGCAACAGTGAAAGCTTCATGCAGTTTTGTGGTGAGTTCATCTTTGTGCTTCTAATTTCATAAATTTAAATGTTTGAGTCGACGAATCTGACAATTCAGTGTGATATATGGGTAACCACACATACAGATATACAATTCAGACCTGATAAGGAGAACTCACCATGGACCCAAGAAATGATTCTTCTTATAAATTTCTCTTATCCAGATAATTCACAAAAGAAATTTGCCACATCTGAGATCGTCTTAAGCAGTCTGACTGTATACATAGACACATGCAAACACACGTAGATATGTGCACATACACTAATAATATATACTTTCTCCTTGACTTCTGACCTATGTGACTTACAAACATCCACACTTGGTCGAACATGGTTTGAACAACGGATTAACATCAGGGCAGAAGGGTAGTAACCCATAAATGCTGTGTTCTATTTCTAACTCAAGCCTAAGTCTGAAGAATCTCAGCGCAGTGCACAAACTCCGTAGCACTGGCAAAGATCCTGAACTACTTTGGGTAGATTTAAAGCTCCAAATTTTGCCCGGGCAGCGCCATAAGGCTACTTTTTATAACCACATCAACAACCCCCCCACCCCAAAGCAAAGAAAGAAAGATAACTATATTGGTAGGGTCAAACAGTTCCCAGAACCAATGCAGTAGAGTACATATTATGTACTTTCACATTGTGTACAATCATTATTTGTACATAAATTGCATTTTTTTTCGTTTTACGTACATTTTTTTAACCCATTTGAATGAAAAAGGTGTTGAAAAATATAAATTCGACTGACGACCTGTTAGTTGGAACTGAACTCTGTAATAAGGGAAAGAAACCCTGTATATTGTTGGCCCACAGCGATTGCAAGTGTGACTAGCAACATCTGACAGTTGGAGCATCAGTTAGAATTCAGGACCATTGTTGTCATCATGTGTGTTTAATGTTATTCTTCTCAGACTTTCAGTTCTTACCCTGTCTGCAGTCATTTTCTTGTTTCATTCCATTTCCCTTCCTGATTTGCTCCCTGCATGCAGCACATCCATGGTATCATGTTCCTATGAATCTACCTCATTACCTGTATCATTTGTGTCCCACTTGGACACAGCCAACATCCACATAACACACACATTCATGCACACACACACACATGCAAACTGATACATGCATGTCGGCAAGGGACTTGATAATGATGATGATATGAAAGTAGTGATGTGTTCCTGTCACAGATAGAATTTCTCAACGCGGGTGCAGAGAGTGAAGTCATCAGGAACATTGTGGTCAACCACGGGCATCTCTTAGTGGACCGCATTTTAAGGGTGAGTCATTTGGCATGTCTGTCTGTGTTCAGTCTGTCTGTGTTCAGTCTGTCTGTGTTCAGTCTGTCTGTGTTCAGTCTGTCTGCGTTCAGTCTGTCTGTGTTCAGTCTGTCTGTGTTCAGTCTGTCTGTGTTCAGTCTGTCTGTGTTCAGTCTGTCTGTGTTCAGTCTGTCTGTGTTCAGTCTGTCTGTGTTCAGTCTTTCTGTGTTCAGTCTGTCTGTGTTCAGTCTTTCTGGTGTGTGTCATGTTTGTTTAGGGGGGCACAGTTGAGGGTGGGGGATTGTGTGGGCACTATGGATTAGGATGTTTATGTCCAATCCTAATCCCTATGTGAGGTCACTAGGGATTAGCATGTTTATGTGAGGTTACTATGGATTAGGATGTTTATGTGAGGTTACTATGGATTAGGATTTGTATGTGAGGTCACTATGGATTAGGATGTTTATGTGAAGTCACTAGGGATTATGTTTATATGAGGTCACTGTGGATTAGGATGTTTATATGGGTTCACTAGGGATTATGTTTATATGAGGTTACTATAGATTAGGATGTTTATGTGAGGTCACTATGGATTAGGATATTTATGTAATGTTACTATAGATTAGGTTGTTTATGTGAGGTTACTATGGATAAGGATGTGTATATGAGGTCAATATGGATTAAGATGTTTAAGTGAGTGTCAAGGACCTTGTATCTATCCTACTGAACTATGGCTCGTTATACAGCCGTGTTACAGACACACTATACTAGAACACACTTAAAACACACACCTACGGAGCACACATATAATCTTTAATGTACAAAGAGCAATTCAACCTAAAGCAGCCTCAGCAGTTATGGACAGTCCCTAATCTGAAACGCCGGCGGTGGTAGCATTTATGTTCACTAATCCACTCCGAGCCATTCCCATGGATGTACCAAGAGACGCGATTCCACCTCACTGTGGTACAGCGCTAACTAGACTGCCGTCCTCGTCATACAAGACTCAGTGGCACACGCAAGTATTAGTGGGCAGTGTTACGCCAGCACTAAACACAGCTAAACTCTAAAAACCCATAGACATGAACAACTACCTACGCATGACATAACACCAACATATCTGTCCATAGAATATTAAATATCACACAAGAAATACAAACAGCTAACCAACAAATATGACGACAACGCTAACAGTCCCTATCTTTCAGCTCCTAACACAATACAATCTATAACCTCTCTCTATGTCTTCATCCTCACACGTCCATGTCCAACCCTCTTCTTCTCTCCCCATTCAGCTTCGGGTAAAATGTGTATGTGGTACCAGTGTTCAAGCCATCTCGGGTTTTCCCCATATCGTCAATTCAGCTGGCTGACCACTGGTGCACCTTTTGGTCCGTCAAACACAAACATATGAAGTTACAAGTCGTATCATCTAAAGTCTGTCCCATACCCTTCCCACAGAGCTATGACAGTGAGGTTACTATGGATTAGGATGTTTATGTGAGGTCACTATGAATTAGGATGTAAGGAATGTTTAGTTAGTGTGAACAGTTGTGAGTGAGCGCAAGGAAAGGATGTAAGGAATGTTTAGTTAGTGTGAACAGTTGTGAGTGAGCGCAAGGGAAGGATGTAAGGAATGTTTAGTTAGTGTAGACAGCTGTGAGTGAGCTCAAGGGAATGTTTAGTTAGTGTGGACATTGTGAGTGAGCGCAAGGGAATGTTTAGTTAGTGTGGACATTGTGAGTGAGCGCAAGGGAATGTTTAGTTAGTGTGGACAGCTTTGAGTGAGCTCAAGGGAATGTTTAGTTAGTATGGACAGTTGTGAGTGAGCTCAAGGGAATGTTTAGTTAGTGTAGACATTGTGAGTGAGCACAAGGGAATGTTTAGTTAGTGTAGACATTGTGAGTGAGCGCAATTAAAGTATGTAAGGAATGATTAGTTAGTGTGGACAGTTGTGAGTGAACACAAGGGAATGTTTAGTTAATGTGAACAGTTATGAGTGAGCACAAGGGAATGTTTAGTTAGAGTGGACAGCTGTGAGTGAGCACAAGGGAATGTTTAGTTAGTATGGACAGCTGTGAGTGAGCTCAAGGGAATGTTTAGTTAGTATGGACAGCTGTGAGTGAGCACAAGGGAATGTTTAGTTAGTATGGACAGCTGTGAGTGAGCACAAGGGAATGTTTAGTTAGCCCTACTTTTTCTTTAAGTTCACCGACTGTAAACTCCAGTGGACAGTTCTGGTTGTTACTCTATTTCTGGACTTCAATCTTCTCTCAGAAATAAAGTTTGGCCTGCACATCTGTTTTACAAATTTAGCTGGTTTCTGTGTAGAACTGCTGGTTTCTTGCCTCTCGGGCAGGTGCACACCGACTTCTAAGTAATTCCTTAATTAGTCGACTCTTACGACACGTTTGTTAGAGAGGCAAAGGGTTTACTTCCCCCAACCATGTCCCAGAAGCCACACGTTGATGAACATATTCAGTAACTGTGTGAGATGATTTTTTTTGTCATAACCCAGATATTGCATATATCAACAGGCCATTGGCGGGGAGTCCCAGAGAGGCATCATTGATTACATCGCTGATGTGATCATGGCATTAAACAAGCACTACGTTTCACAGCTGGCAGGCTGGCTGAAACTCATGGTAGACAACGATGGGTATCCGTCTCCCAGAGCTTCTAGGCAGGACAAGGAGAACTTTGTCAAAAACCTTCTGAGGTACACGTTACAAATTTTAGACTTTTAAATTTACTGCCCTCTTTGTGCACTTAATCAGAGCTAACCAATCACCTGTAAGCATCATCATCATCTTAAACCACTTTTGCCGGTAAGCACCATGGGGAGGAATAATTTGCGATCCAGTGCACGTTGGCTGCCACTGGCTATTGTCATGTACTGAAGGCGTAGAGTGTCTTTAATGTTGTCGATCCATGTTTTCCTTGGCCGTCCTCTTGCAGCTGATCTTCTGAGAGGTAGTGCTTGTGATGGTATTTGATCTTGTTTCATTCTAACGAAATGGCCAAACCACTTGATCTGCTGTTTCTCGATGAATCTAGTACAAGGTGTCGTTCCCACAGTTTGCCTGGTAGTATCATTATTCACTCGATCTCGGATGGTTAGGTTGGCTGCTTTTCTCAGGCACCTCATCTCGCAGGTGGTGATTTTGCGTATATATGGGCTTTAGATAGTGGCCATGTTTGGCACTGGTAGCTTAATGTTGGAATGAATATGCTATTAATAATCTGTGTCTTTGCACTCATAGTTATGCTTGGATGTCTTAATAATGTTGACAATTGGTATATAAGTGCACTAGCTTTTTGACATCTGGTTTCTCTGTCAATTCTTTCAATCTTCTGTGATCATACTTCCTAGATATTTAAACTCCCTGACTTGATTCAGAGCAGAACCATTCAGCTGTATGTGTAGTGGGGCAGGGGTTCTGCTAACTTGCATTATTTCGGTTTTGTTTGCATTGATCTTTATGTTTTATTTACTTCATGCTAAGTTTAATTAACCTGTTAATGTGGTCTTGCAGTCTATCTTCTTCAGGGTAGAACAAGCACTGGTCATCAGCAAATAGTAGTTCTTTTAATGTGGATGAATTGATAACTTCTCCTGATGTGTGTACTTCCTCATGATTATAAAAGTCTATGTTGTCTGTATTAGAACTTGCTTCTTTAGATATTCTGTCTATATAAATGTTAAATAAAAGTGGGGAGAGCACACATCCCTGTCTCACACCTGTGTTGACTGTGAACATATCTGATCGGCCTTCTTGTATTCTTATTGCACTTTGACTTGTGTGGTACATGGTTGTGATGTTCTCTATTAACTGTCCTTGTACGCTTTAGTTCTCAAGGACAGACCACAGTTTGTTTCTATCCACTCTATTGAAAACCTTTACCTGATTTGCAAACACAGTATTCTGCTGGGTGTTATACTCAAAGGCTTTCTCACACACTTGCCTCAGAGTGAATAATGCATCGGAATTGTGATGCCCTCAACTGTTGTTCAGCTATGGGTCTAACTCTGTTCTGGTAGTTAGTTTGGCATACATTTTCTCTATGTGACTCAGTAGTGATATACCTCTGTATGCTTCACATTCTCTCCTTTCTTTTTCCATAACGGTGCTATTAGTGCCTGTTGCCACTCAGCTGGGACTTTTCTTTCTTCCCAAGCTATATTAACAATTCTAGTTAACCATTTAACACCCACTTCTCCGCATGCTTGGATCCCTTCTGTATTACTTCCATTCGGACCTGGTGCTTTGTTTCTTGGGCTGTTCTGTATCACTGCTCTTACTTCCGCTGCTACGAACTTTGGTTCCTCATGTGATGCGAAGGAAACAAGCTGGAGTACATCGTGACAGTAGGAAAGCTGGAGGGGGAAAAGAGGCAGTGGGAGTACATCGTGACAGTAGGAAAGCTGGAGGGGGAAAAGAGGCAGTGGGAGTACATCGTGACAGTAGGAAAACTGGAGGGGGAAAAGAGGCAGTGGGAGTACATTGTGACAGTAGGAAAGCTGGCGGGGGAAAAGAGGCAGTGGGAGTACATTGTGACAGTAGGAAAGCTGGCGGGGGAAAAGAGGCAGTGGGAGTACATCGTGACAGTAGGAAAGCTGGAGGGGGAAAGAGGCAGTGAGAGACTAAGAGAAAAGATGTTGGGACAGTTTGACATCATGGCATGGAGGATCATCTGTATCAGAGTTGAACGAAAGTACTTGAGACACAAGCTTGTGGTTAGACATGACTACCAACACCAAATAGAGGATCATCTGTATCAGAGTTGAACGAAAGTACTTGAGACACAAGCTTGTGGTTAGACATGACTACCAACACCAAATGGTATGGACTTTAAGGAAAAGGGTCTTTTAAAAGTGGTTTTGGTCACTTTGCAACAAAGAGTAGTGTGGGGTAATAATGAAATGATATAACAACATGGTGGATCCACAATTTTTAACAATCTTCTTTTTTCATCCCAAATAATATCTGAAAATGTCTTTGGACAAATACAGTGCCAACTAGTTAAGGCATACTCGGATGTGGCAAATTTCTAATGTAAAGAACAATTTGTCTATCCCCGGCAATTCTTATTGAGGGAATTCTTATCTGGATAAGAGGAATTTCTTTTAAGAAGAATCATTTTTGAGGTCCCAGGTGGGGGTTTATTAACACATCAGGTCGACACTGTATATATAAAATCATATCCACCATGTCTGCACACCATGCAGTTGAAGTCAGTACCAGAGCTGTCATGTGGGCATTGTCCCAAGACATCAAGTCAACTGAAACCCATATAATAGGAAAAAGTGGCTTTTTAGGAGAGGCTTGTCATCAGTTAACCCTTGTCTTTGGGCGGGAAAGAATTGTGAGATTCTGAATTCTGAGAATTCAGCATGTTGTATGTGTTATTTGTAACGATTTCCTTGCCAACATGGTCTCTTCTCTTCCACAGAGATAAGATGAACAAAGTCCGCACACGAGAGGTGGTTAAAGAGTTCACACTGCTGTGTCGAGGCTTGCTGGGGACCGAATATGCAGAGGCTGCAGCTGCATTCTTGTGATATTGCCAACATTGACACTGTTGTTACGTTATCTGTATATGTCCAACCTGGCCCTAAGTTAATTCCTTGTACAGCCACAAATATGCCAAAATATTTCAGTAACTATGAATGCAACTAGTGCGTGCTAGAGGTGTTGATTTGGTGGCTTTCCAACAGTGTGTGTGTGTGTTCCCTGTCAGCAAGTTTTGATGGATGTGTGTGCTGTGCGGTGGTGCAATAACCTGGTCACAGGTCCTGTGTCGATCACATGCTCTGTGCCCGATCACATTTTTAGTTGTCACTGGTTATTCTATAAACGAAAGAAATTACCTGTTGAATCAGTAAAATCTAAAGTGATCTAAGACTTTACGCCTCTTATCTCTTTTGACAAAGAAAATCGCCAGACAAACAACAACAAATCACCAAACATTGGTCACCTCACAGACCATCGAATCACCATACCCTCACATAACAGATCACCTCCCAGACCATCAAATCACCATACATTGGTCACCTCACAGACTATCAAATCACCATCACCTCAAATAACAACAAATCACCTCACTGACCATCAGATCACTATCCCCTCACATAGCAACAAATCACCATCCCCTCGCAGACCATCAAATCACCTCACAGACCATCAGATCACTATCCCCTCACATAACAACAAATCATCATCACCTCACAGACCATCAAATCACTATCCCCGCACATAACAACAAATCACCATCCCCTCACAGACCATCAAATCACCTCACTGACCATCAGATCACTATTCCCTCACATAACAACAAATCATCATCACCTCACAGACCATCAAATCACCTCACATAACAACAAATCACCATCCCCTCACATAACAACAAATCACCATCACCTCACAAACCATCAAATCACCTCACATAACAACAAATCACCATCCCCTCACATAACAACAGATCACCATCCCCTCACATAACAACAAATTACCATCCCCTCACATAACAACAAATTACCATCCCCTCACATAACAACAAATCACCATCACCTCACATAACAACAAATCACCATCCCCTCACATAACAACAAATCACCATCCCCTCACATAACAACAAATCACCATCCCCTCACATAACAAATCACCATCACCTCACATAACAACAAATCACCATCACCTCACAGACCATCAAATCACCATCTTTTGCCCATGACAGAAGCAAATTCCCAACGGATAGAGGAAACGAACCATCTCCCGCATGACAGCCCTGTTTTTGTAATAAACTCACCTCACAGACCATCAAATCATCTTGCAGTGGTCACCACCACAACAGCAAAACACTGGTTCATGATATGAAATAATCACCAAGGGTGAAAAACATGTATGTTTATAGACTTGTGTTCAGCATGCATTGACTGGGAGCAGTTATCTTTTCCTGTAGATATTAAACTTGTGCAGTAACAAAACCTGGTGTGTTTGTTTTTCGATAAAAAAGTTTGTTTGCCATGCGCTGTGAAGCTTGTGAGTGCAGTTTCAGACCTGTTGTCTCTATTTTGTGAGTTCAAATGTGTTTAACTCACGAAGAGAAATGATTGCCCACATCATAAAGAGACAAATCTTTGGTCATGAGAAGAAGAAAACTGGAGTACATCGTGATAGTAGGAAAGATGGAAGGAAGAAGAGGCAGAGAGAAAAGATTCTGGACAGTGACATCATGGCGTGGAAGATCATGAGACAAAAGGATAGATACGACAACCAACGCATGGACTTATAAAGGATCAAACAAAGACGGGCCAATTTTTAAAAAATCGTCATTTATTTGGATACAAAAACCCAACCCTATAAAAAAAACAAATTTGCAACCATCAACAACAAAAAAAACATTCTGGCAAGAATCCCATAAACATTTGATCTTGAACATTTTGTTGACTAAAAACTGGGGTATTTTATTTGATAGCATATCAATAAATTGTAGTAGCTGTATATAAATTAAGACAAAAGACACTATCGGTATCATGAAATCCAAGAAGTTAACAGTAAGAATGACATGGATTCTGATAAACATAAGGACAAAGAAAGGTCATGTATAAGTGCAGTCTTGGTTGTTATTCCCATTGGACCCTTGCCTGTTGATTTAACGACTGAAGTCATCTCTTTGATAGAGCTCATCTGTCCAACTCTCTGTTTTTTAGCCATAATTCTCAGTGCACTGTGGTTGAATTTCTGTGGCCAGCAGGCGGTTTATAGCAACAGACTTTTCATAGCTTTCAGACAGAGGTAAGTAAGACAGTCTTGGACAGAGGTAAGTAAGACAGTCTCGGACAGAGGTAAGTAAGACAGTCTCGGACAGAGGTAAGTAAGACAGTCTCGGACAGAGGTAAGTAAGACAGTCTCGGTCAGAGGTAAGTAAGACAGTCTCGGACAGAGGTAAGTAAGACAGTCTCGGACAGAGGTAAGTAAGACAGTCTCGGACAGAGGTAAGTAAGACAGTCTCGGACAGAGGTAAGTAAGACAGTCTCGGACAGAGGTAAGTAAGACAGTCTCGGACAGAGGTAAGTAAGACAGTCCCACTGTGGATATCGGGGAGCCTCAGCATGGATACTGGGAACCTCAGCATGGATACTGGGTGCCTCAGCATGGATACTGGGTGCCTCAGCATGGATACTGGGTGCCTCAGCATGGATACTGGGTGCCTCAGCATGGATACTGGGTGCCTCAGCATGGATACTGGGTGCCTCAGCATGGATACTGGGTGCCTCAGCATGGATACTGGGTGCCTCAGCATGGATACTGGGTGCCTCAGCATGGATACTGGGTGCCTCAGCATTAAAATTCCCAAACACAGCAGCTGGTGCACATGTCTACTACAGCCAACCTTCACTGTGGAGACAGCCCCTTTTTATCCATTCTATCTCTGCAGCTTGAGCATCTCTGACTGCAGGCATACAGTTGCTGATAGGGAGGGATTCAGTCTCACAAAATAACAGAACCACCTACAGGGTGTTGTACCTAGAGTATTTTTACTGTCTTCTTTCTCTTGAACATTCACAGCCCTTGACTCCCATCACCTTCCCTTCCTTTTCCCCCTCTGTCTGCCTCACGGTCTACTCCATGAGTACTGTCATCGTGTCTAATTCTGTTTTCTCATGTCATTTACATCAGCATTTTATTTCAGATATCGCTAGCTTTTCTCATTTGTGATTTACAGACTGGTGCTGGAGGGAAAGGCACGATTGTATATGGTACCAGGTGATCTACGGTAGAGCTGTGAATCTTAAAAATTTGGAAAATGGAATAAGTCAGCTTTACACAATGCACTTACAAAAAATAAGAAAATAATGTTTGCCGATGAAGGCTTGTTACTAAAACATCCTTTGTATACTGTAACTGTATTTTTATAAAGCTGAAGATATTTATTACTTCAGTGCACAATTGGATAATAGTCAAAACGGCTGTCTCCATTAATACATTCTCCATTATTACATTAATGTTTTTTTTTTAATTAATTACTTTTTGAAACATGATGAGGATGATGATAAAAGTAAATCACAGGGTAGACATCTCAAAGTTTGGACCCGGATTTGGGCTGGATATCTTTTAGCTTCAGGGCCAATCCCATGTTGCCAGCTATCTTCAGCTTGCCTTGGAAAAATGCCTGCAGGAGAAGACAAAGAAAACACATGGGTTAGACAGCAAGACAAGCTACTTGTGATTCTACCAAATCTTTCTCTCTCTTTCTCTCTCTCATGCATGCATGCACATGCGTACACACACACACAATAATATATACCTAAGAATGGGAGGGCAAGTGATGAGATCTGATATTCATATGACTAGAGTGCCCTCCTGTTCTTATGTGTATTGCTTTGCTTGTAAGGGGGGGGGGGGGGGGGGGGGGGGGGGGGATCAACAGACAGAAAGAGAGAACTGATGTATTAACATCAAAGCTATTCATGTGATTCTAACAAATTCTCTCTTTCTCTCTTATGTACACATACTGCAATATACACCTGAGAAAGGCAGGACAAGCTTTTCGTGTGATTCTATCAAATACCCCCCTCCCTCTTTCTCTCTCTCTCTCTCACACATACCCACTGCAACATACACCTAAGAAAGAGGACAAACTTTTCACGTGATTCTACCAAACCTCCCTCTCTTTCTGTCAGTCTCTCTCCCTCACACATACAAACAATGAAACATGCACCTGAGAACGGGATGGCAAGCTAGTTATGTGATTCTATCAAATCTCTCTCTTTCTAAATTGCCCCCCCCCCCCCCCCCCCCCCCCCAATACGATGATATAAACAGATACGTACAGTTTGGGGGTTCAGTTTTCCAGTCATCAAGTCGTACAGGTCTCCATCACTGATAGTGATTGTTGTGTCCGCTTTATCTGGAAAACAGACAAACCGGCCAATATAAAACAAGGACAATGTGAAACATGTCACAGACAGATAACCCTAAAGAAACTGCAAAGCAGGATCGGCAGATACATTATAAGAACAATAAACTCCACAATTGGAAATCAACTTTGTTTTGTAAGGTCCTCAACAATTTCTCCGTTTCCTGTTTTGTTTTTAGTAGTTACCCTGCCACTATAATAAACACCAGAATAAAGCCAGTCTTACATGTCATCAAAGAACAACAAATGAAGTGGTTTTTTTGGGACACCTAACAAGAATGCCCTGGTACTATCTACCACAGCGAGCCACACTAAAACGGGTATAGAGCGAGCGGAAGACTTTGGAAAATAAGGAGTGATGGCATTAAGTACAGCTTTACAGACATGAACATCAATCTCAATAGTGCTCTTGACAGAGCTCATCAACAAAGGTTACATCTCCCACTGACACTTCGCTGAGGTACAAGGTGGAAGAGTGGATGTGACCCTGCACCTACAGTAGGACTGATAGATACAAGTTCATCAAGTATTTACTGACTGGATTAATCTTCCTGGATATTCAACATTCAAAATTATGTTGAATTAAGAATCGACATCACAGCACTCGGGACACTCCCACAAGTGCTCATACGTCAGTCAATTCACCACCAAGTGGCGCAGAACCGGCCTGTTGATTTGCCAACACACTGGTATGATCTGGAGAAAATATCCAAAGATGCTAACTACCTGGGACCTCTGAAGTGATGCTTGCCACTCTGCACGGAGCAGGCCTGTCTCCACCTTTCTCAACATGCTCTGGGCTTGTTGTAAAAATGACTTTGGCTCCGAGGTTGACTCAACCTTAACTTTACCAGAACGCTGCACTGATTTTTCTGTAATTTCATAATCTGCTGCTATACAGCTGTACCTTTTTTTGATACGTTGCGTAGTGCAGGAAAAAAAAATGCATCACCATTAAAAATAACCAACTAAACAGGTCAAATTTCATGGTTAGCGATTGCAACTATCTTAAAGATCTTTAAATCTTGATACCAATTGCAACCAAGAAGGGTTTCTGAGATTATTAGTCAACTTTTTGAAACAATCACTTTTTTTTAATTTATATTTTTTTACTGTAGATAAGAGGTAGAATGTCTGATTTTCGATACCCTCTTACACACAATATATTGGCACCTGGGGCTTAGGTGTTGCAAACGCGCTTCCTGATGCAAGGTTTGAATCCAGCTGTGGGCCATTTGGCAGCAGATCGATTGTCTTGTGATGGTTTCCAGTGGTACTGACAGCTGACCACAGAGAAAGCAATGGCACACTAGTGAATGTGGAATGTGCCTAGAAAAACCACAACAGTAAAAAAAATTATGGGGTTGGTTCTGCAAGCAACGTCCTGTTAAGGGTATGCAAACTAAAATTTAACTTTACACACAATATGCAACTATATGCAACTCATTACAAAAGTAACTTACCACTGGAATTAAATTTAACGGATCCACTTCCGTTCTTGACGTCCACTACCCAGACACCCTCTTGGTCGGACGGTCCCTTGACCTTGAAGCAGAAGACTCCATTGACCTTCTTCACAATACTGGCGCCATCCTGCAACAACATGGACAAGCAGACATGATGATGATGTCAACACAAGATGTGAATGAAACAGAACAGAGAAATAAAGTAACCCAGTGAAGGCAATAACAACACTCATAACCGGTTTGTTCACAACTAAGTATGAAGAGAATGGCACTGTGGGGAGTTACCAGGGAATCTGGCCGACGCTCATCACTCAAGGAAAAGGGGAGACCGATGTACAATCAGGCAGTTATGGGTACCATCAGAACTGAAACTCTTCATTTGCTGCTGAAAACGGGGACGGAGCCCTTACAGGAGTGTCATGAGTGCTGCGATGTCGATTCTTAAGTCAACATTCAACACTAATTAAATACTAATATCATGAGGGCTATTAGACTGCTATGGTTCTGGTATATAGACGGAATGGCAATATGGACGGAACAGCAAGAAAAACTGCACATAAAAACACTGAAGGAAAGCAGATCAAGGAGACGGTGGGGATACAATTTACATGTGGCCCTATAAACACTTGGGAGCTACCGCTTAAAAAGAGAAAGTCTACCACCAGAAAAAACAAGCCTACCACCCGGAAAGAGAAAGTCAACCACCCGGGAAAAAAAAAATACCACCCGAAAAGAAAAAGTCTACCACCCGGGAAAAAAAAAATACCACCCGGAAAGAAAAAGTCAATCAGCGAGATAAATGGAGGCAGGAGACATATGCAACAATGAGCCTCAAGTGCTTGAAAATGAAGAAGTACACAGTTATGGTGTCAGCACTATCTCATGTACTTGATGAATCTACATACCTTCTGTAAGGACTTTTCAATTTCAGAAAACACGCTGGATGATTTGAAATCCTTTACTGTAGTTGAACTGGCAGCAGCCGCCTGCAACTGTCTCCTGAAATGTTTATATATATATATATTTATATATTATGGCACATCTGACAACATGGCAAATAGTCGTATAAACAACTATCTCTTATCTCTGTGATCAGAGAATCATTGAATGCTATGTAAACCCTAGCAATGGCAAACTACCTTCTTCAAAGATGCCAAGAAAAGTCACAATGATTCTTCTTTGTTTGCCCTAAACAGGATAGTTGACTTGATGTGTGATAGTTTGCAGCTTGATGTGTGATGGTGTGCAGCTTGATGTGTGATAGTTTACAGCTTGATGTGTGATAGTTCGCAGCTAGGTGCCATCCCGAAACCCAACATTTCAGCAAATCTTGGATCAGATACCTTTGACCAATTACTCGTTAGGGGCCACTGTGTCTATTCTTTGGTGCCCCAATACAGGGCCCCAGCCCCACAAGAGGAAAAGTCAATGATTCAAGACCACATGCCAAACAGTCCACCTCTGTTAGGACGGAACCCACTATCTTCCGATCCGCAGGCAAGGGACTACTCGTTACACCATGGTGGCTTCCTTAGATAATGTTAATAACACTAGAAATCTCTAGCAGATTTTAAACATAAAGTTAACACTAGAAATCTCTAGCACATTTTAAACCTAAAGTTAACACTAGAAATCTCTAGCACATTTTAAACCTAAAGTTAACACTAGAAATCTCTAGCACATTTTAAACCTAAAGTTAACACTAGAAATCTCTAGCACATTTTAAACCTGAAGTTAACACTAGAAATCTCTAGCACATTTTAAACCTAAAGTTAACACTAGAAAATAACGCAGAAGAATATCTAGAGTTTTGTGCCCTCTAGCAGTCAGACTTACGATGCTGTCCTGGTTTCTGGGAACCCAAGTCTGTACAAAGAAACAACAACGGCACCCCCCAAGCCGAGATTATGCTGAAGAGCAACCTGGGCATTTTGGACCTGTCTTTTTCCTGCCATCCCTCTCAGTTGCCAGCAGAGTTCAGCGCACTGGGCTAATCCTGGCAAATAAACAAACACACAGTTCAGCGCACTGGGCTAATCCTGGCAAATAAACAAACACACAGTTGAGCACACTGAACTAATCCTGGCAGAGAAACAAACACACAATTGAGCACACTGAACTAATCCTGGCAGAGAAACAAACACACAGTTGAGCACACTGAACTAATCCTGGCAGAGAAACAAACACACAGTTGAGCACACTGAACTAATCCTGGCAGAGAAACAAACACACAGTTGAGCACACTGAACTAATCCTGGCAGAGAAACAAACACACAGTTGAGCACACTGAACTAATCCTGGCAGAGAAACAAACACACAGTTGGGCACACTGGGCTAATCCTGGCAGAGAAACAAACACACAGTTGAGGACACTGAACTAATCCTGGCAGATAAACAAACATACGGTTGAGGACATTGAACTAATCCTGGCAGATAAACAAACACACAGTTGAGGACACTGAACTAATCCTGGCAGAGAAACAAACACACAGTTGGGCACACTGAACTAATCCTGGCAGATAAACAAACACACAGTTGAGCACACTGAACTAATCCTGGCAGAGAAACAAACACACAGTTGAGCAAACTGAACTAATCCTGGCAGATAAACAAACAGACCCACTGCCTCCCTAACAAGCATGTCATAAGTCTTGACTAAATAGGGGTGTTTTTTCTCTGAAGTTTCTTTTAAGTCAGAGGGAATCTGCCTGAAAGGCAAGGAACCAACATTCTGCACACAAATAAGCCAAATATGTAAAATGGATGTGCACGCAGCACACAAGTTATGAAACATGACTCCAATCCAGAAGTGGATGAACAACCAAAACTTTCTGCTGGAGTTTACAACTGGACAACACCAAGAATACAAAAATGACCTTGGTTTCCAGGTTGACCCAGCCTTAAATGGGTACGATGTAAAGTCCTGGGAAGTAAAGGCGGCTGGCATGTTTACACCTCACCCGCAGAGTGCTGATTAGTCTATAAGATATAGGTCTAGCACGATATGCCCTAAACGCCTAAAGGCGTGGAAAAGGGACCTTTACTTTACTTACTATATGCCCAACTAAATGTGTGGAAAAGGGACTTTGTTGAATGGCAAGGGAGTCCCTGTGACGGAGCGGCTAGACACTCGCCGCGGATCGGAAGGTCGTGGGTTCGCTCCCTGGAGGAGCCGGACTTTTTTTCAAAAATGACCTGGGCTCCCAGGTCGACCCAGCCTTGAGTGGGTACCAGGTGCAGTCCCGGGAAGTAGAGGCGGCCTGGGTGATGCTGACCACATCACCCATCTTGTGCCGATGGTCTATAAAAATATAGGTCTAGCCCTATATGCCTTATACCCCTAAAGGCGTTGAAAAGGGTCCTGCCTTATACCCCTAAAGGCGTGGAAAAGGGTCCTTTACTTACTGAATGGCAAACAAATATATCATACTTGAACTAATACGTGAAATATGCCAACAAATATTTTTAGAAGAATTTATATTTCAATGAAAGAGAATTTATATCTCAATGATTAAGGGGGTGGGGAGCTCTTAGTCCCATTACACAACTGAGAGAGAGAGAGAGAGAGAGAGAGAGAGAGAGAGAGAGAGAGAGAGAGAGAGAGAGAGAGAGAGAGAGAGAGAGAGAGAGAGAGAGAGAGAGAGAGAGAGAGAGAGAGAGAGAGAGAGAGAGAGACTAATGTCAACAAGGGGACACAAACAGTTGGTCGGCTCTTCGCCTTTGTTTGAACCCTCACTAAACAGATTATTTTAGACTGAGTTGATTCCTCAATCACACGCCAACAGAAAAGAACAAAGCAGGCACGTTTGGGCCACTGTCACTAGAAAGTCTGGGTAAGAGAATTAGCCATGCTGAATAGTACCGTGTGCTTACATTACTTTACTTCTAGTTGCTCGGGCAAAATCTGAAATTAAAAATCTACCCAAAGTATTTGAGGATCCTCGTCGATGCTAGAGAGCCTGTGCTGAGCTTTTTCGGACTCAGATTTTAGTTATAAGAAGAACGGAGCACTTATGGGTTTAACCACCCGTGTGCCATGATGTTGATCCGTTGTTCAAAGTTTAAACTGCAAACTTCTAGACTGAATCGATTCAGGGGTAATCACAAGCCAACAGAAAGAACAAAGCAGGCACGTTTTGTTCACTGTTTCTAGAAAGTCTGGGTAGAAGGGTTCGCTTACAAAATTTTACCGAGTACTGTGAATTACAATTAAGTGAAGTAAGTAGGGATGTGTGCCACCGATCCGAATGATTAGTCGGCGAGGTTTACAGGATGTGTATAAAAACTAATAACAGATACATAATTTGGGGGAACAACAAGCAAGCTTACGTGACTCGTCTCTGGATAAGCACCGGGAATTGTGCAGAAATGGCAACACCCACAAACCGTTAGTCGGGTACTCGGTGGACTTCGACCTGAGGCCCACGCCCAGACAGCCAGAGATTAACAAAACAGATAAACACGGAACTAGGGGACTTCACTCTTATCGAACTAAGAGATATTTTTGTTTGTTGAGGCCCCTGCAGACTGTGAAGCCTTATACTGAAACGAATTTAGCGTATACCTAAATCCAGCACTGGGTCAACACCAGGCCGGCCGCTTCTGCTAGCAACGACACTACCTGGAGCCAACGCCGTCTTTAACAGAGAAGGCCGTGCTGGAGCCTACGTTAGGCTGGGTCGATCGGCCAGCTAGGGTCATCGATGTGGATTTCAAGCCTAGAGCTTGGTTCAGGCGAGCGTCTGGCCACGGCTCGAGGTTTCTCTCGGGGCTACGGCCATCTCATGGACCGCAGCATACTGACCTGGTTGTTCCTTTTTTTCTTCGCGATCACCGGCTGTCAACTCCAGCGGAAAGTTCAGGTTGTTCGTCCACCTCTGGACTCAGTCGTGTTCTAGAACCTGATTGATCATGCAAATCAGTTTTACTGGTCTGACATGCGTATGCAGGTTGTTGGTTCCTTGCCTCTCAGGCAGATGCGCTGCCAATTTAAAGGAAGCGCCCCCCCCCCACCCAGTCAACTCCTACGACATGCTTTTGGGCAGGCAGTGGGTCTAATCTTGTCCCCCCCCCCCCCCTCCAATGGGGCTCCGGAACCCACACGGGGAGACCTGGCTTTTCAACTAGCGGCCCGCGTGCCGAATCCTTTTGGCCCGTGAATATGCCATTTAATTTGTATTAACTAATTATCTCTCTACGCAGAGGCTAAGGCTTCTGGTCTATGACGATCACCATTTCAAACATTTTTTACCCCTGAGAAAAGTTAGTTGAATAGCCCCTGATATTCACTGTCCACAGACTGGGCACCTGTAGTGGACACTCGTGGACTGGCGTCCCAGGGACTGGCTAGCGTTACCAAGAAAGGGTGGGGGGGGGGGGGGGGGGTTACATTTTTGCCTGGCGGTCAAACTCCGTTATCGGTGGTTCGCCAGCGCAGGTGTATCAGAGAGCTTGGTGTGTCGTAGCTGGCGTGATTGCATTGGTGCCTTGTGTAACGCTCTCTGGTGGTGTGATCGGCTGCGCAACTGGGCCATGAGGGATTCTACAATCAAACTGACCCCGCCGCCTGTAAACATGTACACGATGTGTATCTTTCAAAGATAGTTGGCTTTAAACGGGAGGCACTGATAGATAGCCCTATCTCTGCACCCGTTCCGGGTGATAACAAACTCATACTATATAGATGACACAAGACAAAGAAGTGATGACAAACTCACACTATATAGATGACACAAGACAAAGAAGTGATGACAAACTCACACTATATAGATGACACAAGACAAAGAAGTGATGACAAACTCACACTATATAGATGACACAAGACAAAGAAGTGATGACAAACTCACACTATATAGATGACACAAGACAAAGAAGTGATGACAAACTCACACTATATAGATGACACAAGAAAAAGGAGTGATGACAAACTCACACTATATAGATGACACAAGAAAAAGGAGTGATGACAAACTCACACTAGATAGATGACACAAGACAAAGAAGTGATGACAAACTCACACTAGATAGATGACACAAGACAAAGAAGTGATGACAAACTCACACTAGATAGATGACACAAGACAAAGAAGTGATGACAAACTCACACTATATAGATGACACAAGACAAAGAAGTGATGACAAACTCACACTATATAGATGACACAAGACAAAGAAGTGATGAAAAACTCACACTATATAGATGACACAAGACAAAGAAGTGATGACAAACTCACACTATATAGATGACACAAGAAAAAGGAGTGATGACAAACTCACACTATATAGATGACACAAGAAAAAGGAGTGATGACAAACTCACACTAGATAGATGACACAAGACAAAGAAGTGATGACAAACTCACACTAGATAGATGACACAAGACAAAGAAGTGATGACAAACTCACACTAGATAGATGACACAAGACAAAGAAGTGATGACAAACTCACACTATATAGATGACACAAGACAAAGAAGTGATGACAAACTCACACTATATAGATGACACAAGACAAAGAAGTGATGACAAACTCACACTATATAGATGACACAAGACAAAGAAGTGATGACAAACTCACACTATATAGATGACACAAGAAAAAGGAGTGATGACAAACTCACACTAGATAGATGACACAAGACAAAGAAGTGATGACAAACTCACACTAGATAGATGACACAAGACAAAGAAGTGATGACAAACTCACACTAGATAGATGACACAAGACAAAGAAGTGATGACAAACTCACACTAGATAGATGACACAAGACAAAGAAGTGATGACAAACTCACACTAGATAGATGACACAAGACAAAGAAGTGATGACAAACTCACACTATATAGATGACACAAGACAAAGAAGTGATGACAAACTCACACTAGATAGATGACACAAGACAAAGAAGTGATGACAAACTCACACTAGATAGATGACACAAGACAAAGAAGTGATGACAAACTCACACTAGATAGATGACACAAGACAAAGAAGTGATGACAAACTCACACTAGATAGATGACACAAGACAAAGAAGTGATGACAAACTCACACTAGATAGATGACACAAGACAAAGAAGTGATGACAAACTCACACTATATAGATGACACAAGACAAAGAAGTGATGACAAACTCACACTAGATAGATGACACAAGATAAAGAAGTGATGACAAACTCACACTATATAGATGACACAAGACAAAGAAGTGATGACAAACTCACACTAGATAGATGACACAAGACAAAGAAGTGATGACAAACTCACACTAGATAGATGACACAAGACAAAGAAGTGATGACAAACTCACACTAGATAGATGACACAAGACAAAGAAGTGATGACAAACTCACACTAGATAGATGACACAAGACAAAGAAGTGATGACAAACTCACACTAGATAGATGACACAAGACAAAGAAGTGATGACAAATTCACACTAGATAGATGACACAAGACAAAGAAGTGATGACAAACTCACACTAGATAGATGAAACAAGACAAAGAAGTGATGACAAACTCACACTATATAGATGACACAAGACAAAGAAGTGATGACAAACTCAGACTATATAGATGATACAAGACAAAGAAGTGATGACAAACTCACACTAGATAGATGACACAAGACAAAGAAGTGATGACAAACTCACACTAGATAGATGACACAAGACAAAGAAGTGATGACAAACTCACACTATATAGATGACACAAGACAAAGAAGTGATGACAAACTCAGACTATATAGATGATACAAGACAAAGAAGTGATGACAAACTCACACTATATAGATGACACAAGACAAAGAAGTGATGACAAACTCAGACTATATAGATGATACAAGACAAAGAAGTGATGACAAACTCAGACTATATAGATGATACAAGACAAAGAAGTGATGACAAACTCAGACTATATAGATGATACAAGACAAAGAAGTGATGACAAACTCAGACTATATAGATGATACAAGACAAAGAAGTGATGACAAACTCACACTATATAGATGATACAAGACAAAGAAGTGATGAAAAACTCACACTATATAGATGATACAAGACAAAGAAGTGATGACAAACTCACACTATATAGATGATACAAGACAAAGAAGTGATGACAAACTCACACTATATAGATGATACAAGACAAAGAAGTGATGAAAAACTCACACTATATAGATGATACAAGACAAAGAAGTGATGACAAACTCACACTAGATAGATGATACAAGACAAAGAAGTGATGACAAACTCAGACTATATAGATGATACAAGACAAAGAAGTGATGACAAACTCAGACTATATAGATGATACAAGACAAAGAAGTGATGAAAAACTCACCCTAGGCAAACAAAATAGAAAACATTTGTAGAAAGAGCGGCAATTTTAACTATTAGACGTCTTCTGACGTTTTCTTTAACCGCCCCCCCCCCCCCCCTGGTTACATACTGCAGGGTTAAAATCTCATAGATGGGGTTCAAACACAGGCACATCCCTGAAAACCAATTCACCGCACACGTGTTTCCTTTTCGGGGTGATTTCCAGCTTAATCGCGGCATCTTGGGAGCTGCAAGTTTTCGTAGGGAATTCCCAGGGAGTTCCCCGGAAGGTCCTATAGTACAGGGGGTTTAGGGTTAGGGTTAATGTCCTCTTCTTCTGTCCTTCGCCCGGAATAGATTATCTATATCTGCAATGTCGTCTCTAGTATGAACTTTACTGTACTTGGCGACCCTTACAGTTCGGCTTTTACCGGTGTTTCTCTTGGGCAGTGGGATGTGAATTAGGGATAATTTGGGATGTCCGCGGGTAAAGGCCCAGAATAAGAGCGAAGTCTTCATGTGTGCATAATTTCAGTGAAGGTTAGGGTTAGCGTTAGATGCAGAACTTCTGACAGGTTTAGGAAATTCATGGCGAAGTAAGGAAGTCAAAACGTCACAAAGTGAAAACATTCTGTGCAAACAGGGCTCAATGATGGCAAGGAACAAACAAAAGTAACTCACAGCAGAAAGGATCTGCAATAAACGATGGACACGCTGAAAACAACCAGCACATGGCACAGGAAGTGACAACAAACTCACACTAGATAGATGCCACAAGACACAGGAAGTGACGACAAACTCACTCTAGACAGATATCACAAGACACAGGAAGTGATGACAAACTCACACTAGACAGATGTCACAAGACACAGACAGTGATGACAAAGTCACACTAAATAGATGTCTAGATGGATGCCACAAGACACAAGAAGTGATGACTAACTCACACTAGACAAATGCCACAAGACACAGAGAGTGACAACAAACTCACACTAGACAAATCTCACAAGACACAGGAAGTGACAACAAACACTAGACAGATGTCACTAGACACAGGAAGTGACAACAAACTCACACTAGACAGATCTCACAAGACACAGAGAATGACAACAAACTCAAACTTGACAGATCTCACAAGACACAGGAAGTGACAACAAACACTAGACAAATGTCACAAAACACAGGAAGTGACAACAAACTCACACTAAACAGATGTCGCAAGACACAGGAAGTGACAACAAACTCACACTAAACAGATGTCACCAGACACAGGAAGTGACAACAAATGCATTGGACAGATTGTACCTGGGGCATACTCTCTTAGAGACAGACAGACTTACCTGTGGAACCCTCTCTCACTGACAGACTTACTTACCTCTGGCACCCTCTCTTACTGACAGACTTACTTACCTGTAGCACCCTCTCTAAGAGACAGACAGACTTACTTACCTCTGGCACCCTCTCTTACTGACCTACTTACTTACCTGTGGCACCCTCTCTAAGATGACCTACAGACTGACTTACCTATGGCACCCTCTCTTAGAAACAGGCAGACAGACTTACCTGTGGCACCCTCTCTTACTGACAAACTTACTTACCTGTGGCACCCTCTCTTAGAAACAGGCAGACAGCCTTACCTGTGGCACCCTCTCTTAGAAACAGGCAGACAGACTTACCTGTGGCACCCTCTCTTACGCATTACACCCTCTCTTAATGACAAACTTACTTACCTGTGGCACCTTCTCTAAGAGACAGACAGACAGACTTACCTGTGGCTCCCAATGGATGTCCTTTAGAAATAAGCCCACCACTTGGATTCACCACAAACTTCCCCCCATAGGTGTTGTCCCCTCGGTCAATAAATGCACCAGCTTCACCTGAAAAGATATTGATATGCTCTCCCTTGGTGGTGATAACTTGAGACAGGCGAGGGAGACTCGGTACAACACTTGCATGCTCTAATATAGGGATATGTTTGTGTGGATTTAAATATACATACACTCGTACTATTGCAGAAATCCTAGTTTTCAACCATGGATGTATTTATTCCCAGCCCTGTGAGACAAGGCAGTAGATTCCATCCATGCAAATAAAAAAGGATAGCAGATATATACATCAGAAAAAAATGAAAACTGACCCTAAACCACATAAAGCAATTATCAGCCAGGTGGTGCCTGGATTTATGCATGTACAAATGTTGAAAAAAAAGGACACCACAAATAAAGTTCTTTCTGCGACTTTTCTGGAAGACATATTTCTTCTACTTAATGTCGTTCACTGTAGGTCTAGAATGTCTATAAGTTAGATGCGTATCCTTTACAGGACGTTGCAGAACCACAGGAATTTTTTGGCTGTTGTGGTTTTTTTAGGCACGTTTAGGTTCAGTAGTTGGCCACTGTTTTCTGGACGGTCGGCTTCTGGATACCACTGTCGAAGCCAACGCAAGGTGTAAAGCCCACAGCTGAGATTGAATCCGGCACTAGGGAGCGTGTTCACAAGGCAAGGTGTAAAGCCCACAGCTGAGATTGAATCCGGCACTAGGGAGCGTGTTCACAAGGCAAGGTGTAAAGCCCACAGCTGAGATTGAATCCGGAACTACGAAGCGTGTTCACAACGCAAGGTGTAAAGCCCACAGCTGAGATTGAATCCGGCACTAGGGAGCGTGTTCACAAGGCAAGGTGTAAAGCCCACAGCTGAGATTGAATCCGGAACTACGAAGCGTGTTCACAACGCAAGGTGTAAAGCCCACAGCTGAGATTGAATCCGGCACTAGGGAGCGTGTTCACAAGGCAAGGTGTAAAGCCCACAGCTGAGATTGAATCCGGAACTACGAAGCGTGTTCACAACGCCTAAGCTGCAGATGCCGACAGAAATGTCTGAACACGAGTTTGAAAACTGATAACACAGCAATCAGGACATTCTCATAAGCATTCATCCCCATCTTCAGCAGCAAGCGAAGCGTTTCAATTCTAATGGTACCAGTAGCAGTCTGACGGGATATCCATGTTGACTTTCCTCTGAGTGCTAAGTGTCAATCGTCTCCCTTTGTCACTCGTGGCAGCACCATTCTCTTCACACTACGATAATCTATTTGTAACTCCACATTGTTTACTTGCTCCCAAAAGGCATTGATAACATCTTGACTACACAAGACATTTTGGATTATGTATGCACACTACTGTAACTGAGTATGCTACTCTGCAGATATGAAAGTCATGGGTTCGAGTCCAGACGGAGCTAGTTTTTTTTTTTTTTTTTTTTTTTTATGACCTTGGCTCCTAGGTCTACCTAGCCTTGACTGGGTACCAGGTGAAGCCCAGCGATGCTGACCCCATCACCCTCAGGGTGCCCATTGATCTATCAGATATAGATCTATCCTTAAATGCCCAATATGCTGGAAGGCATGAAAAAAGGCCCTTTTAAAAAGGTTTTAACTGAGTAGTCGGTGTCTGTGGATTAAGCGCTGCCAACGTGCTTCGGGTTCGACCCCAGTTGCAAACGGTTTGTCTCCTGTTGGTTTTCAACACTGGTACCCAAAGCTGACCGTTCAGAAGCAATGGCAAACTACTGAATGTAAAATTTGCTTAGAAAAACCACAACAGAAAAAAAAATGCTGGAACTGCTTCTGCAACATCCTGTAAAAGATACGCAACTAATTTGTAACCGAGTGAGACTGACTGTCTCACCCTGGAGAAAACGTTGGCTGCAGAATCTCATCAATGATGAACAACTTTATAAAAAGAAACTTTCTGTGAGCTGCATGATGTCCTATAATCCATCAGTTCTCAATCTTTTTGACCTGGGACCCCACTGAACAGGCGAAGTGACCCATGACTCCATATATTAGAAATAGGCTCTTCAATATAGGATACATAAAAATGCATAGAAAATATTGCAATAGATATGTCTCTCTGCAGGATGTGGTGAGGGTGATTTGCTTGATCAAAACAGTGATGGTTATCTTAGTAGTGGCAGAGTTTTCAATAATCAGTGTACTGTGTATTTCTTCTTTTTCTTTGTGTTCACTGGCTGTAAAATCCAGTGAAAAGTTCTGGTTGTGCGTCCACTTCTGGATTTCAGCCTTGTTCCTCATTGTTGAGTGCATATCCATTTTACATAACTAGCTTATTTGTGTGTTCATTACTGGTTCCCTGTCTCTCAGGCAGATACACTACTCTAAGTCTACTCTTACGATATGCTTGTGGGTTAGGAAGTTCGTCTATTCTTGTTTCCCCCACAATGGGGCCCCTGGAACCCACACGGGAAGAACTGTGTATTCAAATGTAAATGCTTACCAACGCCACACAGTCCTAAAGCTTCATATGTGAGCAGCTCATTGCAGGAGAAACAGTCATGCAACTCAATAACTTGCACATCGGATGGCTTCAGTCCTGCAAAGCAGTATGCAACAACAATTGGAATCTAGCAAACAGAAAACTAAAGATATAGGAGGATAAGAAAGGAGACAGAAAGACAATACAGTATATATTTACACTACAGCAAGGTTTAACCCTGTCGCCAGAGCAGGCACAAAACTGACACTTCAGGTTGAGTCCAATCCCTCTTAAATGCCAAATTATCGACACTGGCGTGTTCCTGAGCCACCTAGTTAATGCCAATGGTTGTTTCTGTGCCTGCACAGCATTCAGGAGGTCAAGATGTAAGTATTTTTACTAAAAACAACACAGGGGTGGAGAGAGTCTTGTGAAAGAAACACCCCTTTTTTATAAAACTCTTTTAGCCCCAACAATGCATTATTGTGTGATCAGTTACTGCCCATATGTACCAACCAATGTGATCCAATGTTTAGCCCATAATATTCTAAAGAAACCTGGCTAATTATTTTAGTACCTGTGACAGTCAGGTTATCCCATTTTTGATTCCCTTTGACTACAGCTACCCTTGTAAACATCCTGGTAAGTTTTCTGGTGCTTAAAGAGTTACAGCTATGTTGATGTAAAACTGTCCATAGCCTCAGTGATAGAGTTCATGGGGGTCATGCCATGAGCAATCAGATACATATTTTTAAGGCGCCTGGTAATTTGTTCCCTATTACTGATTACTCCTTTTATAAATTTTGGAAAAATATTTTATGTAGATAAATATATTTCAAACATTTATTAGTGACCTGTGTTAAAAAATGTTTTACAAATTTTGGGGGAACTCTTAGAGAATCATGACCCATTTTTGTAGTGTTAGCAGTGTAAAAGGGTTAGGGTATAGAGCGAAAAGAAAAGAAAAAAAAACTGAGATGACACTACACAGCTGTAGTATAATAAAAATGGCAACAGACATCACACAGCTATACAGACAATTTTTAGATTAGGCAATACATATGTACAGAGCTGAAAAACATGTCTAAACACCATTTTACCACAGCTGTAAGACGCCCATGTTCCTGCTGTATGACACATGTCTAAACACCACATTATCACAGCTGTAAGACACCCATGCCCTCCCTGTAAGACACATGTCTAAACACCATATTACTACAGCTGTAAGACACCCATGTTACCCCTGTAAGACACATGTCTAAACACCATTTTACTACAGCTGTAAGACACCCATGTCCCCGATGTATGAAACATGTCTAAACACCAGTTTACCACAGCTGTAAGACACCCATGTCCCCCCTGTAAGACACATGCCTAAACACCAAACTACCACAGCTGTAAGACACCCATGTCCCCCCTGTAAGACACTTGCCTAAACACCAAACTACCACAGCTGTAAAAGACCCATGTCCCCGCTGCAAGATACATGTCTAAACACCATATTACCATATCTGTAACACACCCATTTCCGCCCCCCCCCCCCCCCCCCCAAGACACGTCTAAACACCATATTACCACAGTTGTAAAACATACTTGTAAGTACCCCATCACACAAATGGCAAACACAAACAGGTTTCAACACTACCTGCTTTCTGAAAGACTTTCTGGGCAGTTTTTGCAGCCATGTCAAAGCCAATCTGAAAAGTAGGACAGCTTAATTAACGATTATCTGGCTATCACAAGATTAAGTGAAGGTCATCACTAGATTAGGTGAAAGCCTTCAGAAGATTTAGTGAAGGTCATCACTAGATTAGGTGAAAGCCTTCAGAAGATTAAGTGAAGGTCATCACTAGATTAGGTGAAAGCCTTCAGAAGATTAAGTGAAGGTCATCACTAGATTAGGTGAAAGCCTTTAGAAGATTAGGTGAAGGTCATCACTGGATTAGGTGAAAGCCTTCAGAAGATTAAGTGAAGGTCATCACTAGATTAGGTGAAAGCCTTCAGGAGATTTAGTGAAGGTCATCACTAGATTAGGTGAAAGCCTTCAGAAGATTTAGTGAAGGTCATCATTAGATTAAGTGAAGGCTATCACAAGATTAAGTGAAGGTCATCACTAGATTAGGTGAAGGTCATCACAAGATTGAAGGTCATCACAAGATTGAAGGTCATCACAAGATTGAAGGTCATCACAAGATTGAAGGTCATCACAAGATTAAGTGGAGGCCATCACTAGATTAAGTGAAAGCCTTCAGAAGATTTAGTGAAGGTCATCACTAGATTAGGTGAAAGCCTTCAGAAGATTAAGTGAAGGTCATCACTAGATTAGGTGAAAGCCTTCAGGAGATTTAGTGAAGGTCATCACTTGATTAGGTGAAAGCCTTCAGGAGATTTAGTGAAGGTCATCACTAGATCAGGTGAAAGCCTTCAGGAGATTTAGTGAAGGTCATCACTAGATTAGGTGAAAGCCTTCAGGAGATTTAGTGAAGGTCATCACTAGATTAGGTGAAAGCCTTCAGGAGATTTAGTGAAGGTCATCACTAGATTAGGTGAAAGCCTTCAGGAGATTTAGTGAAGGTCATCACTAGATTAGGTGAAAGCCTTCAGGAGATTTAGTGAAGGTCATCACTAGATTAGGTGAAGGTCATCACAAGATTGAAGGTCATCACAAGATTAAGTGAAGGTCATCACAAGATTAAGTGGAGGCCATCACTAGATTAAATGGAGGCTAACACAAGATTAAGTGGAGGCCATCACAAGATTAAATGGAGGCCATCACAAGATTAAGTGGAGGCTAACACAAGATTAAGTGGAGGCCATCACAAGATTAAATGGAGGCCATCACTAGATTAAGTGGAGGCTAACACAAGATTAAGTGGAGGCCATCACAAGATTAAGTGGAGGCCAACACAAGATTAAGTGGAGGCCATCACAAGATTAAATGGAGGCTAACACAAGATTAAGTGGAGGCCATCACAAGATTAAGTGGAGGCCATCACAAGATTAAGTGGAGGCTAACACAAGATTAAGTGGAGCTAACACAAGATTAAGTGGAGCTAACACAAGATTAAGTGGAGCTAACACAAGATTAAGTGGAGCTAACACAAGATTAAGTGGAGCTAACACAAGATTAAGTGGAGCTAACACAAGATTAAGTGGAGGCCATCACAAGATTAAGTAAGGCTATCACAAGATTAAGTGTGGGCTGTCACAAGATTAAGTGAAGGTTATGACAAGATTAAGTGAAGTGAAGGCCATTATAAAAGTAAGTAAAGGCCATCATAAGATTAATTGAAGGTCATCACAAGATTAAGTGAAGGTTATTATCACAAGATTAAGTTAAGTGATGGCCATTATAAGATTAAATCAAGGCCATCACAAGATTAAGTGAAGGCTATGAGGACTTTTCTATCATTCTCTCTACTACATCATGTATGCATACAGAAATACACAAACACACACAATATCCTGAATTTATCTCTTTCTGTTGAAAACAACACACCAGGGGTGACTGTATATTACTCATGGATACCAAATAAGATGTTAGGTTTGTTATGTAGATCTTATTTTTAGTCATCATCATCATCCTGTTATGCCATCATAAGTCACATAGGGCTCACAATCTATTCCTCTATTAAGTTCAATCCTGTAATGGAGGATGTCCCGCAAGATGGCAGATTGGCCACTGTCATTTACCACAACAAATTGATTCTGGTTTTTTTTTTTTAAACAACATGAAGTGATTTTCTGTTGGTTTGTTGTCTGCATGATCCTTGCTGACAGCAGTGATATTCCCCCTTCCCAAGCTTTTATTTAGAAAGAAAATTAATGACTGCAGACTTCATACATGTGATATTACACATGTTATGCTCTTTTCAGAATGAATGAAACTGACCATTTTGATGCAGCTGGCCTCAGCAAAGACACTAGGCTCATCAGTTCCTAGCTCCATAGCAAGAATCTCCACCGCCTGAGCTTCCAAGCCATTCTTCTTGACAAACTCTTCACTGGCCAAGACAGCACAGCCTGCTCCATCAGACGTAGGACTGACAATACAAAATACAGAGGTCAACTTTCAGGCAGTTTAATATCTTTAGAGTCAGATCTTCTTCGTTCGCTCTGTTGTCTATCTACTTCTACCCTAGAATACAAAGGTACTCTACAGTCTTGTATTTTCTTTGGGGGGGGGGGGGGTGGAGGGGGTTTAAATTCTTTTATTTACTGAGTTGCAGATACCTTACAGTCTACATCGCTCGTCTATACTGAGCTGTAGATACTTCATCACTCTTGTCTATACTGAGCTGTAGATACTTCATCACTCTTGTCTATACTGAGCTGTAGATACTTCATCACTCTTGTCTATACTGAGCTGTAGATACTTCATCACTCTTGTCTATACTGAGCTGTAGATACTTCATCACTCTTGTCTATACTGAGCTGTAGATACTTCATCACTCTTGTCTATACTGAGCTGTAGATACTTCATCACTCTTGTCTATACTGAGCTGTAGATACTTCATCACTCTTGTCTAAACTAAACTGTAGATACTTCATCACTCTTGTCTATACTGAGCTGTAGATACTTCATCACTCTTGTCTATACTGAGCTGTAGATACTTCATCACTCTTGTCTAAACTAAACTGTAGATACTTCATCACTCTTGTCTATACTGAGCTGTAGATACTTCATCACTCTTGTCTATACTGAAAATCTAAAGGTACTGGCTGATAAATGTCATCATTTCTCTGACAATGAAATACTCAAACCATATTAAATTTTCTAGTCGTTAAGAGGAAACAACGATAAACGTATGGTGCTTGGGCAAAGGCAGGTTATGCCCAGAAGGAGTAGGTGGACACAGGACATTAAAGACACATTGGGCAAGGACTGAGAACTTTTCCGGAGGCCGTGATGGGAATGTTCTGCAACAGGATCTGGTTTATGATGAGAAGTATAGTCCTGCATCTTTCTAACGTATGTTATACACTCAACACTGGCATATATTCAATGTACTATGGCAGCCACAGTGGTTCAGCGGCTAAACACTTTCCTGTGGATCTAAAAGGCATGGGTTCAGGTCGTGATAGAGCCCAAAAAAACATTTGTTTAATGATCTGGGCAACAGATTGACCCAGCATTAAATGGGTATCAGGTAAAGTCTTGGGCAGTTGGCGTGATGCTGACCACATGACCCACTGAGTGCTGATTGGTCTATAAAATAGGCGTCTAGTCCTATTTGCTCAAAATGCCTGAAGGCGGGGGAAAGGGCCCTTTACTGACCTTACAAAATTTTAAGTTGTAGCATCAGACCTGAAGGAACACACAATACTTACCAACACTGCAACTTTGTTAAGGGAAAGTAAATCAATGGTGACTGCTGAATCTGCTCAAAGCTGTATTCTGTCTGAAACTGGGAATACCTGTGTACAAATGTAACAGAAACATTCATAAAATAGTCACCATGAACATGGCATGGCTGTCTGGTGTGAAAACTCCTATTTTTAGATTCAGACTGGTTTTCTTAAAACTCCAAATGTTCCCTTGTAACATATGTTCAGATTTCGGCTTAAAAAAACAATGCGTGGGGGAAGAGACAGAAATAAAGAGAGAGGGAGAGAGGGAAGGAGAGGAGAAAGAAAGATGGGATGGAGACAGAAGAATGAGAGACAGGAAAGGGGGGGGGGAGCCAAGAAGAAATTGAAGGGTAGGGGGAGCAGGATAGTGAGAGAGAGAAAAGAGAGAGAGAGAGAGAAAAGAGAGAGAGAAATGAGTATGGTGGTGGTGGTAAAAAGTACAACATGCAACATCTAGCATTTGCATCAAAAACATCATAATCAGAAGTATAGTGCACATATCCAGAACTGATGTTGGTGATTTGTGAATGCTAACTATGTTACTGGCTTAAACTGTCACATGTGTAATGAAACAGTTACAGGTGTAATGGGACAGTCAGAGATGTAATGGAAGAATCAAAGGTGTAATGGAACAGTCAGAGATGTAATGGAAGAATCAAAGGTGTAATGGAACAGTCACATGTGTAATAGAACAGTCACAGGTGTAATGGAACAGTCACGGGTGTAATGGAGCAGTCACAGGTGTGATGAAAGTCACAGGTGTAATGGAACAGTCATCAGCCTTTATAAAACACAACTTACGGATTATTGACCGAATGTTTGTGGTTCTTCCAAGCAATTTTAGCAAAATGTTCTGGTTTTGTCCCTGCACACAATGAAAGCCAAAAAGTAATGCTAGTGAGATAGATCTGATTAAGTGCTGCTCAGATTTAACTGTAACGTTTACACCAGGGCTATTCAACTAAGCTAAACCAGGGGCCAACATGCTGAAAATGGGGATCAATATGGGCACAAAGTGCTATAGGCCTTAACCTAGAAAGTCCATTAATACTTCTTATTCTTGTTAATGTTCGCAGGATGTTTACTCCAGCAGGAAGTTCTGGTTGTTCATCCACTTTTGGACTTGGTCTTGTTCCAGGACTTGAGTTTTGCATGCACACCCGTTTTACAGATTTGGCTTATTTTGTATGCACACTGTTGGTTCCTTGGCTCTAGGCAGATGCACTTTCATTCTGAAGAAAGCTCCCCTAATTAGTCACCTACTACAATATGCTTGTTGGGGAGGGGGGGAGGGGGGAGTGGTCTATTCTTGTTTCCCTCATAATGGAGCCCCGGAACCTACAGGGGGAGATCATTAATATAACACCACATACAAAGCCTCTGTGGGCCAGAACTGACCTGCGGGCTGCCAGTCGAATAGCCCTGATTTAGATCACTGCCAAGTTGTAGTGATTCTCTCCCCTTATTAGCTCATGCATCACAGGTCAACAGTATTTCATCGACTATGCCTGTCTGGGCTACTATTCTAGAGCCTTACATTAAATGATATGCGGTATCTACTCCATATTCCAGAATTTGATACTTGAAAAAAAAAAATTCTAACAAGTGTAATTAAACTAATAAATTATAGAGATGGGAGACAGACGTATGTTACAAATGAGTTTTTTTGCTTCACATTCCAGAATTTGATACTTTTAAAAATAAAAAACAAACATAATAATACTGATCCGAGATATGTGGAGAGATATAATGGCAATGCTCTCTCTTGCAAAGCACATGATGATGGTGATTGAAGATAATACCACCCCTACACACAGTACAGCAGGATATTTCCTAACCCCAGGCTGCCCAGATACAAATGTTTCATATAACTGAACAGGGTTTCTTGTTGGTTCACATCCAGAAGGTGCCTCCTTGAGTTACTTGGCATTAATCTTTCTTAGCATTCATTTGCTGCAAACTCTAGCCAAACGTTCTGGTTCTTTGTCCACTTACTGGACCTAGGCCTTGTTCTAGAACTTGAATTCTGCATGCAAATCCGTTTTACAGATCTGGGTTGCTTGTATGCAGACGGCTGGTTCCTCGCCTCTCAGGCAGATACGCCACGAGTCCACAGGATCCCTAGTTGCCTTTTACAACACTTTTTCTAAGGCAGGCATTGACACTATTCTTTGTCTCCCAAAATCGAGTCCTAAAACCGATACAGGGAGTATTAATCTTTCAAGCAATCTCAAAGGAAGAAAAATAAACAATTTAAAAAAAAAAAGAAACTGATGAAAATACTTGAGAAAACGACGACTCACCATATTTCTCCATGTGTTCTCTGCCGGCATTACCAAATATCTGGGGAGTCAGAGGAACCTTCTCTATACCGTGTCCTTCAATCATCACCTGAACATGCTTGTCCATCGGACTTGTCCGATCCGTATACTAGACAGGACATGGGTCAACATTATTCAGTAGCTTAATCTAATTACAATCTAATTAACACAAGGTACTTAGAATGAGATATGTTACACACAACATACATTAGACAACTGTCTCACGTGATCCCTTGAGACATGTTGAATGATGAGAGCACATGTGTAGGTTATGTTGTGGTTGTCACAGATAGATCAGTCATTCAGAGAAAGCAGTGCACAGGAATGTTCATGAAGAGCCCAATGGGAAAACACACAGATAAGCGGCACCTTTGACTTTACAAATAGCAGCCTCAGTACATAAACCATCAGAACACAAACCATGTCTGTCTTCTTCTTCTACACTTCTATGTTTTTACTGCTTTGGGTGTCGCTGGAGATAGAAGGTTCAACTTCTTGATTTTCTAGCTGCCTCATCCATAGACACAATGTGCTATTTTAGAATTTCTCAGGTATTATCTTTCCATCTTATTTTTGGCCTTCCTTATGTTCTGCGCACGTCTCCTCTTTTGTGTTACTTGTTATCTCTGTTGACATCCTAGCCCAACAGTCCGAGCAATTCATCCTCCATACTTTGATTTCATAAGTCATCCCAGTGTGTTCACATTCAAGCCATCTCAGTGTGTCCATGTTCAAGCCATCTCAGTGTCTCCATGTTTAACACACCCAGTAGGAGATGACTGGTATATCTTTTTTCTTTGCCACACAACCAGTTTGTGCATGCTTGTCCCATTCCCAACAGATTGCTTGTCATCTCTGACTCCTTTGCTTTACGTTTCTGGAATGTGGTGCATTCAGTATAGCTACTCTGTCCATACCTCTTCCTCCACTAACCACTGCAGACATCGCCAGTCTGTTGGCTCTTTCATTTCTTTCACTCCAGCGTGTCCCAGTATGTAGAGCAAAGACAGTTTCTTGAGGTGGGACTTCTGGATGCTGTCAACTCATTCTAGTAAGAGTTTGCTTAACCAGGATCAACAGTTAATAAGAAAGTGGAATAACCACAGCAAACAATAGTCAACCAATGTGAATCTTCTTCTTCTTCTTTGCGTTCATGGGTAGTAAACTTCGTTGGAAAGTTAGCTCACTTCTCTAACACTTTACAGATCTGAAATATTTGTATACAGACCGTTGGTTCCTTGCCTCTCAGGCTGATGCCCTCCAACTTTGAAGGAAGCTCCCAATTAGTCAACTCTTGATGATTTCTGGAGAGGCTGTGTATTATTATTTAACCCACAATGGGGCCTCGGAATCCATAAAGGGATAATGGTCAATCAAATGTCAACTTGCATTTCACCAGGAAGCATAACTCAGTCCTGGCATATATATCACAGTTATTTTACCTTTCCTGTCAGTGGGCCCCTCTCCATTTTCTCAAACCCAAGGGCCATGACACAGTCAGCTATGCCTGTGGTGAAAAAAAAAAATACAAGATGAATGAAAACTGTTTGCTGTTCTTTCTCTCTCCCCCTCCACCACCACTTTACAGGGCTAATACCTATCTTCTTTTACATGGGGTTATAATTTTGTTTAAGTAACATTTAACTATGCACAAATCATGCTCACTGGTACAAAGTGAACAGTTAAAAAAGACAAATGTACTTATACATACTAGAATAGAAGAAAACAGACTGTAAAACAACAGCGTATCTAACAACATGACTACTGTTATGGAAAGACAAAACAATAAGGTACTTAGAGCTGAAGAATTTAGACAGAAGATGTTACACTGTCAGCTTCAGTAGCTCTTATGTTTCATCCAAATCTCCCAAAAAGACAATTTTTCTTTTTTTTTCTTTAACATACTTAGTCAATCCTCTTCTACCACGGGGTGAAGAGGTTTGCCAGAGAGATCGTCATACTTCTCTGTCAGTAGTTTTCTTTGTGGTTTTGTTTCCTTCCACTCCTTTGTCAGGAGCTGTCGGGTGTTGTTTTCCCAGCAAACCCTGAGTCATCCTGAAGGTCCGGTTCTTGGCCTCCTGTGGCTGATTCTGTCTTATCTGCATACATGTCCAAACCATCATAATTGTGACTGATCCACTCGAGTTTATAGGGCCTAGGTTTCAAGGTCATGATGCTTTGTCTAACTGTCAACTTTGTCCCTTCTTGTCACTTGTTCCACTTTTCTCGATTACCTCATTTCTGAGGCCTGACGCTGGGTTTCTATGCATTGTTGTCATTGCTTATGTCAGCACTGGCACATAGGTCGAAGACAGGTTTTTCCAGACTAATTTTGACCTGGAGCTGACAGCGTCTCATAGAATGGATACCAGGCAATTGTCAGACTTTTCAAAAAGCTGTATAGGAAGGAAAGGCACAAGAAAATGAAGAGGAAATTGCCTCATTTGTCCTGGCAGAGAATATCAAGCAAAGTGAAACATTTAAGTAACTCGGTACCCTGATAACTGTTAAAAGGGATGAATTAAAGAAGTTAAATGTAATAGCTCAACATTTTAGGCAGCATTTTATCAAAAGAAGAATATTTTATGCAATCTTTCTTTGTCTACTGAAACGAGAAAGATAATTCTCAAGAGCTACACAATTCCTATCCTGATATATGGAAGGGAATCGTGGACAGTTGGAAGGTTAGTTAAATATTATGGGGAAGCTGCAGAGATGTTTTATAGGTGAATGATGAGAATACCCTAGACAGATGAAAAAGAGTAACGAAGATGTCTTGAAAGAAACTGACTGACAAAGAGAACTAGCTCCCCATATCCGAAAGAGATAACCTACATTCTTTGATCATATCACAAAAAGAAAAAAAAAACTGGAGTACCTCATGATGGTAGGAAAGCTAGAGGAAAAAAGAGGCAGAGGAAGTGTGAGAGAGAAGATGCTAGACAGTCTGATATCATGGCAACCGTGTCAGAAATGACTGAATGTACACAAGACAGGAGGTTGTGGATTGACGTAACTACCAACACCACAGCACGGACTAGAAGAAAAGACAAACATGTGAAGGTCTAACATTGAAAGGTCCAAGCAGCAGTACATGCTAAGAGCCCACTGTGTAAATCTTATTTGAGTAACATGTTCAGATTCTTTTAGAGGTAGCTAACATCTCCATTTATTTTCCTTGCATTCATTACGTTTGCACCAGTTTCATCATCATGTGCCCTGCCAACCGGCATAGGCGCTCATGCATCTCTACAGATAGCGATCCTCGGTTGCCTGGAACAGCTCTCTTGATGATATCCCTCCATGCCATCGTTTTAGCCCATCCAGCATCATCTCTCTTGGTCTGCCTCTAAGCCTTCTTCCACTGATCTTTCCAGATGTCACAATGTTCTCCAATGTCTCTCTTCTCATAAAGTGGCCAAAGAACAGTGTTTGTCTCTTTCTTATTGTTGCATATAGAGATCTACTTTAGAGATTACAAGCTGTATCAGTTTCATGGCATGGAAGGGCCTCAGCACAAAACCTGATCCATGTTGTTGGATACCGCAAGATGGGCAGAATCAAGGTGACCTACACCAGTCAGCCAGCTAGGCACTTGATAATGATCACAACTAGCCGATTGTGGTAACTCGACTAGCCAAGAAATCAAACTGATCAAAGTATGTGTGTAAAAAAAAAGTGTAAAAGATGATGCTACGGCTGCCACCTTACCTCCAGCAATGAGGTTCTTGGCCATGTACAAAGCTGTGGAGCCTGTAGCACAAGCGTTGTTCACCTGTAAGGTAGAGACATTCATAAGAACTGTGTATCTCGGAACATGGACAACTTCATGAAGGGGCCACTGATATTTAAGGACATCAGGCTGGGTTTGATATATGTGAGGAGACTGGTTAATATATAACATAACAATCTCCAATATAACACAATGCTTAGAAATATATCACAATATTCTCCCATGTGTGTTCCAAAGCCTTAGTGTGGGAGAAAACAGAACAGGTAGGTAGGTAGGTAATTATATACCACCAGGACATCACACAAGCGATAAACACCCGGTGACACAAAGTGCCACCATGCGGATGAGGATCACCCGTGGAGAGGTCCCAGAAACCCCCTTTAGCCTTCAGGTCATATCTATGGCTAGGCCATATTTATGGCCCAGCTATATTCAGGGCCTTCAGAACAAGCCAGGCTTCAAAATAACAAAAAAAATTGCATCCCACAAGGGAACGACTTCATTAAAACAGAACAGACTCATTCCGTTGACAAACATGTTGTAAGAGGTGACCAACTAACGGTATGCTGAATCACATATGCTGGGTCAAAAGGTGCAGATATCAACACCTAGCTGAGAACCATCAATCACCCTTTAGATGGTGAGCATGGAAGAAAAAAGATATAGAATTATGTGAGTGTTTTGCCGTGAAAGGATTATGTTGTGCATAATAAGTGGCCTCACAATAAATGCGGTCAATCTCCTAATTGGAAGCTGACCCTTGTGCTCAACAGCTTCTGTAAGAAAACTACATAGTTACCCACAATCTCCTGCATGGTTTGACTCTCATACGACTATCTGAAGGTGACCAGAACGCTTTTTTTCTCTCAAGTGTATATACATCAAACTAAACATCAGTCCAAGTTTGAAAACTTCAAGGTTTAAAGGTTTGAACCACGGACCAACATCATGGCACACGGGTAGTAACCCATAAGTTCTTCATTCTTCTTCTAACTCAAGTCTGAGTCTGAAAAAGCTCAGCCCAGTGCACAGGCTCTGTAGCACTGGCGAGGATCCTTAAATATTTTAGGTAGATTCTGAACTCAAAATTTTGCCCTGGCAGCGACGTTAGGATACTCTTTTCGATTTCCAATTGCCAAGGAATTTTTTTACGTACGCATCAATACACACAAGCGTCCGATCTTACTACCCAGATATCAGGGGAAATTACTAGAAGTCCATAGTTTCAAAACTATGATGAGAAAAAATACAAAGGCAAGATATCAGAACAACAAATAAAGCTACTGAATGCAGTTATAGAATTGCACAGTGTGTGGTGTTGTTGGACACTGCCTCTTCTCCTATTTCCCTCTGCTGAGCCTTGCAGTATCGTTGTTGAGAGGCCGTTAGATTTTATTACATGTCCGTAACATTGCATCTTTAGACTGTTCACTGTTGTTTTAAAAAGGTTTACAAATGTCCATGTGCTGGATAATAATCTGGCGAACCTCCTCATTTGTCATGTGGTCCCTGCATGTTATGCTAAGAATTGTTTTCAAAGATCGCATTTCCGATGCTTGTATCTTCCTTTAAAGTTTAGGTATTAATGTCCACGTTTCACAGCCATATGTAAATGTACTAATAGCTAGTGCTCTTAGCAAGAGAATTGCCAAATAACGAAAAAAAATAGTTTCTAGTTTTGAGAAATAACAGCAATTGTGAGAGGTTCCTAATTCAGATAACTGATATGGTTGAAAATGTAACAACAATACAAACAGCCAAAATACTACAAGCTGTTGTGTGATTGTTTATTGTTATTTGACAAAAGTGCCTGTGTGAATGGCATGCCTGGCTAAAGCTGTGCGATACTGAGACAACAACCCTAGCTACTACGAGCTGTGCGATACTAAGACAACAGTAGCTACTACGAGCTGTGCGATACTAAGACAACAAAAGTGCCTGTGTGAATGGCATGCCTGGCTAAAGCTGTGCGATACTGAGACAACAACCCTAGCTACTACGAGCTGTGCGATACTAAGACAACAGTAGCTACTACGAGCTGTGCGATACTAAGACAACAACCCTAGCTACTACGAGCTGTGCGATACTAAGACAACAACCCTAGCTACTACGAGCTGTGCGATACTAAGACAACAGTAGCTACTACGAGCTGTGCGATACTAAGACAACAACCCTAGCTACTACGAGCTGTGCGATACTAAGACAACAACCCTAGCTACTACGAGCTGTGCAATTTGATACCATTTAATTGTATATCCAGAAGGAAAAAGGGGATGAGGAGAGTGACATCATAACAGCTTTTTTAATCTGTTTATAAAAATTCAGGATATTAACATGAATCAAATATTCTGCACAAATAGTGATAACAATCCAGCAAATGGTGGAGAAAACAAATGCTTTGGTAAACATCTCGAGGGCTATATTGGATCGCACGTATTCCACTTCCACTGTGTTATAGACAGGTGGGGTTTGTATAGGGCAATTTTATCAGTGATGACTGCGACTATGGAAACTGTTGCCAAGAGAGTTATCAAAGTTTCTCATTTACCAGTGTTACTCAATTAATATTCCTACAGCAAGAAATGGAAGTTACCAAAGTCATGTTCTAAATAGCTCATGTTTAGAAAGGGACACTTCCTAGAAGTGGATGTCTCTGGTTGTACAAGCGGATGTTGCTAGTAATGCTGTACAAGCAGATTTTGCTGGCTCTACAAGAACAAGCGGATGTTTCTAGCTGAAACAACTTCATGTCTAAACTGATGAGACCTGAGGTTTACAAGGGTGCGGCGTCAAACAGTGCTTAATCTTTTTTTAGCACAATCTGAGTGACAACTGGAAATACAATCCTGTAATTTTACCATTAACACATGCAAGTACTTTCTAAGGATAGATTCAGCCATAGTTTTCTTTTATATTATCACTGACACATGCAAGTACTTTCTAAGGATAGATTCAGCCATAGTTTCCTTTTATATTATCACTGACACATGCAAGTACTTTCTAAGGATAGATTCAGCCATAGTTTCCTTTTATATTATCACTGACACATGCAAGTACTTTCTAAGGATAGATTCAGCCATAGTTTTCTTTTATATTATCACTGACACATGCAAGTACTTTCTAAGGATAGATTCAGCCAAAGTTTTCTTTTATATTATCACTGACACATGCAAGTACTTTCTAAGGATAGATTCAGCCATAGTTTCCTTTTATATTATCACTGACACATGCAAGTACTTTCTGAATTACAGAACTGGACTTACTGTTACACACACAATTACTTTGCAAACGTCAAAAAATACTTTCCAAATGTCACAGACATATCTTCCTGTGATACTATCAATAACACACGCAAATACTTTTCCAGTATAAAGACTAGTTTAAACTGATTTAACTATCAACACTTCTGTGTTTCATAAGTACATAAAAGACCTGAATATTTATTTAATATTAAAATGAGATATATTAATTTGCAGAAATAACTGTTGTGCATAAAACTATTGTGTACTAAAGTTGGCACACTGAGTGACTGCAACTCTAGCATAAACCTAGTTAACCCTTTGGAGAGAACACAGCCAAAATATCGGCCCAACACAAGGTAGCCAAAAGGACAACTGGGCCTATCGGTCGGCCCTATATAGTAGAAGTCTTGATATTGGCTGGCAGGTTTTCGTACCAGCCAATCAGACTACTTCTCGCATTTCTTGCACATGTGGGCTGTTTCGAGAAAGTCTGATGTGTTGTGTAATTTTACATCAATTTTTTTCTGGGGTTACCTGTGCCCAAAAATTAGGAAACGGTCTGTTGCATCATAGCAACCGAAACATAGCTGGAGGCAGGAAAATGAGTAGAACCATGTGTCAGACATGTCTGAAGGGCCTCCAAGGGTCTTACTTCCCAAAGTACAGGTGTTAGGACTTATTCAAGTTTCATCCATAAAAAAATTCACCCAAATTTTTTCAGGTTAGTTATGTTTGTGTCCAAGTTTTCCCAAAAATTGTTTGCATAAATTATGCAAACCAAAAAAGTTAATTTGAATAAATGCTGAGATTTCAGTTTGATTCATAAATATTCTGTTAGTTCATTCAATTTCCCACACAAATATATATATAGTTAATGTATATGTTTATTAAACGCTTACATTTTTTATAATTTTGTGTGTATAAACTATAAGAATCCCTTCCTTGAGGCCCCGTCTTCTTGGCTGATTTCTGTTCTACTCTACACTTCTCCTCTCATGGTATTCTGTATGCCAACCTATGCACAGATATGAATTTAACACTTGTTCCTATTTGTGTAGGTAGGGCCTTGGGTAGTGCCAATAAAACAGACAAGACAACCCTAATGCTGTGCTCAAAATATATTTACTGTTAAGTCAGGATAAATATTCTTTGCACAGAGGTTGAGTCAAACTACAGGCACCCGATCATCATCATCAACAGTACTAGGACAACATATGTAGAATACACTCACATTATATACCGGAATACCAGTCAAGCCCAGCTGGTACACAGCCCTCTGCCCACAACAAGTATCACCTGTAGATGTAGTCATTATATGTTTATATACAAGTTATTCTTCATCTGTTCAACATCACTAACTGTAACATATGTGTACATTTCACAGGATAGAATAGAATGAATTGTATTGTATATTTCTAAACCCAGAAGAGAAGAGAAAGAATTGGGTTGAATGTCTAATGCCAAGAAAGAAGAGAAAGAATTATGTTGTATGTCTAACTCCCAAGACAGAAGAGAAAGAATTATATTGTATGTCTAACCCCTAAGACAGAAAGAAAGAAGTTATGTCTAACCCCCAAGACAACAACAAAAATACACTGTTCGTCTAAACATAGGAAAGAAGAGAACAAATGATGTTGTGTGTTTAATACCAGGAAAGAAAATAAAAACTAATAACTAAAAGTGATACAAAAGAGCATTTTTCACAAACTTTCAAACACTGCCCATTTGCAGCCCATTTTATCAAACATAACTGTGACTACCTTGGTGTTAAAGTATCAACTGATATAAAACCACTGAAAA